CAAACTGCAAAAGTTAGTAAATCAGCAGAATCGATCACTGACATACTTTCAAGAATTTTACAATTGTGCAATAGGACTTCAAGTTTGAACCCGGAGACTTTGACCCTCTTTAAAATCAATACTTTAAGAGAATCCCAACTTCTTTGAGCAACAAGCGCAGAAGGAAAAGAATAGTCTTGAAAGTAGGGGGGGTGGAATAGGACCCTGTCGTGACAGGTTCACCACCAGGCTTTGCACGCTCCTGTCCAGGGCATACTGAAGCCACTTATTAATATCCTCCTTAAAGGAAACATCCAAATCAATATAAATACTGAACTTATTCAAAACCAATGATTGATGGGACTCCAGAACTTTGTTCATCCAGTTAGCGAAATTGCATCTTTCCCTTTCAAGGAGAACCATGTACTCGTTGATGCCATGTCGCAGAAGGCAACTACTGCATCAAAAAAATCAAGCCCAGGAACAAAAGTTCACACAAGATTCTATCTTTTAGACAAAACACTTGTTCTGCCAGCTTCTTTGGGTGGTAAAAATGATAATATACAACAAAGGATTTCATCTGGAAGCTGACTGATCCGATCTTCAGATACATGCTGTGTGATTGAATAGCGTTAGTTTTATTTTTTTACCTTGGTAGGACAACAAACCGCAAGTAATCCAACAGATTCTTAGAAAATTTGAACTAAGCAAAAAGAGCAACAACCAACATTAACAACATTAAGGGCCTTATGGCCGATCTCAAATTTAACAGCAACAGGTCAAGATTCGGGGAGAACTTATACAGGTCGAGTACTATCAAAATGATAAAAGACACTTGGTTTAATTATTTATGGATTAAGAAATAAAATAATTTAAAAATTTAAGAAATTTTTAAAACCTATTTCCTAAAAATAAGAAAGAGTGGTGCGTGTGTTTCACATAACTTATAAAGACTTGCATGTTTAGACCTCCTTTCTTATACTAATTGCCAAATAAAGGTCTATGTGTAACTAGCTACATGCACTTAATGTGCATGGTATAATTTTCACCAAACAGAGGTGTTCGACGCCATGCGGCTTAAGATGTTCTTTTGATACCTTTCTCAGGGTATTTTCTACTGTACTTCGACCAGTTGGACTATTTTAACTCCAGTCGCTTTATTTAGATTTTGATTGGGTTAACTGATGTTAATGAAATGTCTCTTTTATTTTAGTATCAAGTAACACAAATTAGCTCGAGACAATTTAAAGTCGCATTTTGAATTGCATTAGAGAGAAAAAAAAATTCTAAAAGACTAGATTGATAACTAATTACATCCATTAATTTCTCAAATGAAAAACTTATGCAGGTTTCAATAAGGTACAAACACATAAAGATAGAGAGAAGAAAAAGAGTATGGTATGAGTCAGATCCACAGACAAAAAAGTATGAGGAATTAAGACATTTCGCAGCCATGGGAAACAATACTCCTCAGCTGATTCGAGCCTCAAATATAGAAACTTATTCACGGTGCACCATACATGATATGATTCATTTTTGGTTAAGAACACTTTTCACGGGCTTGTAAGTGGAAAATACAAAAGTATGTGAACCATTTTTTTCAGAAAATTTCGTAAGAACATATTAGAGGAGGACCTGATTCCTAAAATAATTACGGCGTAAATAAACTCATCATAAAAACAATCCTACAAGAAGAAACACAATTGTTGTAATAATAAGTCAAACCAAGCTATTGTATCCATGACCAATTGTTCTAAGCAAACCACCACAGAAATTGGCGAGGGAACTCCTATCATGGCTTCCGGCCAAACCAATAAGTCCTATCTAAACTACTCTGGCATTCAATTAGTCAGGATCCATCATTCGACGAGTTACTACATAACCGCCATTGCATTTAGAGGGCCTTTTATTTCCAAGAGGAAAGGGCCTCAACTATACATGTACATTGAATTTTGATTATATGAGCCTTGGTGGTAAACAAATTTGTTGCGCTTGATCTTTATACATAGAGTGAGTTTTTCTTACCTACTCAAGCCATAAAATACCTTTCAAAAAAGAAAAAAACCATAAAATAACCCATGTTGAAAATTATTGCTTTTGGATATGGTTTATCACTATTCACTTTACCTGAGCGTAAAAACTTTTCATAGGAATGGTAGCGGAGGCATTGGCAACTGACAGGTGAAAGATAATATTCTACATGATGAGTGTTCTGAATTCGAGGGTATTCTCCCAGGTGGAAAAGTGTTAATGAAACTCGTCGATGTGAGTATATTTCATATCACTCTCATTAGACTTGCATTTGACCTGTCAATGTGAATATAAACATATAACTCTTACTCGACTTGTATTTAACTCATAAAATGTGAATATACTCATATAACTCTTACTTTTTGCATTTGACTCAACGATGTGAGATTGTGAGTACACTCCTATAACATTCACTTGAATCGCATTGAACAATCGGTGTGAGTATATTAATATAACTCTCATTCGAGTCGCATTTTACTCAGCGGTGTGATTATACTCATAGAAATCTCATTTGACTAGCAATCATCCCGTTGTTAGATAGACGAACAAATCAATGAAATAATTTCTTCAAAAAGTCAGTATTTTTGTGAACTTTATAGTGATTTCCATACATTAATTACTCAAAAACAATAAAGCAATCAAATAATTTTGAATATGGTAAAAAAAAAAATCATAAATTTTAGAGGTTATTGACTAGTTCGTCGGTATTGATAACCTGACGAAACATTCGATGGGGATCATTTCCCTTGAAAAACAATGAAATGTTTAATTTTTATATTGATACTATACTTTAATTACTCAAATATTATAATACCATAAAATTTTTTTGCAAAAGATCATAAAAGATTTTGGATTTTATATTTTGGTGACTTTTATCGTGAATGTAAATCGTTCCGTCATAGTTCTTAGCTGTACGAACAAGTCGACCAAAAATTTGTACAAGGAGTCAGTATTTTTTAATGTTTATATGGATTCACATACATTGATTGCTTCCAACACTATAAAACAATAGATATTAGCAAAATTGAAGGATTAAATTCTACAATTTTTTGGGTCATAATCTTTAAAACGGTAATTTGACTTGATTTTTTTTTGTGTCTGTTAAAAAGTTAATTATTTTTAGAATATGATTACAGAGCTATACACGTTTATTCGCACGTCATTAACTAACCATAAAACAGGCTGGTTGTTTATATCATTATTTTATGATCTAGATGTTGTTAACATAGACAATTAGAGGAACAAGAATGACTTTCCATTAAAGAGGATTGGCACAAGTCTTATAGGAATTGCAACTTGCATTGCATCCATATCTCACCAATTTTAATTTACTACTACTAGCCTTGATAGTTCAAAAACTTTAGCTTGATATTCATCATTCATTAAAATTGAGAGTCATTCAACTATTTGTTTTATTCTAACCAATGCAAAAATCTTTTATTCTTACTGAGGGCACGACCATCTTATTATTAAAACGAATAACCTTTTGTTCAAGTAAATATCCATGCAAGCTCAACTCGATCTTTTGATGACTCAGGAGCCAATGCAGTTGTCACCGCACAAGGTTTATTTTATAACCACCAAGCTGAAACTGGTGATTCTTGACTCTTGGTGTCGACGTCAAATAATCAACGAAGGAAAAGAAGTATCTACTCAAATTTGGCAAAATAAAGTGTCATGTGTGGCTCTTTGAAGTCAATGATTAACTTTCTCAATTTCAAAGAAAGTGACAATTTGAGTTTTGTGTAGAGAAACACATCTTCTCAACGGGGCAACCATCCCTCGAGATAACCAGACCGGAAAGGAGGTAACATAATAAACCTACTCACATCTTATTTCCTATAGTCAGAGGGGACACAAATTACTTGTATAAATCCCCTCGTGATAAACTAAACGACCCGGCTGCGCCGGTGCCCGCGGCTGCGTCGCCCCTCTGCCGAAAACGGCAAATTTCATAAATAGTATTTAATTGAATGAGGGGCATTTTGCCAAATGATGGAGAACAAAAAAAGAATGTGGAGCAGTTTGCCAAATGATGGAAATAAGGTACGTTCAATTGTGTATAACTAATTATCTATATTGTCAATACTGGTTATCAAACCGTGTATAACTAATTATCTATAGCGCCAACGCTGGTTATCCACATTGTGAACACTGGTTGTCCATAGTGTGTAGCTGGTTATCCATAGTGTGTACACTGGTTATCCAGTTATGTTCAACTAGTTATCCATAGTGTGCACACCGGTTATCCACAGTGTCAAAATTGTCAAAATTTGAATGAATTCGGTAATTTGTATATGCCGTGTTTAAAAAAAAGAAAAAGAAAAAGAAAGCTGAATTATCTAGCGAACTCACGCTATTCTAAGAGAGTAAACTACACGCGTAGGGGGGTATACGGTGCCCCCGGGTATACCAGATAATTTGCCGAGTCCGTATACCGTATACCCCCACCAAACAGACGCACTACACGCGCTCAACATTTTTCACCTTTACATTAAATACACAAACAAAATTGTTTTCATCCTCACGCACAAACACACACAATTGCTGGTTATCCATAATTTCTCCACAAGTTGTAAACTGGTTATCCAGAAGGGGTAAACTGGTTATCCAGAAGGTGTAAACTGGTTATCCACAAGTTGTAAACTGGTTATCCAGAGGTAGAGAAGCAAACGACATGTTAATTGGGGGGCTTCGCCCCCCATGATAAACTAAGCGGCTCACGCAGCTATCAGAATCGCAGGTCACCAACCTACCCCAGCTGCGCCGCCCCACCGAACACGCTAATTTAGCAAAGGTAATCACTTTTCGTGTGTGTGTAAGGAGAGTGTGTTAATGCGTTAAGAGGGGACACAAATTACTTGTATAAATCTCCCCGTGATAAACTAAACGACCCGGCTGCGCCGCCCCCTACCTAACACGGCAAATTTCATAAATAGTATTTAATTGAATGAGGGACATTTGGCCAAATTACGAAGAACAAAAAATGAATGAGGGGCAGTTTGCCAAATGATGGAAATAAGGTACGTTCAATTGTGTATAACTAATTATCCATATTGTCAATACTGGTTATCAAACTGTGTATAACTAATTATCCATATTGACAACACTGGTTATCCATATTGTGAACAATGGTTGTCCATAGTGTGTAGATGGTTATCCATAGTGTCCACACTGGTTATCCAGCTATGTTTAACTAGTTATCCATAGTGTGCACACTGGTTATCCACAGTGTCAATAATGACACAGTAAGTGTTCAAAATTTGAATGAATTCGGTAATTTATATATGCCACGTTTAAAAAAAAAAAAAAGAAAGCTGAATTATCTAGCGAGCTAACGCTATTCTAAAAGAGTAAAGTACACGCGAATGGGGATACACGGTGCCCCCTGGTGTACCAGATAAATTTTTTTTTTTTTACCAAAGGGTAATATGGAATTGGTGGGCTGATCCATGTTTTGGGCCCTGAACTAATCTTGTACTATTTCGGCCCATTAATCTCATTTACAACCCGCACCGGGTTCGTGTAGATGAACACCGACCCGGATTCACGAACATCTTATTAATAACTTGAGCCTGAACATACACACAAGGATAATAACTTCTCGAAAGTCGGCGAAGAAGGTAAAGAGTTATTTCTGATTGTAAGATTGTATTGGGAAAAAATGAAAATCTGATCACTTTTTTCGACGTTTGGTATTTTGGTTCGAATTCTTGCTGTGATATATTCATATAGGATTATAAGCAGACGTATTTAAACTGATACTTTTCGAGCAATTAGGGCAAAAGGTTGTCATACATCAATTCTGATTTTGTGCGATGTGCTCAGGTTGAACGAAAAGGAAGATCGGATACAATCTCTGGTGGACTGAGCCCTTCTCTGCAACCCGCGAAGAGGTAAAATCCCTGTGATTTTGGAATTATTTTTTTTCTTATTGCAACTGGCGCGGTCTCGTTTTCACCTTCTATTTCCTTGTTGAATTTCCATTATATATAAATTTTTGTTGAGCGATCTTGGCCGGAATAAGTAGGTCTATGAAAATTAAATCGAACTTGTTTATTTTCGTTTGATGATTTTGTTTGTTTTGCTCGTAATGAAGTTGGAGAACAATGGATTCGAGGAACACCCCTTTACCGACCTCTCTGGTCCATGCCTCTGCACCCTCATCACCCCCTGATACGGTGGAGGTAACTGGTTTCTTACTTTTCTTTCTTTTTGAGATGTGTGTATGATATACACGTATGCATATTCTTTGGGAATTTAATTTCTTAGGCGTTCTTTTTCGTTTGGTTTGATTTATTTACTTTTGGTTGTGATGTTTATAGAGTTGTGATGGCTATTACTATGAGTTTGAAAATGGTACCACAGCAATTGGTTTTATTTTGAACAAGGAAGGTGTTATGGTAGCTGTTGATCATTCAAGCATACCATCTGGTTCATTTCCCCAAAACGTAATTGTCTTCCATTCACACCTGCTTACCACTTTTTCTGGCGGGAGTAAAGATTCGCTTGAACGTTTGCCGGTTTATCTGCAGAAGAAGGTACTAGCTGCTAGTAAGCATTGTGAACTCTATGTTTTACTTTAGAGACGGTTTAACTGCAATCTAAGAATGATTGGCTGTTGTAATGATTGTGAATACGTTGTGTGTGTTTAGTGCCACGAATATGAACTCAAGGAGGGGAAAAAAGCTTCTGCTGCAGAAGCATCCAAGTGGCTGGCTGATTTTCTGTCCCTTCATCCTGACAGTGATGACCGTTTGTCCCTAGGAGTACTAATTGCTGGGTGGGACAACGAATTGGTAAATATTAGAATGCTCCTTCCGTTTTGATTTTTTTTCCGCGGACTCTTATTGAATTGATCATGGTTTGTGTGTCCGGAGGGACCTGCCTTGTATAAAGTGAACGGTAAGGGGAAACTACGTCAAAGTCCATACCTTGGAGCTGGATGTGGTTCAAGTGGATCTGGTGGATTGAGTTATAGGTATGCCACTTTATATGGTTCTGTAAGTTGTAACGCAAGAACATTTGGTTTTGCTTGCCTTACTTTCAAGTATTAGGAATTGATACTTGTCCTTCTTGATGTATCAAGCACTATAATTCAATTCCTGTAATTTGTCTTGAGTTCTATCTTCTGATGGATTTTTGAAATTCTGTCTGGTTTTACTTGAATGATTTTCCTACGGCCTTGTTTCTGATTTTTATATTGCTCCTGTGATTTGAAATTTCGGCTGATCTTAAGAATGTGTTTTCTGCTTTTTTCTAGAGTCCTCGGTAATTTGTCCCTGGCTGATGCTACAGAGGTGGCCAAAAAAGCACTCTGTCTTGGTGTATGTTATGTTCCTGAAAGTGAGGGATGTGTGAGTGGTAAGTTCGTGATTTCCTGGCCACTTCTGTTCTTACACATTTGTTTATGCCTGCAGTTCTTAGATAATGTCTTGGTTCTTCTGTTAATAAATTTTCTTTCCCTGATGAGTATGTTCTTTTTTCTTTTTTGTTTTTTTTTTTTTTTGGTTAACCGTATGTTCTTTTTCCTGTATTTAAGTTTTCCACGTGGGATGTGCCGGGGTTACACAAGTGGTCTTTGGTGATGATATTGGCGAATGGCAGAATCATTTCTTCAGCAAAGTGCCCTGGCAGAGGAAGGTTTTGGAGAATTTCATGAACATGGCAAAAAAAAACCTTCGACCTAGAAACTGAAGAGTGCATGGGCTTCTTTCTCATTTTGTGGACTGAAGGGATTCTCTGATCGTCTATGTTTGCACTCGAAGGTTTTATTACCTTTAGATTATAGTTATACTATCTCTGTACGAGTGTACTTCTAAAATCTGTCATATGGATTTGGATTCGAATCTGCACTATAATGATTTATATGTAAGTCCTAGTTTTCTAAATGAATGGGAAAATCCTAAGCTCTAGAGAACTGAGTCTTATCGTAAATTATTAAAAATTCAACCATTCATGCCAAAGTTTGAACTTTTGGAGCGGGATTGGATTGTAGATCACAGTCATGAGTATCGAGAAACTAATTTTGTAGTAGATTTTCTGACACAAGGACATGGCGGAGTACATTGGTTCAAGCTGCTCCACAATAAAGAGTGCACACATGGCTCTAGCATGATTTAATTAGGGAGTACATTGGTTCAAGCTGCTCCACAATAAAGAGTGCGCACATGGCTCTAGCATGATTTAATTAGGCTTTCTTATTCTCGAAACGTTGTCATTTGATTGTAAGTCAAGAGCCTCTTCTTATTGTAAAAAAAAAAAAAAAGATGGGGTTCTCAGAATCCGAATCTTCAGAAATTTCATGTTGCTGAACCATCATATATTATTAGAATTCAATCCATAAGTAGTGAAATGTGATGATACCTATAAATTTTTGTAAATGAAATTTTATGCTGAAAAGTATTGTTTCTGTTGTTGTTGGTTCAAACAGTTTAGTAATGGATAAGAAATTACGCGCCTAGCTATTTCAGATCAACTTCACCGAAGCCACAACATGTACAAGCACCATATATTCCAGTGAAAACTGAATGAAGATCTTGCAAATTCCATCCTGAATTGGAAGAGCATCTTTGCCAAAAGAAATCCTGGGAGATCCTATCCCTCCTCCATTTGGGGACCTACTAATCATGCATGCATTATTTCTGGGAAACAAATAATTAATAAACCGGCTAATTATGCTTTAGGTTTAATTCTACTTGCTGTTGAAACTAGAGTAGAACTTTTAGCCTCAAATGGTTTTCTTGTTTTGTCTTATTCTTCAGTATCAGTTGTGTATAAAGTTAATTGGGTAGCAAGGATGGCTGATCATGCGTAAAACTCATTCAATAGAGTATAAAACAGAGCAGAAGTTTTTGTGATCGATGTGCATCCCACATATATATATATATATATATATATATGTATGTAGCATTTTTACTAGGTAATAGGAATAAGTCAATGTAGTTTATCAATGTTACTGAAATAATGATTCACCATACTTAGAAAAGCGGATACTCCGAACCGGTCCTTATTATAAGGTAGTATTTCTTAAGTTTCATTTATAATTTTCTTACAATTGAAAATAAAACCATAAAACTATTTAATAATAATTGGTAACACATAATGAATGTGAAAATACATTTTTTAAAGTTTTAATTCATTGAAGCTATGGAATACACATGTCTTCTTCCCCCACACAACTGAGTATGTTCAACTTTGGGATTTTTCCAGTTTACGTTGATGCTAATACGTCATTAATTATTTAACAAGAGGGAAATCCTCAGAATTTGTACCATGTTCACTGGACCATCTTAATTTGGACCCTACCAACTTCTTAACTTTATGTTTCTCGATCCATACACAAGAAAGAATGGTTAATCTCTTTTGCTCTTCAAGTTATTGATTTACAGAACAATAAACAAAAATGAATGGCATGCTAATTAATGAAGTATAATCACTAAATTGATTTCTTTTGTCTCCTGTGAAAGAGTATCTATATCTAAAACAGGTCGAAAGAGTTGGCAAATCATTTATCCTAATCCTGATAAATGACAGAGAAACCTGCTTGAAGTACCATTTGTATTTACGGACAATTTTGAACTAAATTCAATTAAAATTTGTGCCTTATAAATTTATACAATAAATACAACCGGAGGGAGTACTTCAGTTACGAGCAATCAGCATGAAAAACTAGGTTCTATTCAATGGCACAAAATCATGAGAAAATGCTACAACAAAAACACGAAACAAAAAGAATCATCTCAAAGGTTTAGAGACGAAATGGATGAATCATATGAAAAGAAAAGAAAAGAAAAAAAATTTATGGATGCATCATCTGGAAAGAGGAGTAACTAATAATGTCTAAATCCACTACCTTCACCCTAAACTTCTCAAGGCGTGGTGATACATCAAAATAGGAAGTAAGTCCAGACACGCTCTTTGCATAGAATAAATTAAGTTGTACTTCCTCTGTCCCAAAATTATTGTCCAGTTTGAGATTTTAGATTTAGTATAATTTTAACTAGAAATAAAAATTCAATCTGGACAATAATTATGGGACGGAGGGAGTATATATAACTGCTTCAGTGCACTTAGCAGAGGCAGTTTCCCTTCAAACTGGGACAACAGAAACAAAGACGGCGAGAAATAGTAATTTAAAACAATTCGGAAGCATCATAGAGAAAAGCTAGGAAAAGAAACTTAGTCCAACCACATAATGAGAAAGATGCATATATACCTCTTTAGCCCTCCAAGGATTAAGAAATACGGAAAGAACCTCCAGTCTTGAGAAGTGGGATGAAAGCATGTGAACGAAATTCTCAACTTCATAACGACAATTGCTGATGGAAATATATATTGACAAGGCAGGGGACATTCATAAGCACTAATTCAACAGGAAAACCAATCCTGGGCGATATAAGATTAGCATTGCAAACAATGAGGGATTTTATGGGGCATAAGGAAATTTTCAAGTGTCCGGATGCTGGATAAGGACTACAAACTGCCAAAGTTAGAGCAGAATCGATCACTGACATACTTTCAAGAACTTTACAATTGTGCAATAGGACTTCAAGTTTGAACCCGGAGACTTTGACCCTCTTTAAAATCAATACTTTAAGAGAATCCCAACTTCTTTGAGCAACAAGCGCAGAAAGAAAAGAATAGTCTTGAAAGTAGGGGGGGTTGGAATTGGACCCTGCCGTGACGGGTTCACCACCAGGCTTTGCACGCTCTTGTCCAGGGCATACTGAAGCCACTTATTAATATCCTCCTTAAAGGAAACATCCAAATCAGCATAAATACTGAACTTTTTCAAAACCAATGATTGATGGGACTCCAGAACTTTGTTCACCCAGTTAGTAAAATTGCATCTTTCCCTTTCAAGGAGAACCATGTACTAGTTGATGCCATGTCGCAGAAGGCAGCTACTGCATCAAAAAAATCAAGCCCAGGAACAAAAGTCCACACAAGATTCCATCTTTTCGACAAAACACTTGTTCTGCCAGCTTCTTTGGGCGGTAAAAATGATAATATACAACAAAGGATTTTATCTAGAAGCTGACTGATCCGATCTTCATATACATGCTGTGTGATTGAATAGCATTAGTTTTATTTTTTTTACCTTGGTAGAATAACTTACCGCAAGTAATCCAACAGATTCTTAGAAAATTTGAACTAAGCAAAATGAGCAACAACCAACATTAACAACATTAAGGACCTTATGGCCGATCTCAAATTTAACAACAACAGGTCAAGATTTGGGGAGAACTTATACAGGTCGAGTACTATCAAAATGATATAAGACACTTGGTCTAATTATTTACGGATTAAGAAATAAAGTGATTTAAAAATTTAAGAAATTTTTAAAACCCATTTCTTAAAATTAAGAAAGAGTGGTGCGTGTATTTCACATAACTTATAAAGACTTGCATGTTTAGCCCTCCTTTCTTATACTAATTGCCAAATAAAGGTCTATGTGTAACTAGCTACATGCACTTAATGTGCATGGTATAATTTTCACCAAACAGAGGTGTTCGACGCCATGCGGCTTAAGATGTTCTTTTGATACCTTTCTCAGGGTATTTTCTACTGTACTTCGACCAGTTCAACTATTTTAACTCCAGTCGCTTTATTTAGATTTTGATTGGGTTAACTAATTTTAATGAAATGTCTCTTTTATTTTAATATCAAATAACACAAATTAGCTCAAGACAATTTAAAGTCGCATTTTGAATTGCATTAGAGAGAGAAAAAAAATTCTAAAGGACCATATTGATAACTAATTTCATCCATTAATTTCTCAAATGAAAAACTTATGCAGGTTTCAATAAGGCACAAACACATAAAGATAGATAGAAAAAAAAAGTATGGCATGAGTCAGATCCAAAGAGAAAAAAGTATGAGGAATTAAGACATTTCGCAGCCATGGGAAACAATACTCCTCAGCTGACTCGAGCCTCAAATATAGAAACTCATTCACGGCGCACCATACATGATATGATTCATTTTTGGTTAAGAACACTTTTCACGGGTTTGTAAGTGGAAAATACGAAAGTATGTGAACCAATTTTTTTCAGAAAATTTCGTAAGAGCATATTAGAGGAGGACCCGATTCCTAAAATAATTACGGCGTAAATAAACTCATCATAAAAACAATCCCACAAGAAGAACCACAATCGTTGTAATAATAAGTCAAACCAAACTATTGTATTCATGGCCAATTATTCTAAGCAAACTACCACAGAAACTGGTGAGGGAACTTCTATCATGGCTTCCGGCCAAACCAATAAGTCCTATCTAAACTACTCTGGCATTCAATTAGTCAGGATCCATCGTTCGACGAGTTACTACGTAACCGCTATTGTATTTAGAGGGCTTTTTATTTCCAAGAGGAAAGGGCCTGAACTATACATGTACATTGAATTTTGATTATATGAGCCTTGGAGGTAAACGAATTTGTCGCGCTTGATCTTTATACACAGAGTGAGTTTTTCTTGCCTACTCAAGTCATAAAATACCTTTCAAAAAAAAAAAACCCATAAAATAATCCATGTTAAAAATTATTGCTTTTGGACATGGTTTATCACTATCCACTTTACCTGAGCGTAAAATCTGTTCATAGGAATGGTAGCGGAGGCATTGGCAACTGACAAGTGAAAGATAATATTCTACATGATGAGTGTTCTGAATTCGAGGGTATGCTCCCAGGTGGAAAAGCGTTAATGAAACTCGTCGATGTGAGTATATTTCATATCACTCTCATTGGACTTGCATTTAACCCGTGAATGTGAATATAAACATATAACTCTTACTCGACTTGTATTTAACTCATAAAATGTGAATATACTCATATAACTCTTATTTTTCGCTTTTGACTCAACGATGTGAGATTGTGAGTACACTCATATAACATTCACTTGAATCGCATTGAACAATCGGTGTGAGTATATTAATATAACTCTCATTCGAGTCGCATTTTACTCAGCAGTGTGATTATACTCATAGAAATCTCATTTGACTAGCAATTGTCCCGTTGTTAGGTAGACGAACAAGTCAATGAAATAATTTCTTCAAAAAATCAGTATTTTTGTGAACTTTACAATGATTTCCATACATTAATTACTCAAAAAACAATAAAGCAATCAAATAATTTTGAAAATGGTAAAAAAAATCATAAATTTTAGAGGTTATTGACTAATTCGTCGGTATTATAACCTGACGAAACATTCGATAGGGATCATTTCCCTTGAAAAACAATGAAATGTTTAATTTTTATATTGATACTATACTTTAATTACTCAAATATTATAATATCATAAAATTTTTTTGCAAAAGATCATAAAAGATTTTGGATTTTATATTTCGGTGACTTTTATCGTGAATGTAAATCGTTCCGTCATAGTTCTTAGTTGTACGAACTAGTCGACCAAAAATTTGTACAAGGAGTCAGTATTTTTTAATGTTTATATGGATTTACATACATTGATTGCTTCCAACACTATAAAACAATAGATATTAGCAAAATTTAAGGATTAAATTCTACAATTTTTTGGGTCATAATCTTTAAAACGGTAATTTGACTTGATTTTTTTTTTGTGTCTGTTAAAAAGTTAATTATTTTTAGAATATGATATTTCTCGAAAAATAAATTTTTGATAGACCAAAAAAATAGAGTAGCCATACGAATTGATGTCACAGATAAATTGTAACCAACAAAACCTGTAACAAAGTAAAAGCATGGTTTGACATGGCAGACGCATCTCTTTTTCATAAAATGTAGTATCCAATAAGCATCGTTTACCTTTAACAAAGTACTTGTTCATATTTCATACGCATCGTTTGAGAAAATGTATCTAATGAGAATCATATCTCAGTTTCTTACAGAAAGATGATTACATACAGTCACGGATTCAAGGGGGGTCAGGGTGGTCGATCGACCCCCCGACCGGCAGGATTGGGTCAATTTTTTTCTTAGTAGGGTGTCCGTTAATTGAAATTTTTTCAGTTCGACCCTCCTGTGACGATTGAATAATCTTATTTTCGACCCCGCGATATGAAAATCCTCGTTCCGTCACTGATTATATACATAGTTAAAAAATTCTTCTGAAATCTTCTGCTTCCTGATAAATTTTTTTTTTTTTTACCAAAGGGTGATATGGAATTGGGGGCTGATCCATGTTTTGGGCCCTGAACTAATCTTGTACTATTTCGGCCCATTAATCTCATTTACAACCCGCACCGGGTTCGTGTAGATGAACACCGACCCGGATTCACGAACATCTTATTAATAACTTGAGCCTGAACATACACACAAGGATAATAACTTCTCGAAAGTCGGCGAAGAAGGTAAAGAGTTATTTCTGATTGTAAGATTGTATTGGGAAAAAATGAAAATCTGATCACTTTTTTCGACGTTTGGTATTTTGGTTCGAATTCTTGCTGTGATATATTCATATAGGATTATAAGCAGACGTATTTAAACTGATACTTTTCGAGCAATTAGGGCAAAAGGTTGTCATACATCAATTCTGATTTTGTGCGATGTGCTCAGGTTGAACGAAAAGGAAGATCGGATACAATCTCTGGTGGACTGAGCCCTTCTCTGCAACCCGCGAAGAGGTAAAATCCCTGTGATTTTGGAATTATTTTTTTTCTTATTGCAACTGGCGCGGTCTCGTTTTCACCTTCTATTTCCTTGTTGAATTTCCATTATATATAAATTTTTGTTGAGCGATCTTGGCCGGAATAAGTAGGTCTATGAAAATTAAATCGAACTTGTTTATTTTCGTTTGATGATTTTGTTTGTTTTGCTCGTAATGAAGTTGGAGAACAATGGATTCGAGGAACACCCCTTTACCGACCTCTCTGGTCCATGCCTCTGCACCCTCATCACCCCTGATACGGTGGAGGTAACTGGTTTCTTACTTTTCTTTCTTTTTGAGATGTGTGTATGATATACACGTATGCATATTCTTTGGGAATTTAATTTCTTAGGCGTTCTTTTTCGTTTGGTTTGATTTATTTACTTTTGGTTGTGATGTTTATAGAGTTGTGATGGCTATTACTATGAGTTTGAAAATGGTACCACAGCAATTGGTTTTATTTTGAACAAGGAAGGTGTTATGGTAGCTGTTGATCATTCAAGCATACCATCTGGTTCATTTCCCCAAAACGTAATTGTCTTCCATTCACACCTGCTTACCACTTTTTCTGGCGGGAGTAAAGATTCGCTTGAACGTTTGCCGGTTTATCTGCAGAAGAAGGTACTAGCTGCTAGTAAGCATTGTGAACTCTATGTTTTACTTTAGAGACGGTTTAACTGCAATCTAAGAATGATTGGCTGTTGTAATGATTGTGAATACGTTGTGTGTGTTTAGTGCCACGAATATGAACTCAAGGAGGGGAAAAAAGCTTCTGCTGCAGAAGCATCCAAGTGGCTGGCTGATTTTCTGTCCCTTCATCCTGACAGTGATGACCGTTTGTCCCTAGGAGTACTAATTGCTGGGTGGGACAACGAATTGGTAAATATTAGAATGCTCCTTCCGTTTTGATTTTTTTTCCGCGGACTCTTATTGAATTGATCATGGTTTGTGTTTCCGGAGGGACCTGCCTTGTATAAAGTGAACGGTAAGGGGAAACTACGTCAAAGTCCATACCTTGGAGCTGGATGTGGTTCAAGTGGATCTGGTGGATTGAGTTATAGGTATGCCACTTTATATGGTTCTGTAAGTTGTAACGCAAGAACATTTGGTTTTGCTTGCCTTACTTTCAAGTATTAGGAATTGATACTTGTCCTTCTTGATGCATCAAGCACTATAATTCAATTCCTGTAATTTGTCTTGAGTTCTATCTTCTGATGGATTTTTGAAATTCTGTCTGGTTTTACTTGAATGATTTTCCTACGGCCTTGTTTCTGATTTTTATATTGCTCCTGTGATTTGAAATTTCGGCTGATCTTAAGAATGTGTTTTCTGCTTTTTTCTAGAGTCCTCGGTAATTTGTCCCTGGCTGATGCTACAGAGGTGGCCAAAAAAGCACTCTGTCTTGGTGTATGTTATGTTCCTGAAAGTGAGGGATGTGTGAGTGGTAAGTTCGTGATCTCCTGGCCACTTCTGTTCTTACACATTTGTTTATGCCTGCAGTTCTTAGATAATGTCTTGGTTCTTATGTTAATAAATTTTCTTTCCCTGATGAGTATGTTCTTTTTTCTTTTTTTTTTTTTTTTTTTTTTTTTGGTTTACCGTATGTTCTTTTTCCTGTATTTAAGTTTTCCACGTGGGATGTGCCGGGGTTACACAAGTGGTCTTTGGTGATGATATTGGCGAATGGCAGAATCATTTCTTCAGCAAAGTGCCCTGGCAGAGGAAGGTTTTGGAGGATTGCATGAACATGGCAAAAAAAAACCTTCGACCTAGAAACTGAAGAGTGCATGAGCTTCTTTCTCATTTTGCGGACTAGAGGGATTTTCTGATCGTCTATGTTTGCACTCGAAGGTTTTATTACCTTTAGATTATAGTTATACTATCTCTGTACGACTGTACTTCTAAAATCTGTCATATGGATTTGGATTCGAATCTGCACTATAATGATTTGTATGTAAGTCCTAGTTTTCTAAATGAATGGGAAAATCCTAAGCTCTAGAGAACTGAATCTCATCGTAAATTATTAAAAATTCAACCATTCATGCCAAAGTTTGAACTTGTTCATTAATTTTCTTCCCACAATGAAAATGACGTCACCTGGCCCTATTGGAATTAATTATTCGACCAAAAGCAATTTTTAATCAACCCCGGGCCGTGCCGCGCCGGTAACAACCAACCACCGAGAAACTCTAAAAGCGATTTTTAATTCTGAATTCTTAAGTCCGTTAAAGCGTTTACAATCATTTACTTCTGTATATGGGATGGAAAGTTTGGGTTGGATGAGCAAATAAATTATTATGTCAACGAGATAATGATTTAAAATTAAGATTGTAAACAATGAAAATAATAATTTAGAAAAGAAAAGTAAAAAAAAAATGGAAATAAAAATTTTGGGCAATGATGCAGCTTTTAATCAGAATCAATCTACATAAGAACCTGATTCTACATAAGAACCATGACTAAAGAATAGATTGATGAAGGTGTCATGTCTCTTACAAAGCCCACCTCAAAAGCTAATTTGTAAGGGGAAAGAACCCAGAGACATATAAATCATGCATTAGTGTCATCTAACACATATGTGGGAGTCAAGTAACTACCATTACATATCACCACGCTTCCATTCTAACGTCTCGGCTGTTGCACTTTAGATAGTTCTATTCCGGCACAAGTAGTCATTTTCATGGCGGCTTCACTCCGCAGGTAGGTATGCAGAACTCGTCGCCAATCAAATACCGTCGATCAATATTTTCAGCGAAAGCTTCGAACAATTGGAATTCCATTTCAAATTGATATGAGCTGATAATTCGAGGATCGCTAGTTCTGATACAAATTGTAAGGTACCGGAATAATTCGGACCAAGAATCAAACAATGGGGGAGAATTAGAAGAACAGGACTAATTTAGGGTTTTGGAAGAAATTGGGGGAGAGAGAGATTTCAGGGGGAAAGGAATAAAAACCAAAACTGGTTTAATTCATTTGATCAATAATCGATTGTTCATTACAGATGATTCCGTGCTATTTATTCTAATCCGGTCAAATGACCAAAACTAAAGATATTACACAAAAGATCCTGTATTTAAGCTATTTTCTATTTGATACCCAAGGTCATGACATTTACCTTTGAAAGATAGCAGTCCAGGGCTCCAGGCCTACCAGTAAAAAACTAATCCTAATTTGCAGCACAATATAAAAGACCGCCGCATCTTCCCTGAATCCCGCCTGACTTGCTCCTGCGTTGTTTTACTCACACTGACCCTCATCATATTTTTCATCAAAAAACGCATCGTCTCTCCAATGGCATCAATTTCAGAACTATTCAAACCTTCAATTTGTTTTTCATTAACTAAAGTTTTAACTTTCGACTGTTTTCTGTTTCTCATACTCAAAACCGTTTGTACTTTAGTTTGTTTTTCCATTTCTTTTGGATTCAGCCATGGGCTGGATTCGACGTTCCGGCCATCGGCTGGGATTCTCGGAATCTTCTGTTTTTTAATGCAACTATTGTACGATTCTTCTGTTCACCGGCCGTCGGGGCTTTTCCGACCAGTATTTCATCGTTTGATTTCCGCGCTCCGAGTATTTGTGCTTGTGGGCTTAATCACATTGGGTTGCCCAATTTAGCCCAGTCTGAACGGGCTTCTTGGGCTTCTTGAGTTGGAATACTATTTTTTTTTTTTAATATTTTTCTTTTCCCGCCTCGAAGTATATTTCGGTTATGTTCTTCCCTGGGGGTTATGGGGAGAACGAATTTTGAGCCTCTTCATTTGCCTTCAACTATAAATATCCATAGCAATTCACGTTTTCTGCATTCCAAGCTACCTCAGAGTTTCTTCAGCAAATTTCCTCTCTCCCTCCCTTCTTGCTTCTTCATCTCAAATTTGTAGTATCAAATCAAATGGATCGTGGGTAAGCTTCTTGTTTTATCGTCACCTCTTTTCTTCGTTATCAGTGATTTCTTGGTTGATTTTTGCTATTTTTGTTTTATTGAAAATCTTTTCCTCTTCGTTCTTCTCTTCAGAAGCGATGATGATGTAGATCATAAGACGAAGAGACTACGGAGGTAAGTTTTTGTTTTAATTTTGTTGTTTTTCTGTGATTTATGTTCTGGCCGATGAATTTCTTGCTAATAATCTTGATTCCAAAGATAACTGTGCTAGAAGGCTAGAAAAAACCTCCCCTCTCTGTGGCCGTGGTTCTCTATTTCTGTAATATTCGCCAATGTGACTGAGGATAACTTGTATTGCTACTTTTCTACTACCTTTTGCTTTTTTAATTGAATTTATCTTAGAATTTTTCTGTTTCTTGCAACCCCAGGCAGACCTTGTACTGTTCTTTGTGAATTTCTTGGAAATATATATAGTTTTTGCGTGTATATATAAACACATATTTAACTTTTGTATTTTGTTATACTGCAGATAACTTTATTGCATTCCCTTTTTAAGTACTGCTACTTTTTCTGCACTTTGCTGTGTTTTGATTATTGTGTATTTGGGTTTACATTTCTTGTTTACATCTTATTTTGTCCACTGTACTGAGTGTTTTTTTGCTGGGTTGGGTTTTCATTCTTGTTTTATTCCTTCTGCTCAAGAGTCTTGTGCATATGTTATTGATGTGTTTTATCCATTTGGAACAATGTGTGTTGAGTTTTTCCCTTGGATAAGCTTTTTTCTGAGTGTTGGTTCTGAAGAGTGTTACTTGTTCTCTTTATACCTGTAAATATAAATGGAAATTTGTGGCTTCTTACTCTTTAGGTTGCCCTTGGAATGCTTGTGGTATTTTTTCAAACCATTTGTTATCAAGTAATCCGTTGCATCTGCGCTTCCGTTGTGTCTTCACTATTGACAATTAGGAACTCGATTATTGGAAACTGAAAGTAATGGATACTTTACATATCGGTGGCTTTTGTGTTTCATCTTTTTATTTTGCTCGCAAAATCTCTTATATCTTTTCATGTCAAGAATTTCTCAATCTTTACATCTTGTTCTTTATTTGATTACTTCAAATAATTCTCATGACTGTTTTTCCGTCCTTTTTTCTTTATTAAACTTGCTGCAGTCATTTCTGAGGTTTACATGTAGGGCTTCTTAAATATGTAACTGAAACTGTGTGGATCTTTGGCTTAATTTACACTTATTTATGTGGTTCTCATTTGGGTTTTTTCTGTATATATTGGATGTGTTTCTTCTGTGTCTTTTTGAGCTTATGACATGCGACATATTGTGTAATTGCTGTAGGTTTTTCCACGCTAGCCATGCCAATGAAAAATACAGTGCAATCTCAAATTTTTGTTTCTTGCTATTTACATATTAGGAGCTCAGTTATGGTAACAAACAATAGTAGATATCTTTTGTTATCGGGGGTGATTTTTGTGATGCTTCTTTTAGAATTTTTCTCGGATAATCTTTGATGACTTTAGATATCAAGTGTCTCTCAATTGTTTCATCCTGTGAGTACAAAATTCTTTGAAACTTTCTTCTATTAAAACTGTAATAACTCCTGTCCTTTCTCTTGTATCAAACTTTCTGCCATGATATCCATGGTTACACTTAGGGCTTCTGTTGTAATTAGTTACTGAAACCATGTGGATAGTTAGACTTTTATGTATTTCTCCTTTTGGATTTTTGCATGCTATGTTTGATGTGTTACTTCTGAGGCCTTTTGAGCGTCAGAGATAGAAATGTCATGTATCTTCTATGGAATTGTTTTTCCAGCTCTTTAATTACTGTTGATCTCAAGTCCTGCAAATGAAATTGATCATTAAACTTTAACTTAACTGTGTTTTTGTGTGTACAGTACTGCTGCTTCTGGGCCCTCTTCTGTCCAGGCCCTGCCTTCTGTACCCCTTTTTCTTGCTGTTGGGGATGATCCTATTGTCAAGTATGTTTTTGATCTTCTGAAATGAAATGCTGCATTAAAGACTCTGTAATTTTTCTCAGTATTTGTTTTGTGTATTGCTCTCCTGCATCTGCGGCTGTTTCTTAATTTTTGTTTTGACTAGATCTAGTTTTTTTGCTAGGTTTGGATTGAATACTTTTGAGTTTTTTCAAGAGGTTTATTTTGCCAGAAAGGGTATTCTTATATTTAGATTATGCCTAATGCAGGGTGATAATGAAGTTGAACTTATTAGTTGTTTTTTGTACAGAGTTGAATGTTGTTAGACTGCCTAATTTTAATGTTGTAGTAGTACATTATAGTTGTTCTTGTTCTGCTGCTGGAATACTTTTTTAGTTTTTCTTGGTTGTCTCCGATATGCTTGTCCAGGATAATAAAGAGCGGTACCACTATTATTGTGTTCAAATTCATTGACCTCATAACTGGTAAGCGTCACGTCTGCTTTGCGGCCGATGGTCGTGGGGTTCATCCTGTGACTTATAGAACAGGTGAGTCATCTTTTCAGGAGTAATTGATTGATCTTAATTTTTATATTGTCTCACTGAATCTTTTGACTGACTTAATCTTTTAATTGATTAGTGCTAACTAGAGCCAATAAAATTACTGTGGTAGGCAGACATACTTTGTTTGCATTTTGTGGCCACAATTCTATTGGACGATCACTGAGTAAGGGTCTAGTTAATCAGGTAGCTCATTTTAAACCTTCATTATTTTCTTCTTATGTCTTGTTGAAGTGTTGGACTATATATATATTCTGCATTTATTTGTTTCAGGTCCAGCAAAGGGGTTTTGAAGATTATGGGATCCATGATGCTATTTTGTACCTGGAAACTCATCAGGGAGATGCAGTTAGGGAGGCCAAGGGTGCTGGCGAGGGATTTGCATCTGTTGTGTGTGGATATGACAGTGCATTGAGAGTAAGTTTTATGAAATTTTTGGGATTACTGGAAATAGAACTGTGTGCATGGAGTTTAATTTTTGCCTTTCTGGTTGGTGAAGTTCTTGGCAAATTTCTGAATTGGCTAAAGTTCTGCATTCATTTGCTTCTGTGTAGCCCAAATGTTTCTGAAACTTAAGATGTCTTTGTTGTTGTTTAAGGATAATGTTGCGTCCTAGTTTTCTAAATGATTCCTATGTCTTTATCTGAGAAAATGGGAATTTGAGAAAGTCCCATTTTTATTGCTTCATGGCTATATTGATGTGTGGTTCTAGCAATTTGAAGTAGATTGATTAATTGCTTTGGTTTGATAGGATGCTTTGATCTTAAGGGGGGAGGGCATTTTATGTCTGTCTTACGTACCTCATTTTTGGGTAGATTGTTTGCTTTATTGTAAGATTTGACAATAGTAATTGTCAATGGCAATTTGCTTTTGACCTGTAAAAGTCCAGATTCGGCCCTTTTGATTCGTGATTAAAGCCTGAGCACCCACCCCCTACAATATTATTGGGTCTGTTTCCTGAGCAGAGAGTTTGAAGCTAATTTTCACTACCCATTTTTCAGCTTGATGTTTGTGGGATTCAGTTATTTGGTTTTTGGTGTCTATATATTTATTTCCTTCTAAAATGTAAATTGTGCAGCAATTTCGCCTTTTCGCTATTGATAATGACGGCGTGGCAACTGAGTGGCCAGAAGCCGTCATCCTAGGACACGGGGGATCTACTGCACTTGAATCGTTAATTGATTCTGGGTACATGATTATCTTAAAAAACTATACACTTAACTTTTATTGGATTGTGCAATTTCACCATTTTTTTTCCACATTTTTGTTCTTGTTCTTGTTCAGTGTCTGGGGCACTCGCATGTTGACTCATCAGGCATGTTTGGTGGCCAGACAAGCCATCTGTGAGGCAGCAACTGTAGACTGGTCAACGGGTGGAACCGTTACCGGTGAGTTCCAGTCATTTTATATCCTCTAACAACGCTACCGGTACCGGTTAGATTTTTGGGATTAAACTAACAACGCTCCTTGTTTTATATAGTTTACCTTATGGGGGAGCGGGGACATTATCCTTATTTCAAAAAGCACGATGTTCCAAGATTTTTGCGGATCCGGGGGCTGCCTGACCAGGCTGACATTTCTGATGAACATTAGATTTTGGTTATGTAACAAACCAAATTTGGATCTTAGAATTTGTTCCTGTTATTCTTTAGCTCCTGCAACAGCAGTGTTGATTTTTGGCAATGTGGCCTTCCAATAGATTGTAGTTTATGATCAGGTTCAGTTCGACAGACGTTTAGTAGTGATTACTAATGGAGTTTCCACTGGAGAAATTATGTACATTTTTGCAATGATTGATGTTATTACTTCATTTATTTCCACATGCATTCTTTATCTATATCTCATTCCTTAGTTTCAAATCACATCTCTGAATTGTATTAGGAGGAACTGTCAAGAAATGACAAATGACAGTTCTAAAATTAGAAAATTACGGTTTTTAAATTCTCAATAATCTATTACATTTTGACTAATTAAAGTGGAATTGGGTTCGGTGAAGGTGATTTGATCAAAAAATACACTTGTATCCAATTTAAGCTTGTATCAGGGAGTGTTACAAGAAACTGTAGCCAAAGGTATCTTATGATTAAAAAAAAATTAAAAAAAAAGCCATTATGGGTTCAAAATTTACGATGACTATGGAGTAATCTTAATATTTTGACTGTTAAGAAAGCAAATTAGTTAGTATGCCAAAAGTGGAGTGGACACCGGGCTCTATTAAAAAAAAAAAAACAAATAAGGTAAAGAATTAACCCATGATTGTTTTTTAGTATTCCTAGAGACAATTTTTGAAATAGTTTAGGGGCATCTGCTTATTAATTATTGAATTTTATAATTTTCATTTGGAGTTTAAGGTTAGGGAACAATTTAAATCTTTAAAACATTATTTTTTTGTTTTTTTTGTTAAATTTTTTTCTGTATATATCATTGCTCTTAATAATAATATACACATCCATCACAAATTGACTGTATTCTACTGATGTGGATTTTTTTCTAAAAAATTCTTATAGTGAAAGTCCACATTTTTCGAAACAGAGATAATAAGAATTTGTGGACTTTCACTAAATGAATAATTATGAATTAGATGTTTCCGTTGGCGAATATCCAACCACCCATGCATTAAATCAGTTTAATAATAAAATAAAAATTTTAAAAATTCATTTATCCAAAAAATAAAAGATCCAAAAAAAATTCAGGAAATTTTCTAACTTGTAATCTTTTGTTATCTTTTGAGTTTGAAACTAAAAATATGTAGATTAAATTGAGTGATTTTTTTGGGACTGAAAGTCAGAGAATTTTTATATTATTAAAGTGAAATTTTCTTGTAAGTCTACAAATGTGACCGTATTATATCAAAACCGTTGGATCAAATTTGTTCAACTTATTCTCCACCATTGAAGGTCATAACTTTATATATCATGACGTAGTTAAATTCATTTCATATCTATTTTACTGTTATGAGTTTGATTTGAAATTGTTATTATATTTTCTTGGAATTCCTATTTCTATCTATGGTAAAACATTTTTTCTTATCACTCCGGACCCCGTCCATTCAAACTTCCAATTTGTTAGTATTTATTTGTCGAAGTTGTTAACTTTATTTTTGTGAAAATATCATGAACCACGGATCCTAAAACCATTATTTTGGCAGAGGGAACGCCCATCATATCTTAGGGCTCTATTTTTATGGTCTCTGAAAAAGGAAAAAAAACATTTTTTACATATCAACAGAAAATTTCTACCCACATCTCCACAGTCAACTTACAATACGTTTCACCTGAAATGAAAATTGCTATATCTGAAGTCTTCTGCTTCGTAAGTTTGGTTTTTACACTGTAGGTGATGAGGAGGTATTGGGCCGACCCATATTTCGGGCCCCAAACTAATCCTTTTATTATTTTTCACCCATTTATTATTCAGTTCCTTTGATTGTATCTAATTTTATCAAAGACAACACGATGGAGTGAGTACTCATTACAATAGCAATCATTGCACTCATGACTTCTATTCCAGTTTATTTTTATGTACAAATCACCAAAAGGGCATGATGCCGCTGTTTTTCTTTTTTTTTTTTTAATTAAAAGTAATAATAGTTGTACCATCATATAATGGTTAATATGCAAACTATAGGCTTTTTAATAAGATAGAATTAAATAGATTTGCTTTTCAAGAAAAAGACAACTTGAGAAAGACAAAATAATAGTGCTTTCGAATTCGGAACCCTTTATTCCCTAACTTAAATTCCCTATATATATATATATATATTTGTATATACTAGTACTCACTAATTTGTTTGTTTGTTTGGGCCAACTACTATTAATTAATACTAGAATGTAGTGCGATTTTCATTACCGTAATTAGTTCACTATAATCAGACCATGTATACTTGGCACTACCCGTACAGTGTCGGTGATCCACTGTGCTATGAAATTCAGAGACACAAACGAAAGTCTTGTAAAGTTCGGAATTTTATACTATAATTTAACTTTTTTAATTTGTAGTCAAGATTACTTTCGACAAGTGTTCATTCCCTCGTGAACATAGAACTAAGAATAGTTCGATTATTATGGTGTAAACAATGGTAAAATCATCACAAGAAAGTTCGTTCAAATTGTAACTAGAATATTTGTGTATTACATAAGACAGTTTAAAAATATAATGTTTGGTTAAAATTATGATCGAGTTAGTAAGAGAAATTTAATATCGTTCAAGGTGTTAATCTGTTACATTAAAAATAAGATCTCCGAATTAATTTTTGAGTAACGGACATGGAAATGTTAAATTTTCTTAGGAAATTTTTCATCACACCACGGTTGTTATTAGTATTATTTGCATCATGTGAGATTGATGAGAGAGTCAACAACTCAACATGATGAAATTTTTTTAATCATGCAAGTATAGAAAAGGAAAAAAGGGATTCCATTGAATCGGCTTTTAACAATTTACGTGGATTCCTTTAACAGTCATAATTGTTGCTTTTTTATCTTCTTCTCACTTTGGTTGAACCTTTAAAATTTCTCAAATCAACTTTATGCCATAATCATTTCATAACTATGTATCCCCCTTACTCTTTCATCAGTAACGAAACGGGGAAATAAAACAAGAACAAATAGATCAAATTCTTCCCCCAATATGAATTATATATTCGTAAGATCGACAATGTTGACATTTTTCTGTGTGTTTTTTAAACTTAAAACTACGAATATGAACAATTCATAAGATCAACAATGTTGACTTGAGAGTTGAGCCATTAGTGATATTGAATCTCGGGTTTCAAAAATGTATTGGGGGAGTAAAACCCAAAGATTCCGAACAATTGGATGGGCATTAACATGTTGAAGTGGTCCAAAAATGTATCGAAACTTTAAAAAATCTGGTGGGAAAAGGTGAATATGAAATCTGTGTGTCATTCAAAAAAAGAAAAAAAAGAAAAAAAAAGAAAATGTACACAAAATTCATTTCACTACTATGAAGTTAACACAGTAGAGTTGCAACTGGTGAAAGACCAAAACATGGAAACAAAGGCCGAAACAAACATCATCAAGAAACGGGAAAACAAAACCGACCGCTTTCGTTGACCTCAAATCTCGGGGTGTGACTGTCGGTAATCTCTTTGGTGTTTTGGCATTTAGCCCTTCAATTTTTCAAAGCCATTCTCACCTATCCTCACATGTTTTGTTTTGTTCCATTTGGCCACTTAAATAGTATGAGTATCATCCCAACAGTGTTTATGTTTATGAATCACATCATTATCGAACATCACCGTTCCATCAAAACCTTACGGGGAGATTGAGAATATACTAAGGATCGGAAAATTGAATGACAACCTAATGGTTAAAATGTTGTATCGAATCTAAGTTCAATTCCACCAAAGGATATGTAAGGGAATTTTACCTACATTTAAGTAGGATTGCTGGGGTGAATTTTTTGTAAAAAAATACTAAGGATCAAGTAACAATGTAAACGTAAGAAGATGAATTATAATAGTAATAAATAATAAACCATGTGAAAGTGAAAAAACACTAGTATTGTTGTAGTTCAATTCTTTGTGATTATGTATTATTCATCATTTTTCTGTATATAATTATGATTATCATTTATGACAAAAAAAAAAAAAACAGTAGCCTTCAAAATTTGTTGGAATAGTTTGTTTGAAAATTGAAATGCATGGTCTGACCAAAATTAGTAATTAGTATTTGGTCCTTGAAATATACAATATTCTTACTTCCTTACACTTAACTTTCACATACCCGTCACCGGTTACCGGTCACCACCACCAGCAGAATCTTAGCTGGAGCGTGGAATACAGAAATACATCATGAAAGCAGTCCAGCACCGTCAACCAACCAAATGCCAAAATCCAAATTGAATTATTACCACTCTGCTCCATTTTTCTACTTCTTCTACTGCTACTTCTCCAAATCCAATTAATTAATCTACCTTTTCAGACACACTCTCAAGTACTCAATCACACACACACACACCCAAATTCAATTTCCAAATCCAATCAACATCATCACTAATCTTCCACTCCCACTCCACTCAATTTCATCTCCGACAGCCCCAGATTCTGCATTCTCTCATGCAGATGTAGATCTCTTCCTAATTTTTCACACACACACACACACACGCACACACCCACTCTTACCGTGTGACAAAGCAACAGTCCCCACAAGCCCAGATTCCATTTCCAGCTGCATTTACTTCCTCTGTTCTGAATTTTTTTTCTTCTCAATTCCAGAAGGAAAAAAAATGCTACCTTTTTCCCTTTTCTTCCTTCTTCTTCCTCTGTTCCTTACATCTGCATTATCTTCCTCCACCCTCCAGGTTAACCGGCGGATTCTTCATCAGCCCTTTTTCCCACAGGACTCCTTGCCTCCATCTCAGCCTCCTAATCCATCTCCACCGGCACCGGCCACCGCCGACATCCCATTTACCCCGGCCAACAACTCAAACAACGCCCCTTTCTTCCCACTCTACCCTTCCCCTCCGCCTCCTCCGGCAGCTTCCGTCGCCTCCTTTCCTGCTAATATCTCCTCCATTACCATTCCCGACTCTCCCAAATCCAAACGTGCATCTTCCAAGCTTGTTGCTGGCGCCATCGCCGCCGTGCTTGCCGCCGTCATTGTTTTAGCGGTTGTCGTGTTTCTACACATCCGCCGGCGGCGGCGGAGGGGGACGAGTTCCAGCAGCGACACTAAAACTCAGAGATCGGATACCAGCGGCCGGCCCAGCCACGCCAATAACGGAAACGTACCGAAGCTTCAGAGGCCGTCGCAAACGAGCTCGGAGTTTCTGTACTTGGGCACTTTGGTTAATACACATGGAGCCATTGACAATAGCGTTATGCAGCAACAACACCCGCGTGGCAGTAGCACCGGTGGCGAGAGCAGTGCAGCGAATTCGAGAAAATTCGACTCGCCGGAGCTCCGCCCTTTGCCGCCGCTTTATGGACACAACACTGTTAGGCGAAATTACGGTAATGGCGATGTGGGGTCCGCCACTACGGAAGAGGGTGATGAGTTTTACTCGCCCAGGGGGTCTTTAGGTGGTCGAGAGAGCTCGATTGGGACTGGATCGGCGTCCCGGAGAGGGTTCCCTCCGGTAGAGGCGGAGACCTTGGGTCACTCTAGCTCTACTTCGTCTTCGTCTTCCAGTACTGGATCAGATTCTCCGGTGAGGTCCGTTTCTCCCAGCATTTCCCCTCCGGCTAGTTTAAGTCCGAAAGTCTCCCGACCCAAGTCGCCGGAATTAGTCGCTCTCGAGACTGTGCCTCATCACGGATCATCTCCTCCTACGTTGTCATTCTTTGACGTTCAATTGGGTCAACAGAGATTATCTAAATCGCCATCGCCGACAATTTCACGATCGCCTTCACCGTCGCCGCCACGTTCACCATCGCCGGGGAGAATTTATAATAGAAGCAAAGAGTCATCACCCAGAATTTCAAATGCTTCTGATCATAATCCGGAGTCTCCAGTGATTATTCCCAGACTTGCTGATCAACATGTGGCAGCTCCGGTTCCGCCTGTTTCAATTCCTCCTCCACCTCCGCCTCCTCCGCCACCGAGTAAGTACTGGGAAAGTCCCAGAACACCATCTTCTGCAGCTAGCAAGATAATAACTCAGCCCCCTGCTTTAGTAACACCATTAAGGCCTATGTCTTTAGAGAGCCCAACAATGATATCACCAATGCAACTGCCTGGAAATGCCGAACAAGTTGAGAAGGATGAGGATACTTTTGAATTGAGACACATATCCAAAGAGAACGTCCAACAAGCCGAGGAGGGTCTCAAACCCCAGTTGAAGCCACTGCATTGGGACAAAGTAAGAGCAAGTTCTGATCGAGAAATGGTGTGGGATCAACTGCAGTCGAGTTCATTCAAGTGAGATGCTCAATCTTTTATGCTTAGTTATGTCTGGCATATGATGTGTGTGTGTGACTGTGTCCTTTGCTTTTGGTGTCTTTTCTGTGGAATTTGAATAACTCTTTCCTGCAGGTTGAATGAGGAGATGATTGAGACATTGTTTCTGAAGATTCCTCCTCCAGCTCCTAAGGAAACAATCCGAAAGCCAGTTCTTCCTTCCACAACCCAAGAAAACAGGGTTCTTGATCCCAAAAAGTCCCAGAACATTGCTATCTCGCTGAGAGCCCTGAATGTGACCGTGGATGAAGTTTGTGAAGCCCTAATTGAAGGTAAACTTTTAAGTTTCGGCACTGTGGAAATGGAAATGGATGCCCATTGTCTACCTTTTGCCACAAAATTTCGTCATATAGTATATAATCTGACTTTTAATATCAAATTATCCTCCTTTTGCTTGTATGTGTGCCTATGGAAGTGATCAAGAGGTTCATATGTATTTGTAAGTTCAAAATGAAAGTAAAGGTTAACGTAGATTGCCTTATGGTCTTCGTAAAAGCTTGATTGGTTCTAAACCACCCCCTATAGACTCCATATTTGCTGCTAGTCTCCCGGTTACTTCAATTTTAATCAGCCAATGAGCAGTCTGCATTTGGCTTTAGTTTCTATTGCAACGTGAGAAGGTTGTGCAAATAATTTACACCTGTCAAGTTCCAGCCTTCAAAGTGATTCCCAGTACTGTACCCATCCCCTGACTACTTGGCTTCTGTGGTTTGTTGACATCCTAGCCTAGACGGCATTGATAATGTAATGTCCTCTTGATAACTGTAAGAGCATTTGGGATCAAACCTTTCGAAGAAAAGATGCATTCGGCTCACTTATTATACTTTGCCTTTTGCTTGCTAAATCCTGGATATGATTGCCCCAGACTACTTGCTTAGAGAAACATGGGAGCAATGGATCAGTACCTTTTGTAGAATCAGGTTAGCTTTAAGGCTGCAATTAAAATACTACACGCTTTGAGGAATTCCTTTGTTCCTTTACCTAGTCGAAGCAGACATCGCATATGTTTGCATAGCCTCGTGTGGCTTCCAGTTTTGGGTGATCTTTGACTTCTACCGGTACAAAAGTCACATTACCTTAAATTTTCTTCTTTTCCTTTTTAGTTCAAGCCTCTGTGTCTTGTGCTAAATTTCAAGATTATAAGATGTCCTTCATGCTTCTATGCAGGCAATGTAGATACACTTGGAACTGAACTCCTTGAGAGTCTATTGAAAATGGCCCCCACTAAAGAAGAGGAGCGTAAATTGAAAGAGTACAAAGATGATTCTCCATTTAAGCTTGGACCAGCAGAAAAATTTTTGAAGGCAGTTCTGGATATACCTTTTGCATTTAAAAGAGTAGATGCAATGCTCTATGTAGCCAATTTTGAATCTGAGATTGACTACCTCAGAAAATCATTTGACACATTAGAGGTAATTTTTTATGATTATATCTTTTGGTACTCAAAAACCATGACAAGTTATATCAAACTGAAAATAGCTCACATATTCTCTTACAAGTGCTAAATTCTGGTCTGCTGTCAAAAAACAAAGTTATTCTGGTGTTATACTGAGGATCTCTCGTTTACTTGAATCTACAGGCTGCTTGTGAGGAACTAAGGAGTAGCAGGATGTTCTTGAAATTATTAGAAGCAGTGTTGAAGACAGGAAACCGCATGAATGTTGGAACAAACCGAGGTGATGCACGTGCATTCAAGCTTGACACTCTCCTCAAGCTTGTGGATGTGAAGGGAACCGATGGAAAGACAACTCTTTTGCATTTTGTTGTTCAGGAGATAATAAGAAGTGAGGGCGCCCGTCTTTCTAACCAAAACCAGGGTTACATGGTCGATGACGTCAAGTGTCGCAAGCTTGGGCTTCAGGTTGTATCCGGGCTCAGTTCAGAACTCGCAAATGTCAAGAAAGCTGCTGCAATGGAATCTGAAGTTCTCCATGGTGAAGTTTTGAAGCTCGCTAGTGGAATTGGGAAGATTGCAGAAGTTGTGAGGTCAATTGAAGCAGGATCAGAGGAAAGCAGCAGTGATAAGTTTTGTGAAACAACGTGGAGCTTTTTGAAGATGGCTGAAGAGGAGATTATAAGGATTCAAGCCCAAGAAAGTGTTGCATTGACCCTAGTAAAGGAGATCACAGAATACTTCCATGGAAACTCAGCTAAAGAAGAAGCTCATCCATTCAGAATATTTTTGGTGGTAAGAGATTTCCTGACTATTCTTGATCGGGTTTGCAAGGAAGTTGGAATGATTAATGAGCACACTATAGTTAGCTCAGCTCACAAATTTCCAGTTCCAGTGAACCCAAATCTACAGCCAATATCCAGTGTATTCCCTGGAAGGCTACAAAGCAGTTCTTCAGACGAAGATAGCTCCTCGGCATAGTTTAGGATAGTGGCCAGGCGAAATAATTTAGGTATTTTTGTATGTAAGTCATAATGTATAACAATTCTATAAACTGTTAGTCCAGTAGATATATAATATACGTGTAGAGAGGAGATCTTCTCTTTACAGGAATGAACAAGTAGCTGTAGACCTCGGAAGCTTTGAAGAGCTTTTCTAAATAAATACACATAAATTAAGGAGTATCTTTTGGTATTATTTTTTATTCGGAAATGAGACAATGGCGAAAGCGCTTCAGATGTTTGATTCATTTCCTTCATAATTACCTATAAATTTTAACTCAAATTACTCAGAGTCATGGTGTCGGACAGGGGTGTATATATACAATCTCATGTACCAAAAAGAAAAAAGTTGAAAATTCTGCAGATAAATAGTCAATGCCAGAAGCTAATAATATCAGGATTCAGGTCTCTTTCAAGATGCCAATCAAGAAGAAAAGAAGAATATCAAAAGAACAAAACCAGCGATGAAAACGACGAGTAACATGCACAGAATTCGTTGCTCAATGGTCCAAAATTCCAAATCGGAAGATAGTAAAAGAAAAAATTAGTTGAAGACAGGAAAGAAGAAGCATTCAAGTTGTAGATATACAAAAGATATGGTTATCTCATCTCAAAAAAGAACAAATAAAGTTTTTATTTTGGACAGAAGAAGTTTTATATGTAATGGGAGTGTAGGTAGGTGTTTTTGGGTTTATCTGAAATAGTTATATACTGGTGTTGGCTGATGCACATGCGAATGCACTAATGCCATTATCAACGTCTTGTACAGCTGCATTTGAGGTCGATTATATATTTCCAAATAATCATATTGATTTTCTTTTTAATAATGAGATTAGTACACATAACTCTCTCAATGTGTACTCCAGGACTTATTGCATTTTGTCATTTTTTTTTTATACCATATGATCTTAAAGCCAGAATGTACCGTTTTCTGAGCTTACAAACTAGCTACTGAATTGGATTATTAAATATAAGACGAAAAGAGTAATTTTCTTTTCACAATTCAAGGACTTGCGTTCTTGTAACAGTTTAGGTATCTTTAATTAATACACAATTACTTTTTTTTTTTTTTTCCTTTTTGTCTTGGGTTAGTACATACACACAACACAGAAGGCGGCTCCTATACTGGTAGTAATCTAGTAAATCATTGTGGAGCAGCAGGATAAAGTAGCCAGTATAGAATGATGATGAAGATGATTAGCTATAGATTGCTTTTGCTTTTTGGTGTTCAAAACGGAATTAAGAATCCATCGGAAAGGCTATTCTTTTCTACCCCAACAACATAATTGAAAGCGTTTTGCATAAACACTTTACCCATGCCCTTTAATTACGACAACGGTCATATTCTCAGTCCCCTTGATACTCTGACACAACAAGTAACGTTCAGGGAAGAAAGAATCCAAGTTCTTAAAGATCCATCCATGTCTATTTAATACTCTACCGTCTACTCGGGTCAGCCAACTATGTCCCTTAATTTATCCGTTTTTTCAGGCAGAAAGGGCATCAGCATCCATGCGCTCCAAGATTCTGCGCGCTTCTTCCTCTGTGGCTGGAACCACCTTTCTAATTCTAACTGCATTGTTCGCCTTTGCCTCCTGCCGAACAGTGAATGTGAAGTAAAACCTGTTTGAAATCTGCACAAGTAGACAAATTCACCCAAGAATTTATCACTTTTAAAGACATTAATGTTTCTAATATTTGTCAATAGATTGCAGCTGCATAGGTTAGGCGACTAGGTTCAGATAACAAAATAGACGATGCCAAACTGATTGTATTATACCTCACTAGACCTCAGCTCAGGCCTGGTAACATGGGCAACAACTTCAATGTTGATTAATGGCTGATCAGGGTTATGAGATTCTGTGTACAGAACACAAGACATGAAACGCAGGAAATCACCGACATCCACCTACACATCAGAGTGTGAAGACCAATTCAGGGTTTAGAAATGACTGCAAGTGCCACAGATTTGTGATTTTTCATAATGTCAGCGTAAATTTGGAAATTTTCAGATTATACCATTGCAAGAAAAGGTAAAAACTACTAGTATGTATACTACCCAATTAAGGTGGAAAATGAAGAGGTCACGTAAATCATCAGGGAAGAATAAATGCAATCCGCAACCCACTCAGTTTTGTCTTTATTCTACATAGTAAAACATGCAGAAAATTGCAGATTTGCAAATAGAAAGTATGAATCATTCCAAAAGGGAACTCACAGGTCTTAGAAAGTCAACGTGATCAACTTCCAAAAAGGAAGGCATCATGCCTGCAAAAGCATATGCTGTTGAGAATGCTAATTCAAATGCGCGATGCATCAGAAAGCCTCCAAAGATCCGACCATGAATGTTCCGTTGCTGAGGCTGACATATCAAAGAGTTCTCTAGGCGTGTGTCTCTAAGAAGAATGCTATCGCGATCAGCAAGTGCAGGCATGTCGCAAAAGATCCTCCCTTCAGATAATAAGGACTCAAGTCTATGGATTTCCCCATTCTCAATTTCCTTTCTATCTACCACCTTTTTCCTTTTCCTAAGCTGATGTCTTGCTTCGGCTGCTTCGTAGAGCAATTTTTCCTTTTCTGTTTCAGGTGATAATCTATTCACTAGGGCAGCTTTCCTTGTCTTATAGTCACGGGCAACAAAAATGAAGTTGGCTGTCAGAGCCACAGATTCTGCATCATCAGTTTTTCCTGCAAAGTGAAGCACCCCAAACTACCAGTGTTAACAGCAATTAACAGCAGCTTTTACAATGTCCATGCCCTTCATAAAATAATAAAGTATGAAGCTTCTCAGAGAGAAGTCAAGTTTACAAAATCGGGAATAAATTGGTAACTAGGATAGGAACATGCGCTTTAGACATATGAGAAATTAGCACATTTTGATGTAACTATAGCTTCTCGATCTCTTGAGCTCCATAATATGGACATGCAGATTGCAAAATCTATTATGATATCAAACGAAGACACAGATATGCTTTTACCATATTAAATTCAATTATCAGCTGGAATGATGGGACAAACCAAACACACATCACTCGCACAGTAGATATACTAACTAGTTAACAACGTTATTATGAAGGGTCAACATAAAGCTAATAGCTTACGACAGGGTTGTGCAACATGTCCAACATAAGGCCAAAGATGAAAGATGGGCTTTGTAGATTACTTGGGTAACACTATCATGAATGTAAGGACCTTGCTTCTACTCTATTACTAACCGGGTTCAACATATGCAAATCTTTAATGTTTCGGTATGTTATTTGCATGTTTAATGGAGAAAAGTTTGGTGTGTTAACAAGGTTTACACTTTACAGTAAAGATACTTGTAGCGCTTAAGTAACTTCTAGTACAATAGCAGATACAGCAGAAAGATGAGTCCTTGAAACAGGATAAGCAAATAGCTTTTCATTTTTTTCATTCAACTCCAAATGCCCTTTAAACCCCTAAAATTTAACTTAATTCATTCAGGATTCACATAATAAAGAATGGAAGGAGTGAAAAGCAAAAGACATACCATCTGTAAGCTGAGTTACTTCCAATTGAATCTCAATAGAAGAGTTTCCAACCCAAATAACAGCTCCGGAGATTTTCAAATCAACATCTACGCTAATGGGCTTCTTAAGCACCATTTTATCCACAGAAGCAGTCACAAGTAACAATGGCCTTGTCATGCTGTCGTCATCAGTGCAATGCTATCCAAAAGCAACAAAAAATCACAGAAAACGATCAGAACAGTTTCAAGTTAGAAGCACGAAGAACTCATCCATATTGCTATAACAAGAGAATGCAGTGAATAGATACATTCTCATTTATGTTGAGATTGTAAGCCAACACCAGAAACAGTAAAACGAGTAGCTTCTAGGAAGAAAAGCATATGAACTCCTACACATCGACACTATAATTTTAGTTCGATTATATATGCAGAATTACAGAACACATATTTGCCCAATATATGATCAAAGAATACAAGGGCCACAGAAATTTCATGAATTCCATCATTAGTATCCTAGAATCAATGAGCTAAGATGATAAATATGATTCAGTAACAGTAAAATCAATAGCAATTCTCAGTAGTAACGATGGACCATACAGTGCATACAAACAGAACCAACAAAAACTCGAATTACAATTAAATCTCCATCTAGGAAAGATACTATAACCCTATATGCAACCAATCAGTACAATTCCTTCCAGCGTGTAAGACCAATCACTAAAAATGCAAATATAAGCCTACATATGAAAGTAGAACCAAAACAGAAACACAGAACATAATCATATCCAAATTCAGACAAAACAAACCAAAAAACAACTCGTGAGATCAACCTATTACCTTAACAGAGATAGTTCCTGCAAGTGCATCAAGATCTTCAAGCAATTTCCCAATTCTGACCTCATTCCAGGGATCCCTATACTGCTCCCTCAATATATAGTCAGTTGAAAAGTTATACAGAATGGTAGTCCGGCTGTGTGAAGGAGTTCTAGTAAGCAATTCGCTTTGTGGGGGAGCATCAAGTGGAGGGTCTAGCATTCTTTCAAAAATTTTAGACCTCGTCTCCCACAAAGCATTTGTGACCGGTGAATGGTACATCCCAGGCCATAAACTCAAAGGCTTTTTGGTGGAATCTTTTTCCCTTGGTGAATTATCAAAAGGAGAAGCAAAAGTGGAAACAATTGGGATTGTAAGGGATGCAGAAGAGGGGTTAGGATCCATTGAGATCAAGAATCTTCTCAGCAAGAAAGGATTTTTTTCACAAATTAAACCCAAATCAGAGGATTATCAAAGTGGGTTCACGGCGGAAATTCGTCAACTGGGTTGTGATCCGCTCAAAAGGTTGATACTTTGACGGAAGCTGTGAACAAATTTGTCAAGCAATCTTCAAGATTGAAACAGCAAATACTTATTGTGAATAGTTTCCCGGCCTCCTAGGTAGTTGGAAGCTATAAAGGTTGTGTTTCATGATGAATGATGATGATAGAAATTAGAAATTGTTGTTAATGCAGGTCAATTTGACTGGAAGCAGGGGACCCTTTAACAAAATTAATCAATTCGATCACTTGTTTTTGGCTGGTAGATGGAAGTTTGATAGCTTTCCCCGTTTGCGTTTCTCTCTTTTTAGCAAAAGAAGTTTTCTTGGAAATTGTAAAAAAGATTATTCTAGGAATGTTTTTAAACAATTTCCCTCAAAGTTTCCGTCCAAGAACGAACATAATTGTGATGTAATGAGGTTGTTGATTTAAACTTTCGAGAGTAGTTTATGTTTGTTCCAAACGTTTTCTCAGACCTCAATGCTAGCTTTTTCTTAACACAATGTACAATTTTGAATTTAAGAAGTAGTATAAAAGTAGTAGGAGTTTCTTAATTATTATATTTTACCGATTCCAAGTTCCACTATAGTGTTTTTATTTTTTCCATTTGTGTTTTTCACGTGAAACATCTTTGGTCATTTTGATATTTTAAGTGTAAAAAATTACTCTTTCTGTCTCAAAATTATTATCCACTTTGAGATTTCACTTTTTATACAATTTGAACTAGAAATGAAAATCTAAACTGGACAATAATTATGGGATGGAGAGAGTACTTTACTACTATGGTCATATAATAACCATGATGATTGAATAAGAATTTTATTTCCTGAAAAGCTGAAAAAAAAAAACAATGAATTGATATGAATCAAACATTAGATGTACTAATACATTTGAAAGAGAGAAAAAAAAAAACTCAACCAATGAACTTGATCAAGAATAAGGAGAAAGTGATATACGCACTAGTATATTTAAATATATTGAATGCAAGCATAGAGAAAACCAGATAGAGAAGCCAAGAGGAAAATAGATAGTGACCTAACATGAAACATAAAAATGGCGGTATACGGTTTGACAATTGACATGATCAAGACAGCATCTCGTAATTTAACATCAAACAAACAATTCTGATCTCCGCGAAAATATAATTCACATTGAAAATTATAGCGCGATTTACCATCCATATAAATTGTTTTATGGATCAGAGGAAGTAACACAATTTAGATGATAATATCATAACTCACTTTTGAGTTATGATATATTACTTTTATTCGGAAAAAAAAAATCCATATTAAGTCTTAAAATTTGTACTAGTTTTAATAATCATATATTCTTTTCAACCTTTGAAGGAATGATTTGTCACAAATCAAGCCAAATTGGAGAGATTATCAAAGTGGGTTCACTGGGGAAATTCGTCAACTGGGTTGTGATCAGTTCAACGGTTGATACTTCAGACGGAAGCTATAAACAAATTTGTCCAGCAATCTGCAAGATTGTAACAGCAAATACTTATTGTGAATAGTTTCCCGGCCTCGTAGGAAGTTGGAAGCTATAAAGGTTGTGTTTCATGATGAATGATGATGATAAAAATTAGAAACTGTTGTTAATGGAGGTCAATTGACTGGAAGCAGGGTTAGGCATGCAATTGTAAGAGTAACCCGTTACCCACAATGTGGTTATGTAACGCCCTGGAGGTTATGCCTCTTTTTTTTTTAAATAAAAATAAAAAAAACGAGTCGATTGTTATTTTTAAAGATCAAGTTTGCAAACATATTTATTCTAACTCAATGGCGAAATACAAGTAGTAGACGTACATAGTAATGCCCATCTATTTCCTGTATATTAATGACTAGAAGGTTTGTGTGTACATCGAGGGTAGATCTCTCTCTCTCTCTCTCGGGTTTTGTTTCACAATGATCAAGATCAAATGAATGCGCAATCTGTTTGTGGCAAACAAATATAGTGTTTGCATGCATGTTTTTCATTTAAAAGTCAAACCCCCAAAAAAAAAAAAGTTTATGTAGACACACACAGTTTAATTAGTGTAACCTCAAACTATTTCCAGGAGAAATCATGTGAATTTGGAAAATAGTTTGCCCATAGTCCGACCAAACCATTACATTCATAATCCCCAATTGCAATAGCTACTAATTCTTGCATGTGATACATTGTTTTCCGTATGCCTAATTAATCCAAAACATTATATATACTAGAATGCAGCCAGCCTTTGGCCCTAGATCAAGAAGAGTACATACATGTACACCCTAACTTTATCAAAAGGTCTTGACTATGATTTTTCTTTTTCTCTTTAATTAGTTAGTTTTGTCAATCATGTGTCACCATAACTTACCTATATTGTTGGGACGACAATGATGTTCAAGTAAGCAATAACACGACTTCAAGTAAAATTAAAAAAAAATTAAATTAAATTCAATCTCTCATGAATAATCTATATAATAATGTCAAAATTCTATCACTTTACTAACCTCTAATGTTTAATGTCTATCTAGCTAGAAAGTGAACTTTTTTTGCTCAAAAAAACCAGAACCATTTCTTCTTCTTCTTCTTCTTCTTCTTCTTCTTCTTCTTCTCCGCAGCTGGCTTCGGTGCAGTGTTCTCGGCCCTCTCCTCTGCGGCTACCATTTGGATCAAAGAAAGAAGTTCATCGCAATCCATAACGCCGACGGCTTTAAGCGCTTCCACAAGTATTGCTATGTACCCAGCCACCTCGTTTCTAAAGTGCATTTGAGCATCTTTCGCCTCGCAGTTTAGGATCTTGTAAAACCAGCCCATTCACAAGACAACCAACTCCCGCTCCCTCAACGTACGACTTACATGCTACCAAAACATAACGGCCGCGCCACGAAAAATGTGCCACCACCAACTCGTCAAAATGCTTAAGTGGATTCCTAATACTACACACCATTGTTTTCAGAGACAGGATCAGGGTGTTTGTATTGTTAAGAGCGTTCTTCCCCGTCGCGGGTGCCTCTCGATCCAGCAAATCCAGGTTCATTGAAATATGGCTTCGAGTTCAAAACTAGGCCCTGAATAGATACCAAAACTTGGAGGATCGATGGTTGATTCATTGGGAATCCACCTTTCCTTGTCACTACCACTCCAAGTGTTAAGGATGCTGAGGCAAACATAACCATTGTCATATAAATTCGGGTTGATCCGATGACCCCGAGAGTGGTAATAGACCTGAGGCGGAACCGATCGATAATTGTTTGTGAAGAAGATATCAAAGAAGAAGAGACCATCATGGTATGGAGTTCCTTCTGCTCCAATTATGGCTGCCCTCAAAATATCCATCCTGGATTCGCAAACCCTAACAAAAATCGGATCGGGTAAATGATTCTCGAGAATTTTCCATTCCTCCTGAATTTTCTTCGCCCACTCCTTTGGAGGTTGTTTGGTCCACCAAGATGTATTCTTCGTCGAGTAGTGGTGATCGGGAAAATTTTCATCCACGTCAAATCTTTTTAAAAACAAACTTATCGGAACTAAATAGCCGTGCTGACGATGCCATCATCTGGGACCAAAAAAGGAAAAAAAAAAAAAAACAAATTTAGGGTTTTGATTGCGTTCACACAATATAGGTCTTATTTTATAGCAATAAAACCTTTTTATACATATAAATAAACTCCGTAGTGTTCGAGGGGAACAAGATGAATAATGGACTTAACTTGTAGATTTGGGTAACGAGAGGTTATAATTAGCCTTTAGTTAAAAGCAAAAATTTCGGTATACTTGCACTGTTACACACTTCTTGTTCATTACAAATTTCGGAAAACAAGTTTATTCACTGGAGTACCCGACGTGTTATGTGTGTGCCACGAAGAACTCATGAGTGTTATCCTTCAACAAAAAAAGAAAAAAAGAAAAAAAAAAAAGTAACCAATAAGTCCAGTCTCTGTCCCTAAAAGGTTGACGCGCGCCTTGACGCCTGACGGAGAGATTTTATTTATATTTGTTGGAATATATAAACCTAAATTTGACAAATAATTACCGACAATGCTTTGTCAAAAATGTTACATTAATTCGTATTCCCCGATGGTTCAGTCACTAATATTTCCTGTGCTGTTTTATTTTCCGTACGCCTAATCCGAAACACATTTCGAAATCACAATTAGCTCAAGGATAACACACCACGACTTAAGCCAGTAGATCTAAACTATGATTTTTTTTTTCTCTTTACTTTTGTCAAAAACCATCTAATCATTCGGACGGCACCATTTGTATTTTTCGGGTACATGAATCTTTTAATTGTGATTACGAATTTCAATCTCATCGATCAGTATCTGGTTAATGACGTTCAGGTAAGCAATTAAGAACACAAACTTCAAGTGACAGATCACATTCAATCACTCATCGAATATAATACTTCATCCGGTCGTGATTATATCCCTGTTGTCCAAAAAAAGAAAAAAAAAAGTCCACCGATGGAGTACTAAAAATTACTCCAAATTTGATGCTTATAAATAGAGCCACATGGAGTATTGTTCAAACTTGCATAAAACTAATTATCCCAATGGATATGTATATTGTTAAAATACACAAAACAATCCGCCATCCTCTACTCCATCTTTCTTCTAATAGCAGCAACCATGACCACTTCTAGAACTAGAGAAAAACTAGAATGTATCAGAGAAAAACTAAAATATGAAGAAAAATAAAATACAAGAGAGAAACTTGACGAAAATAAATTTGAAGACTACATTGTATTGATTGTTATCCGAAATAAAAGCTATATACCATATTTATAGGCATGTGCACATTATTGGATAAAAAACTATGATAAATATTATTTTTGATAACTAATAAATTAAATTACCACACTCGATAATTATTCATTAGAAAATTATCACTAAATTTGATCTCTCTCAACTACTCTTTATAATTATCTTTAACATCTCCTCGGATTATCTTTAACATCTCCTCGGAGTTGGAGACTCAGTTTGCTTTCACTGACTTGATGGCATCAAATTTCTTGAGATTCTTGATCTTGAGTGATTCTATCCATACTTTGGCCAACTTGCTTGAAATTCCTGTTAGATTGGTGTATGACAAGTCAAAAATCTTCTTTTGAAAAGATCAGACGTTTGTCATAATGAAAATTTTCGTTGGATGGTTAGATTGTTACATGATAAGTCAAAACTCTTTCGAGAAAAGATTAGAGGTTTGTCATGATGGGAATTTTGTGGGTTGACTCGGAGGTATATATTTTTCCTCTTTGTCTGTTACTGAAATTTATGAATCAACTAAAGTTAGATTTGTGGAAAAAAAAATTGTGACTCAAATGGAATTTGATTTGTGCGAGATTTATGGAAAGTGGTCATTCTTGAGAAAATCTGACTGAAAAATATGATTAATAGTATAGGGAAAGGCAAGATAGTAATTTCTGATGAATTTCGAGTTAACATGACACAAATATTCATGAATGAACATGATCATGAAACCATTTTTTAAAAATATATATATATAAAAAAAGTACGCGGAAGTAATCAACCAATGATTTATTTTTTGAAGACGAAAAAAAAATGATATGCAGAAAAAAAAAATGATATGCAGAAACAGGACAGAACCTGCTCTAATACCAAGAGAAAAACTAAAATGTGTCAGAGAAAAACTAAAATATGAAGAAAAATAAAATACAAGAGAGAAACTTGACGAAAATAAATTTGAAGACTACATTGTATTGATTGTTATCCAAAATAAAAGCTATATGCCATATTTATAGGCATGTGCACATTATTGGATAAAAACTACTTTTGATGATAAATATTATTTTTGATAACTAATAAATTAAATTACCACACTCGATAATTACTCATCAGAAAATTATCACTAAATTTGATCTTTCTCAGCTACTCTTCGTAATTATCTTTAACAGAATAAAAAGCAGAATTTCTTTTTCTTCTTCCCTGCAGTAGGCTTTGGTGCAGTGTTTTCCCCTGGTATTTTTTCCGGAGCAGTACTCTTCCCAGCTGCTGCGTTTTGGATCAAAGAAAGAAGTTCATCGCAATCCTGAACGCGGACGGCTTGGAATGCTTCCACAAGTGTTGTAATGTACCCAAACAACTCTTTCCTAAAATGCTTTGAGCATCTTTTGCGAAACAGTTTATTAGGATCTCGAACCACCCCGTTCACGAGACTACCAACTCGCGCTCCCTCAATGTACGACTTACAAGCCACCAAAACATCACGGCCGCGCCTCGAAAAATAGCCGGCCACAAAGTCTTCAAAATGCTTAGGTGGATTCCTAATGCTGCATACCATCGTTTTGAGAGACAGGATCAAAGCCTTCTCATTGTAGTCCCGTGACGATGTTTTCATCAAAAAAGACCCGCTCAGGCCAGCGAAGGCAGGCTCGTTGAAGAAGGGGTTGGAATTCAAAATTAGGCCTTGGATAGATACCAAAACTTTGAGGATGCTTGATTCTATGGGATTCCACAGTTCCCTGCCCCTACCACTCCAAGTGTAAAGGAGGCTAAGGCGAACATATCCAGTACTGTACAAATTCGGGTTGATCCGAAGACCTCGAGAGTGGTAGTAAACAAGCGGCGGAACCGAAGGATAATTGCTTGGGAAGCTGATATCAAAGAAGAAGAGGCCATCATGGTATGGAGTTCCTTGCGCTCCGATTATGGCAGCCCTCAAAAGATCCATCCTGGATTCGCAAACCCTAACAAAAATCGTCCCCGGTAAATGACTCTGAAGCATTCTCCACTCCGCTTGAATCTTCTTTGTCCATTCCGTTGGAGGTTGATTCGTCCATGAAGTAGCACTATTTGCGTAATAGTGATCGGGAAAATTTTCGACCACATCAAATCTCTCAAAACCAAACTTATCTTCCGAAACATCTTTTTGATCCATGACCTCGAAATCCACAGAAGGCTTGCGCCGCCGCCGAAGCAAATAAAGCTGCAGTCAAGAACGGAGACAAGAACGACCGACTACGGCCCAGGAGAGCAAACTGATATCATATAGAAACTTATGAACTGGAAGATCATTGATGAAACGGCAATTTATACAATTTATTACTAGACTCTTTAGGGTTTCAGATTTACAATGACCTATCTACCCTTACCGAGTTACGGTACACTTTCCTATATATTTACATATATTTGGTACTAAACCCTAATACATACCGTAATATAATCACTCCAACACAAGTTAATTTTGGCCAATATCACGCCTTAACTGATAATAACGTTTTTTCTTTTGCCTAAATTATAGAAGTAAAAATTATAATAAATACATAAAAATAATCCAACCCTAAGGAATTATGGACATTAATCTTTCCTCATCTTCCATGTCACTTGAACTTGATAAATATATAACCCAATTAAACCACAATAATAAAATTTTAATTTTTTAAATATAATATATCAATAGAATATGATGGTTAGGGCAAATGAAGTGTTGGTTTGATAGTAAAACTAATACCTTGTTCTTTAGAAGAGGAATTGAATTTAATCCCCACTTTGAAGAACTTATTAAATCCATAAACATCTCTAGAAAACTTGTTAAGGTAAATTAGTACATGAACCCTATAATTCATAAGATGATTTGCCTGGGATATATTGCCTTTTATTGAAGTTAGCATGTTATTGAAGTAGGCGTGCGCTTATTATATCTTTGGTACGCATCCCGACTTTAACGAAAAATAAATTTTGAAAAATGATAAGCATGATTTGCAATGGAATTTCATGGATGATATAACATCGGTTGTTATTTGTATAGAATTTAAATTTGTTACTTGTTCATCGGTGTTCTAAATCACGCCAAAAATTAGATTCAATAATAAGAAAATCTATTGGAAGAATTCAATCAAGTGTTCTTATTCTCAATTAAACTTTCACCATGAAATATTCTTTGGTTTATAGGTATCAAAAGTCACAAAATGTTTGTTTTTCTAGGAATATTGTTAGCATCGACTTTTGTGTCATCTTATTGAAGTCGACAAAAATGTCGACGAAGAAAAAAATTTCCCAACTTTGTATCATTTTAACAATTTTTTTATTGTACATTATGGTTTAATAATTAATAATCTCATTTATGATATAAAAATATTTAAAATATTATTTATTATTTACACAATTTCACAATTTCCACTCTTCACAACAAAATAATCTTATAACCACGTGCTTGTGGGTTTAAATATAAAACGTAATTTAGAAAAATTATTTCTTTTAGATTCCAGGTCCAATGTGAAAGTTGAAGGGGACCAAACTTGATATAATGCTGCCTTTTTTTTATTTGGTCGTCAGCCTTAATAATTTGGATAAAAGTTACTCCCTCTATATCCCAAAATTATTGTCCAGTTTGAAATTTCAATTTTAGTACAATTTGAACTAGAAATGAAAACTCAAACTGGATAATAATTATGAGACGGGGAGAGTACCATTTAAAAGTTAGTTGAAAAAATTAACTATTGATTTATTTTTTTTTAAAAAAAAAATTCTATAGGTCATTTTGTTCGCTTGAAATATCTATTGATTCACTAATTCTTTTATTTATTTATTTTTTTTTGTTCAAATTATGGGACTCGACCATCTCAACTTCTTTGTAAAGCTAACGTAAACCTCGTCAAATACTGTTGAAGCATTGCTGTGCCATGCTTTTGGGGTTATTTAAAATTAAATTAAAGGTGGAAGGATTAAGTTGTAAATTAGATAACTTTAATTGTTAGGGTTAAATAGCTTTTTTGTTTACTGCAATCATTATCGAATGAATGAAGATTTCCTTCGCCTTATTCTCTCTCTGTCCCCTCCTCCTACGGTTAAATCCCGAAATTTCAGTTCACTAATCTCCTTTTCTGCCTCTCTCTTCTACCTCCTCTGAGATCTGCAATCTGAAAGTCTAATTTCTGGATTTTAAATCCCATAACCTGACATGCTGTCGGGATATTATATTTGGTTTTAGTCGGAACAATTAGGTCCAGAATATTCCATACGGGATCAATTGAAAAGAATTTGGTCATATTTTCCTTTGTTTTGGTCCGACTTTTGTCGACTTGGACGTATAGTCGGCGAAAAGACGCAATTAAGCGATGGATATCTACCATGACTTCCAAGTGGAGAAGACCGATGAGATTCTGTTTCGTGGGCTCCTCCAAAAGAAAAACACCAGAAAAAAGTCCCTAACAAGACGCCAACCCTACGCTGATCTCCTCGAAAATACAGAGGTGAAGACAAAGGTTAATTTCTTCCCTAGGCCAAGAAAGCAAAACCTGAAAACAAACCGTCGGATCTAAACCGTGAGGTTAGGAAAAGGTGGGAAAAGGCGGGAAGGCTCGATTTCATGAGGTTAGGAACACAGGACGGCTGTAGCGGATCTAAACCGTTGGATCATTCGTTCAACACGAAAGATTCTCTTGCGTTGCGCTCCAGTTCAACCAACATTATTCGTAGACGCATTTGCCCCCCGCCAATCAAGAGATTCCGTCACATCGATATTGATGGTTGCCAGGAAAGAGGATCCACATCTTTAGCTTTCTTTAACGGGGATGAAATCATAATTAGCCGTGGATCACACCCCAAAGTCTTGCATTCCCAATGCTGTTGAACTCGATTCTCACATGATTGCCGTGGTTTCTGAAGGGGGCGGGGTCTCACTCGAACGCTTGAAAAAGAAGTGCGAAGCGCACGAGCGTAGGATCGATGGAATAAGAATCTCGGTTGCTCGTGGGTTGAAGAAGTTTACTTTTTCTGTTAAGTGCGGAAGAGGATTACTTATTTCGGGGTGGGATGAAACGGGCGGTACTGTGTGTCATTTGAATGGTAAGCCAAGAAGGAAGGTGGGTAAGAACTGTTCTGATGAGAAGAAGAAGAGGATTTATGCAACTGGATCTGGCGCGAATCAGGCTGTTTGTTTTCTGGAATATAAGTTGGATTATAATTGAGATTCCAGCAATGGAAGCTGCAAAGCTGGCGAAATCTGCAATCTGCTATGCTGCATTTGGAGCTTATGAATGTGGCGATTTTGTTAGTGTTTTCCTGATAAATGAGGATGGATGGAAGACGCTCATTTCTGGGGATGATATGGAAGAGCGGCAATTGGAGAATATCGAAATGTTGAGAAGACAATATGATCGCCCAATCGTGGTTCGCATTCCTCGGCAGGGGGAAGATGAATAATCTCTACCCCTTACCATGTCACAAACATTAATGATCACGATGTAGTTTGTTTTTAATTTGGCTGTTGATGATTTTGATATCTAGCGTTCTTTCAAAAGTTTTAGGACATTGTTTCCTACAAAGCATTTATGTGAGGAATTAGGATCCATTGAGATCGGTACTTAAAATTCTCTAATAAAAAGATGGATACTTTGATACTACAAGCTATGAAAATTTTTGTGCAATTTTCAAGGCTGTAGCACCAATATAGTCGTTAATGTGTGTAATATCTTAACCTTCTAGCCTCCTTGATGGTTGCTAATGAGGGTCGTTGATGTGATCAGCTTTTGGCTGGTAGATAGAAGTTGGATATAGCTTCTCACGTTTGCATTTTTCTCGCTTCAATCATGCATTGAACTTCATCCCGAATGGAGGTTCTTTCACATTAAGGACAGTGACTTAGGACACTGGGTGTGATCAATATTAATTGCAGAAGTGAAAAACAAAATGCAGTACATATATAAGTATATTGAATGCAGCCACCGCTTTTGACCTATAGTATGAAACTATAAAATTGGCAGTATGGTTTGACACATATACGAGATCAAGATCAGTTGGTTTTCCATCCCATTTCAGGATTATTCTCTCCATCTAAGTTTTGCCAAACAAGTAAATGGTCATCGCCAATAACACTATATTTCACTTAAGATCCTCATTTTGTGTAGGATTTTTTGTTGCCTAGTAGTATTCACAGGATTTCTGCCACCCGCAAGAAAACAGAAATGAAAAATTAACAAATTCAATCACTCATCAGGCTGATGATATAAAACAAATATACTGTTCAAACTTGCAAGAACTAGCCATCCAATGCAGATTTTTTGTCAAGAAAAGTAACATCCCCGACTCTATATATAAATGCCTAAGATGTCAAAGCTCTACATTGTTACTACTACTTACCGAATTACCATCCTAAGAGGCAATCGGGTGATCACTCTTTCTTCAAAGTGCTCTTCTTAGGAGTAGTCTTCCCTTTCTTCTTCGGACTAGTATCCTTCTTTGGAGCAATCTTCCCTTTTTTCTTCGGAGTGATAGTGCTCTTCTTTGTAGCCGATTTCTTCCCTGAAGTTTTTGCCTTCTGAGCCAGAGCAGTCTTCTCTTTTTTCTTCGGAGTATCCTTTTTTGGAGCAATCTTCCCTTTTTTCTTAGTGCTCATCTTAGGAGCCGACTTCTTCCCCGAAGAAGCTGCCTTCTGATCATCTAAAGAAAGAACCTTCTCTGCAATCACTTCCTTCTTTAAGGGAGTAATCTTCTCTGGAATCACTGTCTTCTTAGCTAAAGAAAGAAACTCATCACAATCCTTCACATTGACGGTTTTAAATGCTTCCACAATTGTGGTAATGTACCCAGCCAGCTGATTCCTAAAACTATCCGAGCATTTTGTGACATCATTTCCAGCATCTTGAACTACCCCTTTCACAAGACAACCAACCTGAGCTCCATCATCAATATAGGACTTACATGCCACCAGAATATCCCGACCACGCCTCGAAAAATGCCCGGCCACCAGCTCTTCAAAATGATGAGGTGGATTCTTAATGCTGCAGACCATGGTTTTCAGGGACAAGATCAAAGCATCCTCACTGTATTGCATTGAGACTGACTTTGAGTACGGGGAGCCGCTCTGGCCAGCATAAGCAGGCTCGTTGAAATACGGATTCGCATTCAAAACAAGCCCCTGAATAGATACCAAAACTTGGAGGACGGTTGATTCATTGGGAATCCACCTTTCCTTGGCACTACCTCTCCAAGTGTTAAGGAGGCTGAGGCAAACATATCCATCATTGTACAAATTAGGGTTGATACGATGACCCCGAGAGTAATAATAGACCTGAGGCGGAACCGAAGGATAATTGATTGGGAAGAACACATCAAAGAAGAAGAGGCCATCATGGTATGGAGTTCCTTGTGCTCCAATTATGACCGCCCTCAAAAGATCCATCCTGGATTCGCAAACCCTAACGAAAATGGTATCGGGTAAATGGTGTTCTAGAATGTTCCATTCGTCCTGGACCTTCTTTGCCCATGCCTTTGGTGGTTGCATCGTCTTCAGTGATAAAGAAGAAAAATGATGATCCGGGAAATTTTCAACCATATCAAATCGTTTAAAATTAAGCAACAAATCAATCGAGCCATCATCAATTGCAGCATCTTTAGTAATCGAGACATCATCAACAGGCAAAACTACCACCTTCTCCTCCTCCGGCGAGGTCTGCTTCTCTTGGACAACCTTCTGCTTCTTCTTCTTCTGGACAACCCGATTGGAGCTGGTGGGGTTTTCATCATCACCCGCCGAAGTACTGCTACCGGAAATGAACTTCCTTTTGGAAGTCGACCGCAGAAAGTAACGGGATTGATGCTGCGGCAGCGATTCCATCAGTAGGGAAGGAAGAGAAGGGAAAAAAAACAGAAAAGGGAAGGATCAAAATAGATCCGATGACAAAATCTATTTTTAGGGTTTTGATCTTCTTTATGGGGTTGGGAGTTGGGACTCATCAGTGGTTCAGTCAAAATATAAGTCTATCTCGCAGTGACATCTTTTACGGTTTTACCTAATAAATAAACGAACTTTTTCCATACATATAATAATTATATACTATGTGAAATGTAGAATAAATGGACCTGAAGCAAATGGTCTACTCAAAAAGGGCCCAAATCAAAAAAACAAAAGAAAACGATGATGATAAGTTTTTCCCAGCTGCAAGGTCCATTTAAGGTTTTTCCCAGCTTCCGACACATTTGCTGCGCTATTATAGCTTTTCACATTTGTTTTTTTGCTCGTTTTATACACACTCAAAGGTAAGAATTTTATTATATGAAATTGTAAATTTTAATTCCAAGAACATTTCAAACAATTTTCTCCAACGTATCCGTCCAAGAAAGTACGTGCATGGTTTTGATGTAATGATTGTTGTAAATATATATTTTTTTCCTTTAAGTATATAAGTAGTAGTAGTTACTAGTTATCCTTCCTTGAGCATTTATCTTTTTTTCTTTTTCTTTTTTTTAATTAAAAAGTTTTTCCCTTAAAGATTCCAAGCTCCACAAATGTTTCGTTTTTCATTTCCTTTTTCCCCCACAGAAAACATCTCTGCCTAGCTCTCTGGTCGTTTCAAAATTTATTTCAAGTATAAATGTGAATTGAACTAACTTCAAAAGCATAACTAATTAAAAAACATGCAGAAGTTGTACATATTGCCACACTTTTGAGATATAAAAATGAAATTTTTTAACAAAAGATGCTTACCAAATTTATTAAAAAAAGACACACACGCGCGCGCACACACACACACGCCCTTGGTCAGGAGGTAAAAGTACTTGCCAAGTTCCAAAGGGAAATTGATAGATGCAGACTTAAGATTACTTCATAGTTGAAGGAAAACGGCAAAAAGAAAAAATGCCATTGTACAAGATCAAGAAATGGTGCCTCGTAACTTATTATCAGATCAAAGTTTAGTTAAAACATCACACATGATAACAACTTCAAGTGAAAATAACAAATTCAATCAGCCATCAAGTTGATGATATATAATGCACAATAATATGTTCAAAAGTTGCATGAATATCTTAGAAACACCATCCCCGGCCGCTACCATAGATACATTTATGTATTATTGTTACTAAATATGCATAAACAGTCCAAAATGCCAGACTAATTAACTTATTCTCTCTAACTCAAACTTGGTAGGCGCGCATATCTTAAGAGGTGAACCCGGTCAAAATATTCTCATATTTTTAGTCTTCTTCCTTGCAGTTGCCTTCTTCTTGCTAGCAATTATTTTGAGCTAATGAAAGAAACTCATCACAATCATTAACATGAACAGCTTTAAATGCTTCCACAAGTGCTGGAATATACCCTCCCAATTGGGACCTAAAATTCTTTGAGGAGCTTGTGAGGATTGCGATCCCAAATGTTCTCCATTAATGTACACTCCAGAATCCATTGAGGAGTTAAGATCTTGAACAACCCTATTCTCAAGACATCCCACCTGCGCTCCATCAATATAAGACTTACATGCCAACAAAATACCACGAGCCCGCCTTGAAAAATGACCGGCGACCAATTCTTCAAAATGCTTAGGTGGATTCCTAATGATGCACACCATTGTTTTGAGAGACAAGAGGAAAACGTTCTCATTGTATTGGAATGAGTTGTTTTCGAACACAGGGTTACCCATATACTGATTCGTTCCACCAGGGTTGTTGAAATAAGGTTTGGCATTCAAAATGAGGCCCTGAATAGATACCAAAACTGGTAGGATGGTTGATTATAGTGGAACCCACTTTTCCTGTTCATTCCCAAGCCAAGTGTTAAGAAGGCTACAACTTCGGGTTGATCCCATGACCCCGAGAATGATAGTGAACCAGTGGCGGAACCGAAGGATAATTGAATGGGAAGAAGACAACAAAGAAGAAGAGGCCATCATGGTATGGAGTTCCTTCGGCTCCAATAATGACAGCCCTCAAAAGGTTCATCCTGGATTCGCAAACCCTAACAAAAATCGCATCGGGTAAATGGTCCTCGAGAATCTTCTATTCCTCCTGGATTTTCTTTGCCCATTCCTTTGGAGATTGCTTCGTCCATAATGAAGCATTCGGTGATAAGTAATGGTGATCGGAGAAATCTTCAACCATATCAAATCTCTTAAAATTAAGCAACGTATCTGTGGTGCCATTGTCATCTGAATCAACATCTATAATTTCCGGCAAAAGTACTTCCTTCTTCTTCTCCTGGACAAACTTTTGTTTCTTCTGGAGGGATTTCAACAACTTCATCATCCTCTATACACGCCGAACTGTTACAGGCGCGAAAAGCCCTTTTAGACGGCGTCCAAGGAACATTACGGGACGCCGGAGGTGGTGGCGATTTCATTATCAAGGCCTCAGGAGATGAGTGCTGTGATACAAGAAATGAGTTCAGAAGATAGGAAAAAGTAGGGTTTTATCATTTCACAGATTGAAATGATTAAAATGAAAAGCTTTTGTATCCAAAACCTTAATTAATTGACTGGATCGAATGGGAACATATGCAATAAATTAATGGGCTGGATCTAATGGTCCAAGGAAACCCCTAATGAACAAGAAATGGACTGGATGACAAACGTGCATAGTTAGTGCCTTCCGCTTTTGTGTATGATGATGAGTTACTTCTTCCAGTTGAAGCCTCGAGGAATAAAGAATATGAATCAAGAAGGCATAGTAATTTCAATTCCATCATCATTATGCCATCATAAAAAACAATATATTTAAAATCAATACGTATCCTTGGGAGCAGTGATTTTCAACACCAAATTATGTGATGGAGATCGATCTGCTCAGCAATTTACTTTGCGGGGGAGCATTCTTTCAAATATTTTAGACCTTGTTTCCCACAAAGCACTTGTGCTGGTGAATGCATGGCACTTCCCGGGCCTTTAATAACTAATTAATAATTAGAAGCTTTTAGTCTGAATCTTTCTTTTTCTCCCAAGAAGAATTTTCAAAGGAAGCCATAAAAGTGTATACAATCGGGATTGTAAGGAATTTGGATGATCTTCTATCTACAATACCAATTAAACACAATAAAATCTTAGGAAATACTACCTCCGTTCCAGAAAAATAGTTTATATTGAGTTTTCAAATTTGTACTAAAAACAGTACAAAATTCAAAACTTAATGTGGACTGTTTTTATGGGACGAAGGGAGTATTAGAATTTCGCTCTCTTTCGGTTAGTTAGGAATTTAGATGGTTCTTTCTCTCGCAGAAGAGGGATCCATTGAAATTGAATTTCTTCTGAAAAAAAGAAATAAATAAAAAGAAGGAACATGAAAAAGATAAGTTAATGTTTTGCAAATTAGTCTGAAATGAAGAGGAATGCCATAGTGGGTTGCGATCAAATCAAAAAATTGACACTTTGACAGAAGGTATGAGCAAATTTGTCAAGCAAACCTGGGAGATCTTGTAACAGCAAAAATTGATGTGTATGGTTCGCCAGCCTCCTAGGTAGTTGGAAGCTGTAAAGGTTATGTTGCTTAATTATAGGATATATACTATTGAATTGATTTGATTGAGTAGCTACTTAGGTAATGATTCTGAACTGCGTACTAAATTAAATCAACGTCAACTCAATAATTTCCTGGTTTGCATCAACACGAAACATCTCCATGTTTGAAATTTATTCCAAGAGTAATAAAACATACTTTAAGAGAACCAATCTGAAAACCACAACTATGCATTATGCAACTCTGATTATGTAAACGCAGCGACCTAACATAAAGTTATACAAATTGCAGTCTTCTTTACCGTTAATGAGATGAATAAGAGCGCCACTCGGTCAAAAAATCAAAATTACTTCTACATTTCTTTTAGAACTGTAAAAGTAATTTTTACATTAAGCTTATGGAATATTTCACACAATTTTCATCCAATAACACGACTTTTCACCCATTATCACAATAACACAACTTCAAGTCAAATTTTCAAGTTGATGAAATATAATAGTAGATTGTTCAAACTTGCATAAACTAGTAATCCGAGAGCAGAGCTACTGTGAAGCTGTACCGCCATCTACAATTTGTTAAGATGTACCATCTAGTACTATTCAAGACTACACCGCATCTATGGTCATCAACTATATGCATATAGAAACGTCCAAATGTCAAATCTAATACTTCCTTCGTCCCAAAACTATTGTTCAAATTGGATTTTCAGTTTACTTTTGAATTGTAGTAAAAGTAAAATCTCAAAGTGGACAATAATTTTGGGACGAAAGGAGCACCATTTGCTGATCTCATTAGCAATTTCTCTGTAGTGAGAACTTTTCAGGCGCGCATATTTAAGAAGTGAACTGGTGGTAAAAAAAAAACCAGAATTTCTTCGGTGCAGAAATCTTCGCTGCAGTTGCATTCTGGGTTAAAGAAAGAAACTCATCACAATCATTAACTCCCATCTCTCTAAATGCTTCCACAAGTATTGTGATGTATTCAGCCAAATGTTTTCTGAAATACTCTGAGCATCTTTTGTTACTCTGTTTAGGATCTTGAACACTTCCTTTTACAAGACAACCCACCTGCGCTCCATCAATGTATGACTTACATGCCACCAAAATATCACGAGCACGCCTCGAAAAATGCCCGGCAACCAGTTCTTCAAAATGTTTAGGTGGATTCTTAATGCTGCAGACCATTGTTTTAAGTGAAAACATGAAAGTGTTCTCGTTGTACTCCTTTGAGAGTTTTCCCATGAAAGGTAAGTAGCTCACTCCAGGTTCGTTGAAAAATGGTTTCGAATTCAAAATTAGGCCTTGTATGGATACCAAAACTTGGAGGATGGTTGATTCTTTGGGAATCCACAGTTCCTTGCCACGACCATACCAAGTGTTCAGAAGGCTGAGGCAAACAGTTCCATTGTTGTATAAATTCGGGTTGATACGATAACTGCGGGAGTAGTAGTAAACAAGAGGAGGCACAGAAGGATAATTGCTTGGGAAAGAGACATCAAAGAAGAAGAGGCCATCATGGTATGGAGTTCCTTCTGCTCCAATAATGGCAGCCCTCAAAAGGTCCATCCTGGATTCATAGACTCTAACAAAAATGGTATCAGGTAAATGGTTCTGGAGAATCCTCCATTCCCCCTGTATCTTCTTTGCCCATTCCTTCGGAGGTTGTTTCGTCCATGGAGTTGCATTCTTTGCGAAATGGTGGTCGGAAAAATCGTCAACAATGTCGAATTTCTCAAAAACAAACGAATCTCTGGCATCTTCAAACATGTTGTCAGCAGCATCTACAGTTTCAGTCACAGGCACCTGCTTGTTCTGCTTCAGGGTAACCACTTTGTCCTTCTCCATACTCGCGGAACTGCAACTACCGGTAAAAAAACCTTTTCCATGGAGCCTGTGAATACAGGCAAAAAATCAAAATCAGAGGTTTCACTTCAACGGTTTACAAGACTAAGTCTCATTTTCTTCGCAATCAAATCTTTATACAGTATAAGTAGGAACATGAAGTAATACTGGACTGGGTCACTAAACATACCAATTTAAGGCCCTTTTGGTGGTGGGTAGTGAAGAATCCAGGTTTTTATCTAGTATTAGCATATAAGTAATTCATCACTACATTAAAGAGGGCATAAAGCTGCGTTCTTTTAATTAAAAGGATGATCAGCAGTGAACTGGAAATTCACCTTAATTTACAACACTTCAGTTTAACTACAAAGTTCAAACCATTCAAGGAGAAAAACTTAATCTTTCCAAGAAATTCAAACAGATGGAGCAAAATCAAAAAGACGTACCATCTGTAGTTCTGTTTGCTGAGCTACTTCCAGTTGGCTCTCTCGATCGATTGAAGGGCTTGGAGTTAACAGCACCACAGTGATCGACACTAATGGGTCGGAAACTTTGGGGTGGAGAATTAATAATGTGGGTCTTAACTGGTTTGCTCCGTGGACAGCTGAAATCGGAAAACTGGAATTGGGATTTTGGGAGGCGAGAGAAATAGGAGGGTGGCTAGGAAGAAGAAAAGTTGTGCTCTTTTTTCTGGGTTTTTTTTTTTTTTCCTTTAACTTTTTCTTTTTACCTTTTAACCTAATAGAACAATTGAACAAGACTAATATTTTGGGCCTAGTTTTGTAGTTTCAGGTATATAGACTTTGGGCCTTCATTTTTTTATTTTATACCATCCATTCCAAAATAAGTGTCGTTTTGGTAAAATGGAGAAATTCCAAAATAAATGTCGTTTTCGGATTCTAATGTATTTTTTGTCAAAAATTTCCAAACATACCCTCAAAATAAACAATATTATTGGTAACATTTATTTTAATGAGGTTGGTTGAGGATATTCTAGTAATTTAGTTACCCTATTTAATATTTTCTTAATCTATGTGCAAACTCTAAAATGACACTTATTTTGGAACGGGAGAGTATTATCCTAGTTCATGGGCCTTAATTCTCATAGTATTTACGTTTTATCTATCTTGGAATAAAAGTTACTTAGTTACGTAAATAGGTGAATTTGTGAGCCGATCATACTTGACTTCTAAATTTATCGAAGCGTATGAAATATAAATTTATTTGTTTGTTTTGTGACAAATATAAATTATATAAACTTATTGAAAGTTTTCTGGTTGTACACACAGTATGTATTTTGAAAATTTTTAAAGTGAGCGGCAATTTATAATTTCATGTATAATTTAGTAAAGAACTCTTCAAATAATCATTTTACGAAGACATGGAGGAGTCTGCAGTCCATTACTGCAACGCTTCCCCAAACAAAGGAACAAAAATAATTTCAAGTTAGAAGCACAAAAAAACTCATTAATCAGTAAATAGAGTTGCCTTGCATGAAGACTAGAATTTTAGAAGGATTGGAGTTGCAGAATTACAGAGAGTAATAGAAATGTCCTTAACTCCATCCTCAGTATTCTAGCATGAACAATACCATAAAGCAATTCACTAAGTGGGGATCTCAAAATCATAGTCCTAGTTTCCCATAAAGCATTTTTCATCCCTGAATGGTGCATCTCAGGCCATAAACAGAGACTTCTTGGCTAAATCTTTTTCCCTGGCTGAACGCGTGAAAGAGGATACAACTAATGGGGATTGTAAAGAATGCAGAAGAGGGGTTAAAATGTGTAGAGATGAAGAATTTTCTCGGCAAGATCGGATTTTTCACAAATTCAGCTGAAATGAGGAGAATTATCAAAAGTGGATTCAGCTGGGAAATTAATCGATAGGATTGTGACTCGTGACCAATTCAAAGATTGATGCTTTGACGCAATCTATGAAGAAAATAGCAATAAATATATCGAACGCAGCTCCTTTTTTACTTGAAATGCAAGCATGATCAAGTGTACTTAGATAAGTTGGTCTAAACACTATTAATATCTACCTTTATATATACTCTAAATAAAACAGTATATGGTATAAAACATGTAGCCACAAAACCTGATTCCGATCCGAGCCCGGCTAATGACCCCTCAATAACAAAATGTTCAAAAACCAAATTCAATCAATGGAATATAATATATTGTTCAAACAAGCATGGTAATTAAGCTAGTTAGGAGCATAATTGACAAGAAGAAGTGCTAACTACTGCTAAAAGACTGTGCATTCATTATCAGAAAGACAGAAACTATGCAATTTTTGTTAATCAAACAAATTACCAGCTTCTCTCTAATCAGCAGGACTTCGCAACTACACTTTGTTCTTCTTCCTCGCTGACTTCTCCTTCTTCACAGCTGCCTTCCTCTTCCCTGGGCTTTCCTTCGCCGGGGTTAAAGAAAGAAACTCATCACAATCATTAACATTGACGGCTCGAAAAGCTCCCACAAGTGTTGGAACGTACTGTGCCAACTGTTCTCTAAAACCCGCGGAGCAAATTTTATGACCCTGTTCAAGATCTTGAACACCCTTCACAACGCAACCCACCTGAGTACCATTAACATAAGACTTACAAGCCATCAAGATATCCCGAGCACGCCGGGAAAAATGCCCGGCCACCAGCTCTTCGAAATGCTTAGGTGGATTCCTAATGCTGCACACCATTGTTTTCAGAGACAGGATCAGGGTGTTCTCACTGTACTGTTGAGAGTTTTTTTCCCCGGCGAGCGTTCCGCTCGTTCTAGCATATCCAGGCTCGTTGAAATACGGCTTGGAATTCAAAATCAGGCCCTGAATAGAGACCAAAACTTGAAGTATGGTTGATTGTTCGGGATTCCACCTTTCCTTGGGACCGCCATGCCAAGTGTTGAGAAGGCTGAGGCAAACATATCCATTATCGTACAAATTCGGGTTGATCCTGTGACCCCGACAGTGGTAATAGACCTGAGGCGGAACCGAAGGATAATTGTTTGGGAAGAAAACATCGAAGAAGAAGAGGCCATCATGGTATGGAGTCCCTTCAGCTCCAATTATGACCGCCCTCAAAATATCCATCCTGGATTCGCAAACCCGAACGAAGATCGTATCGGGTAAATGATTCTCCAGAAGCTTCCATTCCTCGTGAATCTTCTTTGCCCACTGCTTTGGAGGTTGTTTTGTCCAGGAAGAAGTATTCTTGGAGTAATGGTGATCGGGAAAATTTTCAACCACATCAAATCTTTTGAAAAAACTCTTATCTGTAGAAGTAGAATCTTCTTCATCCGAGTCATCAACAATATCTATGATTTCAGGCAAAGATACTACTACTACTTCTTCCTGCTTCTTTTGGGCTGCCCGTCTGGGAAAGTTCCGATTAGCCGGCGGTGGGATTTCAACCACGTCATCATCATCATCATCTTCCGTACTCGCCGAACTACAGCCGCCGACGAAAGCCCTTTTCGACGGAGTTAGCGGAACGGAGGGGAACAGCGGCGGCGCCGATTCCATCATCAGGGGCGAGAGATTCGGAAGGGAAAATAAAAATTGTGGCTTAATTTGATCCTCCTACCGGGCGTGACTCCTCAGTTGCTTAATCAGTTCACAACATAAGTCTTGTTTCGCGATTAAATCTCTTACATAGGTTAAACTTCCAACAACATACGAAGTCTCCTCAAAGGGCCCAACGCGAAAAAAAAAAAAACCAATAATGGACTGGACTCGACTACAAATTCCACTATTCTTCAGTTTTCTTTTAGTACGCTTACATGGTAATTTTCGGGGTGGAGTAGGATTACATCATTTACATGGTAAATTATCAAAGTAGTACTATTATAATTAGTAAATTAGTTTGAAGGAAAGTCTTACGGTTAGAAAAAAGATGAATCCCAACTCGAGATAGTGAAAATATTTTCAAAAGTTTTACATCTTGAAATGTATGATTCGAACTTCGATTAGTGAATGCACTTGGCAAAAAGCGAGAAAGAAAGGCCATTGATGATGCACTTGGCAAAAAGCGAGAAAGAAAGGCCATTGATGAGATCAATAAAAGCCCTCCACAATTTGGATCAACTGGTCTAAAATATTGACGCCACATTTAAGAAATCAATCAAAAATTTTCTTCCGCAGTTAAAAAGTTGAGACAACAATTGACAATACACTTATTATACCATTTGCATTTTCAGTACTCTTTGGTTCTAGAGCATATGAACTACACAGCAAACTGATTTTGACCGGATACACAAAGTATGCATAACGTAAGAAAACGTTAAAACTATAGCTGGTTGCAATGTTTTACCAGTTATCCCTAGATAAAATTACAGAAAGACACATAATTTAAACAGGTGAATGGGGGGTGGTCAAAATAACCACCAATTTTTTCTTCGGTGTAATGTTCTTTTCCGTACTTCTCTACTGAGCTAAGAAAGAAAACTCATCACAATCATTTTGAATGTTTCCACAAGAGTTGCAATGTAGCCCCAGCCAACTCTGTTTGAAAATTTTCAGAGCACCCCTGTTTTCTGAAAATACAACACAAGCGTTTTAATGCACTCTGTTTAAGATCTTGATAATTAATATACAGGTATCTTTTCCCCAAAAAAAAAAAAGAAAAAGAAAAAAGAAAACCTCCCTTCACTACAACACTACCCACCGACACGCTGCTCCATCAATGTATTACTTACATTCCAGACACATCCGGCGAGCACGGCTGGAAAAATGCTCGGCGACCAAGTCTTCGAAGTTCTTTGGTGGATTCCTAATGTTATCCCTCATTGTTATAAAATGGTGGAATCCTAATAACATAAATACTTACAAAAGCATTCTATTGTATTGCTGTGAGAGTTTTCCAGTAAAAGGCAAGGCGCTGATCATGTCAGATTAGTCTGTAACACTTGGTGGAGATCAAGCTATCTTTCTAAAATTTTAGACCTTTTCCCTACAAAGCATTTGTCACTGGTTACGACACGGGCCATGAACTAAGGTTTTTCCGCAAAAAATCTTGTTACTTTTTTCCTTTGGTGAATATTTTGCTATGGAGACACAAGATTGAGGAGGTCGATAATTGGATTATTGCTTAGGAATTAGGATCCATTCCAGTCAAGAATTCTCTCTAAACAGAAAGGAATTCAAATTTTCTCTCAAATCGAGCTGAAATGAAGTGGGGTTGTGATCAATTCAAAGATCGATACTTACCAAGTTTGGAAACATGCATTTGGCAAGATTGTAACAGCAATATTTCATTTTGTATAGGTTCATTTCAACTTGTCCTAGAAAATTGATCAACGCAGCTTGATTAGAATAAACTCTCTATATTCATAAAATATTGTCAAATATTTGGACTTTAGCTTTCAATACAACTAGTATGTATACATTGCGTTTCACGGCGAGTATTAAGATATTATATTATATAATGTGTGTAGAATAATATTTATTGTACTTGTCACAATTAAGTATAAAAATTGGATCACATTTTTATTGTGAAATTATCGCGATGGCGACTGGCCCTACCTCTTATCTATTGTCATCGCAAGACATGCGATGAATAGAATTACCTTCGTATAAGAGGATTGGGAATTACCTTCGCTTAAGAAGAAGAACCGACGAACCTTATTCTGTGTTTATTTTTATCTTTCTATTTTTATTTTGTTGACAGTCCATTGAACCAAAAATTTTACTTATTTTTTTTAAGAAAAATTCTTTAAAAGTATTACCTATCTCTGAAAGGTCTGTCTTTTAGGAGATCTCATTCCATCTTCATTTTCATCTTTAAAAGTATGTCACCTTATATTGTTCTGCATAAAAAAAATTCCAAGTCTCAGGTAAGTTAAAAACCAGCTATGGGTTTGGCTGCAATTTTAGGTTTTTTTAACAATCTGTTGAACAAAAAAATTAAAAAACGAATAAGAAACGGCGAAACTCATTCCATCTTCATTTTCTTCTTTTCATCTTCATTTTTGAATACCTGTTAAAAAAAAGAACGACCGAAGCATTATTTATTTGTCCAAAGAAAAATTATTCAAAAGTGTTATCTATTTACTCGTCAAAAGACATTTTCAGGACTTCAACCCAGAGGGGGGAGGGCTGCATTTCAAACCTATTAAACACGATCACCATTAATCACCCCAAAATTTTAAATATTCTCAAATAAACTCATGCCTCATTTTTTTTAATCTATTTATCTACCGTTAAAAAAAATAAAAATTAGAAAGTAACTCAGATTTGATAGTGTAGAATAAATATCTGATCTGTGATAGTCCATTATTGGGATTCTAAGAGTTTAAGGGAATTTTGGTTGCTATTTTAGTACTTTTTGACAGCCCGTTGAACAAAAATAAAAAAATAAAAAAAGGCAGATCTTATTCTGTCTTTATTTTTATTTGTCTATCTATGTTTTCAACCACCCATTGAACACAAAAAAAAAATAAAATAAAATTGAAACACTACTTACTTGTCCAAATTGTTTTCTAAAAGTGTTATAAAAGGGTCCTCTTTGAATTTTCGGATCTTATTCCAGCTTAATTTCCATCTTTAACAACATGTCATTTCGTATCGTCCTACTTAAAAGATTTCAAGTTTTTGGAGGTACGATAGTTTTGCTGTATTTAATTATTTTTTGACAACAAGTTGAACAGAAGAAGAAGAAGAAGAAGAAGAAGAAGAAGAAGAATAATAATAATAATAATAATAAGAAGAAGAAGAAGAAGCGGTAAATCTCATCCCGTCTTTATTTTTATCTTCCATCTTTGTTTTGTGAAGCCCCTCCAAAAAAAAAAAGAATCAAACATTAGTTACTTGTCCGAAGAGAAATTCTTCAAAAGTGTTATCTAATTATGAAAGAATCGTCTTTCGGCGGGTCTCATTCCATCTTTATTTTTATCTTTAACAGTACGTCACTCTGTATTGTTTTGGTTAAAAGATTCTGATTGTTTGGTAGGTTGATAACAAATAATGGTTTTGGTGCAATTTTAATATTTTTTTGACAATCTCTGTTGAACCACAAAAAAAAAAAAAGGAATACGAACTGGAAGATCTCATTCCATCTTCATTTTCACCTTTTCATCTTCGTTTTCGACAGCAGGTTTAACCAAAAAAAATAATAATAATGACCAATAACTTTTTACTTATCCAAAGAGAAATTCTTCAAAAGTGTTATTTAATTTCTTATCCAAAGATATTTCAAGGTCTTGGACACGGTAGGCATATGCGTTTAGATAATAATCTTTGAATTTCATTTTGTTTTTATCACCATATACAAAAGAAAACAAAATTCGTTTCTTGATCTAAACCCGTCAAATACCATCACCACAAATCACCCCAAAATTTCAAATATTATCAAGTAAACTCATGTCACCTATATAAACTTATATCGCGTTTATCCATCTCTTTGTCTGCGGTTCACAAAAAAATAAAAATTAGGAATAAAATCAAATTTGAATATGTAAAATAAATATCTAATTTTGACAACCCATTATTGGCATATTTAAAGGAATATTGACAAAAATGTGTAATGTAGTCTCTTCCTCATTAAGATATCTTTCGCAAACCTTTGGAGTAGAGCGTCAAGTTCTTGTCTAGAGAGTTACCAATTTTCACATAGATTAAGTAACTAAATTAACTAATAATTTTTATTTTCATATCCTCTAGTCAATATATTAATAATTCTTAAACCATGATTCTAATTAATTCTTGAAAATTATTGAAACCAATTGGGACCATTAGAACGTTCCTATTTTCAAATTATCAAATAGTCATAACACATATACAATTTATTATAGTCATTAATTCATTATCAAATTAGTACAACCAATCCAGAAAAAAAAAAAAAGAAAAAAGAAAAAAGAGTAAGCAAGCATTCTTCCAATTAATATTGATTAGAAAATACTATAGCCACTAATTTTTTTTGAGTTAATTATTTTGTATCAGTTGTAAGAATTATATCATAATACAACTTCAGATTTTTGTCCATATTTGGTATGGGCGGCTTTGTGTTAAATTAAACAATACTAACAGATCAAATGGTATTACTAATCGATATTCCTTTATGATAGTATAATAAATTAATAAAAGCTCTCCATAACTACACCAGTGGGTAACACTACTTTCATGGTTGTTTAAATTTATTGTGTTCGAACTTTGAATATAAATTTATGTCTTTTTTATTCTTTTCAACCCCCCAAATATATTTTCTCAATAATTTCGTAATTAGCAAAAATATTGCAATATGGAAAGCATTTTTCACAAGTTCTATTATTTTCCTATTTAAATCTCTATATGTATGGACTCCCGACACGCATCCTGCTTTCGGGTCAACTTGAATTTAGCCCATAACCAAAAAGATAATTTATAAGGCACAATCGTCCTTGAAAGTATAAAATTAACGAACTTGAAGAACCAGGTAGCACATCAATGGAGCTTTAAGAACCAAATTGACAACCAATTAAAAGTTTCAGCTTTCAAGTGCAAGGGTTCCTGGAGACATGGGGCTTTTTAGCAATTTTTTAAAATTTTCATCTTCAACCTCCCGATATGAAATTTTTCGGCCAAAAAAATATATTTGCCGGCCAAAGGGATCCTTGCCGTTGCACCCCGATCTCGCATTATGGTGCACAAAACTCATCATTTTTTAAGTCAAAATGATCTCCATGATGAGTTACAGAAAACCCATATCTCAATTCAGCCGATCCATGCTGGAATCAGAGCTAATGAAGTTGGAACCGAGAATCTTGCCGGGTTTTATTGACACTTTATCTTCCGCCGTTCTGCTCTTCATCGTTCATCGCTCGCCGTTCTGTGGTTCATTGTTCATCCGTTTTGCCGTTTCACTCCATTCAACCACGCGAAACAATCCCCATGATGAACTCCAGTCATTCGCGGTGAGCTTATTAATAAATTCATAAGAAACCTTATCTTCAACCTTGAGATTTGAAATCTCACACAGTTACACACAAAAGGGTTCTGTCGCTGAACTACAATATTGAATTCAAACTGTTAAAATTTACCGTTTTTTACCAAAAATGATCACCTAAAGAATTCCACAAAACCCCTAAGAAAGGCAAAAAGATTAAATGGTAGCATGAAACATCAGTGTTTTTAGTCAGAAGTCGGATTTATGATGGTAATTACGATCGTGGATGTCATCAATGCTGAAGAAGGACAAATCAAATTAAAAGCATCTGTTCCTATTTACGTGTGTGACTAAAAGTTTAAAACCATAAATATTAATTAATTTAAATTATACTCCCTCCATCTAAAAAAAATAGTCCAGTTTGAAAATGTACAAATTTTTTAATTTGGTCAATACACCAAATGTACAACTCATTTTATGCCCCTAATTTTCACTAATGCCACTTCTAGTTATTTCTATAAAATTTAACTAAATATGTATTTATTTTACAACTTAAATTTGATCAAAATTTTTATCTCAAAAAATATTGACAATGGATCTTGATGGAAAGATCTCGTTACGTAAATTAATTTGATATATAACACATTTTTTAATTATTCATGTATTAAAAGATATAATCATTTGAAAAAATGGGAGAAAACTAACAAAATGAAAATCAAAGGAAGTGAATATTGTTTTCCTTACCACTACTCTTTTGGATATTTAAGTAATTTTAATTCAATTAATTTTGACGAGACTATTTTTTTACGACAAGATTTTTTATTAAACTGGACTATTTTTTTTTAGGACAAGATTTTTTATTAAACTGGACTATTTTTGGACTATTTTTGTGAGATGGATGGAGTAATAAGTAAAATTTAGGATTTACCAGTTCACATAAAATTTTTACGGTTTGATTTGTACTAAAAATTAAAATTTGAACTGGACAAGTATTTCAAAATGAAAGGGATACAATTAATTTTGAAAAGTTCAATTCATTGCAAATGATCAGTTTGCTCGAATCTATACTAGACAACAGTTCTAACAGTGGTCGACGGTCACACATTCACGTACCAATATAAGGGAGATAATTAGAATTACATAAGAAAACCCCGCATGCTTAACTCAACTTATAATCTTATTACATTTATGATCTAATAATCAAATCAACAATAAATTAATGTAAAGAACACAACACTCTTTTGACTCAATAATTGACACCCGTTGCCTAATGACAATCACGCATGCATGCAACAAAACAACTTGGAGTGGAATCAACAAATTCAATCATTCATCAAGTTGATAAAAATAATAATAATAATAATAATGATGATGATATTGTTCAAGGTTGCATGAATTGGTTAACCTAGAATAGAATTATTATCAAGAAGTATACTCAAAACTATAGATAAAGAGAAGAGCCCTCCATCTTAAGAGTGTGGTCAATAGAACCAGTAGTTTCCCCCCTTCTTCGGTGTAGTTTTTGCAGCAGTTTGGGCTAAAGAAAGAAACTCATCACAACCATTAGCGTTAACTGTTTTAAATGCTTCCACAAGTGTTTTAATGTACCTTGTCAAATCACCCCTAAAAATCTCAGTTGTGTCACCCTCTTCAAGATCTTGACCAACTCCTCCGTTCACAATACCGCCCACATGAGCTCCACCAATATAAGACTTACACGCCAACAATATAGCGCGAGCGCGCCGGGAAAAATGGCCGGCGACCAACTCTTCAAAATGCTTAGGTGGATTCCTAATGTGACACACCATTGTTTTCAGAGACGAGATCAGAGTTTCCTCATTGTATTCCCTTGACTCTATTTCCCCCTCAGGGGTGCCATCCATGCCATCATTTCCCGGCTCATTGAAATACGGCCTGGAATTCAAAATCAGGCCTTGAATAGATACCAAAATTTGAAGTACGGTTGATTCTTTGGGATTCCACATCTCCTTTTTACTACCATTCCACGTGTTAAGAAGGCTGAGGCAAACGTATCCATCATCGTACAAGTTCGGGTTGATTCCATAACCCCGAGAGTGGTAGTTTACCTGAGGCGGAACTGAAGGATAATTGCTTGGGAAGAAGACATCAAAGAAGAAGAGGCCATCATGGTATGGAGTTCCTTCAGCACCAATTATGGCAGCCCTCAAAATATCCATCCTGGATTCGCAAACCTTAACGAAAATCGTGTCGGGTAAATGATCCTGGAGAATCTTCCATTCCCCCTGGATCTTCTTTGCCCATTCCTTTGGAGGTTGTTTGTTCGATGAGGCGTCCTCTAAATAAGGGTGATCGGGGAAATCTTCAACCGTATCAAAACTTTTGAAAGGCAACTTATCAGTGGAATCTTCGGGTTCATCATCCAGGTCGTCAACGTCTATGATTTCGGGGGGCGGAATCACCTCCTTTTGCTTCTTTTTCTTATGTTCAACTTCAACCTGATTGGCCCGTTTCCAGCGCCCATTAGCCGACCGCAGTGGTGGGGGGATTTCAACCAATTCATCATCGTCATCCTCCAAAAATATTGCCGAACTACTACTACCGTTGAAAACCCTTTTCGATGGAGTCAGAGGAACGGAACAGCAAAACGGCGACGGCGGTTCCATCATCAGGGCGAAAGAGAAGAAGAAAAATCGAAATTAGGGTTTTGACGTTATTTGTGACTCTTTTCTTGAAAACAGTATTCAGTTGCGAAATTATTTTCCAGGTATAAATAGTACTCAATTATGGGGGAAAACTAAAATGAATAAATTGGACTGGGTCAGTTGGTCCGCTCAAAGGTTCCTACAAAAACCCATGATGAACAAACGGACCAGATCAGGTGCTCCGTAATGGGCCGAAATGAAAAAAACAATTAAAATGAATACGGCTTCATTTGGACAAGAGTTAAAAAAACTATTAAAGCTAAAAAGTCTGTTTAGAGTTTAAAATACGTTCAGAACAAAATAATTAAAGTCTTTTCTAAACATCAATTTGAAAAAAATAAGGTTTGAAACAGAATTTTTAGAAAATAAGTAGGGAGTATTTTTCAATTTTTTGAAACAGAGCTTTTTTCTCTGTTCGCGGGTCGAAATCCGGGACAAAGACGGGTCATGAAAAAATCGAGTCATTAATATAACGGGAAAACAAAGTCCTTTCTCACTCTCTTCATATCCTAGATCGCCGCCCCTTTCTCACTCTCTCTCCTTCAGCACTCCCAGTGCCGGTGATGGCGATATCGAAGTAGGAGGCGATACCTTGTTCTGGTAATCTTTCTTATTCCTGTCTTTTTTTTCTTTTTGATTGGATTAGGGTTAGCTTCTCATCACTTTTAATGCTTAAATTTTCACTCAAATCCTTTTTATTTCAGCATGGATCTGTGTGAATTTTTCATGGGTTTTAGGTATTGAGTCATATTTGAACTGAGTTTTTTATTTGTGGGTCGAAATCATACGGCTGAGCACAAGTTAGTGATTTTGGGCTCTGTTCGTTTGCATGGCATTGGGGACTTGAATTTGGAAAAGACTTCTTTGTGCATTACTTTTTTAAGGTGTATAAAGTATTAACAAGAATGTTTCCATTTGATATTGTAGGCAAATATTTCTTAGTGGATGCAGGTTATACCAATGGTCCCGGTTTTCTTGCGCCTTATAGAGGAATTAGATATCATCTCAATGAATGGTCAGCCCAAGGTAACAATCCACAAACTCCTAAGGAGTTATATAACCTCCGCCATGCAACTGCTAGAAATGTGATTGAGAAGGATGTGAGTGAAAAAATTGGTTAATACCGCCCCTCCATTTTTTAATCAATTTAGTTTCTTTGGTTTCAAAACAATCACTTGAATTAAATTAATTACTACATACGTAATAAATTTTTGTAATTTTCATATTTATTTTAATGTAACTGTTGGAACGGCCTAAATTGATCATTTTAATGAATATTTAAATAATTGATAAATTTAAAAAATAAAAATTTCAAGAGTTTACTCTTTGTCACCTTAAAAATGGTAACAAAATATATCTAGATATTATTCTAGAAATAATAATATTTAATATAACAAAAATTAAAAGTTGAAATAATTTCAAAATAAATCAATTTTTTCTTTTTTCTTTATTTTTGTAAAAAAAATAAGAAAAAGCCAAAACCAACCAAATTACTTGACCATCCGAACAGAGAATTTGAAATTCCAATTGAATTTGTGGCCAATTTCATGATTTTCCCGAACAAATGAATTGGCATTGAATTAGAATATCTTGAATGCCAATTAAATCCCAAAATATTCTAATACCAATATAATTTCAACTCCAAGTAACTGAACACACCCTTGGTTAAATTCTCGTGTCTTTGTTGATTTGGTTTTCTTTCTGGATATTCCTTTCTGATTAAAAAAGTATGCTTTCTTGAATTGATGATATACAAGTATACAAGTGGTGGTTCGGTTCATGATGAGTTCTGTTCTGCAGCTATATAGATGTTTTTGTTGGTTTTGTTTATGAATTTATGCTTCATTGGAATGGTTTCAATTAAGCTGTTGGTCACTGAATAAAAAACTAATGCCAATGTTATCGATTTTTTGATGACATGTTAGTGTTTACATGATACCGTATTCCCTGATGTTTTGCTGAAAACTACTTGAGATTGCTTGCCTTGTGAAAATGATTTACTTGTACTAAGCATGATGGCAACTTGGTTTTTGTCCGTGGTGCGCTTTACTCGTTATTATATGGTCACCTTGAACTTCCAATTTTGTGTGCTTTAAATGTTTTTTTTTTTTGCCTAATTATGCTTCAAATGTTAGAGGACCTGGGATCTGGTCTTGGACTCAACAGCGGTTAATGTCATAAAGCCTAAATGAGTGAGATTTGTAATTCTAGAAAGTTGAGACCTAAAGTATTCAGTCCGTAGGCAATTCTCAAGTACTTCTAGCTCAATATCCAAATACTTAAGCAATTGACGGGCCAATTAGCAACTTTAGTCCAATTGAATCCTTTCCAGCCTATGTTAGAGTAACATTACAGTCCGCTTAACACTTATGGAGGTAAATCAACACTGCTTTGGTAGTACAACACTGCTCATAGAGAATAAATTTTGCAATTAACACTTATGGAGTTGGGTGTACGCTTTCACATCTAATTCTAATGACTAGGAATAAAACATTAATTTATCACTCTTCATTGCAGCCTTCTCCATGTTGTAAAGTTGTGAGGGAAACACTGGTGGAGCTAGAGCTTCCTCACATACTTCGCAGGTAACACAAAAATGTGATATCCTGTATCCGTATAAAACATCATGATTATGCAACTATCCTAGAATCTACTTTGCTTATTTCCTTCTGAAATTTTTCGGGTCTCTGCAGCTTAGGATTTTTGTTCTTTGGATGGATAAAATTGACAGTTATCATATTTCTTCTTCCGGGAAGTTTGATGCTTCTGTTGGTAAAATGTCTACTTGCTGAATATGATTAGCTTAAAACATATAACTGACATTCTGCTGGACAAGAGTACCTTAACTATCAACCTGTTAGAATACTTTGACTGATCACCTAGTTCATCGAGTATTAGGCCATGTTATTCGTAAAATGCTTTTAGTTGATTTCGGTGTTCAAATAATGGCAATTGTACTTTGATATGTGGTGTTGGGCAAAGGCCTTCAAGTTTAAGGCTTTGTCAGTCTACACCTTACTACTAAGCTAAATACCTGATTTTTGGGTCATTGTGTTCAGAGTTGGTCCTTTGTTGATGCTTACTCTTCATGAATATAAATTCATGAGGTAGCATCCAATCAACCCATATTCACTGAAATATGCTGTGTGTTTTTTTAACTTCTGCGTTAGCTTGTTTGATCTCAGCAGTACTCTGTGATTGTGCATCAAATTGTTCTATTTACCATTGACATTATCTTAACCAGTTTTAACAACTGAATTGTTCTCTACTCTACATTTCAATCGTTACTTTTGATTGTGCTGAAGTTAGTAGATGCCCTGGGAAGTCATTTGTTGCTGTTACTTTGCAGTTGTGCCCGTGGGAGCCCAAAAAGGCAGATACTGTACGAGAAAGCTGGACATTTTCAGGTCCTAGCTTCTTATGGATTCAGACGCAACTCTGTCCTATCTTATTTTACAGAAACATGATTGTTTTTAGTGCAAATCTTTGCAGGTTCCATACCCGGAAGATCCAAATACTGGAGTACAGATGTTTGAAAGCGCTGAAATTGTGGAATACCTGAAGGCCACTTAAGCTCTTTGAGAATGCAGAGAGTATTCCATTTTATATTTTCAGGTTATGCTTGCCTAATCATTCTGCGATGTTATGGTGTATATTTTTCTCAACTTTTTCTTCTGTTACTAATGAATGCCTGAAAACATACAGTTTCCAGATATCTAAGCTGTGGAACAAAGGACTTCAGGTTGCTGAGCTGACCTGTTAGTCATTTGAGAGGAGTAAATACTTCAGGCACTAGATACCTGTTTCTTTGAGGCTTGTCCTGTTTGTAATATATGATGTATATATATACTAGGGGCTTGTCCAAGATTTAATCGTGGACGAGGAACCTGGAAGTGGAGGCAATTTTCAAAGTGAAGTAGAAGAAGTTGATATGTTTAATCCCGCCATAATCCAATGGAATAACCGGCGAATGACCATAGCAACACAAATCTGGAATGCACGTTAGAGTTTTAAATATTGTGGAATCCGTATGTGCTGAATGTGTGGAATTTAAAATGTTATGTATTTATTCCAAGTCTTATGAACTATTTGTTATTTCTTTTGAGAGTTGGACTTTTAAAAATCTCTCGACAACAATATTCCAAACTTATTATGCATTCGATAAGTTAGAATGGTTTTAATATTATGCTTTAATTTAGTCATAATGATTTTAAAATTATACTCTAATTTTGATTTATGTTGGAAGATAAAGTGTGGAAAAGAAATTTTTGGAACAAGACAATTGCAAATAAGAAAACAAAAATTTAGGAAAGAAAATGAAAATGACAATTTGTGTAAGAATGAATTTTTTTTAAAAAAAAAAGTTCACAAATTATTTTGAAGAAAAATTAATTTTGAAAAAGACCTAGTCCAAAGACTTTTTAATATTTTTAATTGCTAAAAGGGTTTTGAAAAATTCTTGTACAAATGTATTATTTTTCAAAAAGTACTTTTATAAGTTTTGGTTTAAACAGACTTTTTAAAACAAATTTTCAAAACACTTATTAAATGGAGCCTAAATATAGTGAGAAGGTATTAGTATTACAAATCTGCATCAACAACAACAATGATTAATTCCGCTTAGTGAATACCCTTCAACGTTAATTTGTCTTCTACCATCTTTCAATTATTACTTTAGATAATACGTTATCTGTTTTAAAATAGTAAAATGGTAATCCACTTGTACCATAATATGACATGGCGAGTCTAAATTTGCGGATTACAAAGAAATGTCAAATGGGAAAAAAAATATTTCGTGCATGCTGCCTACTATCTTATAATTACTGTGTTTCTATTAAGTACTATAAAAAAAAAAATCAGGAGCATATTTCAAGAATGACACTAAAAGCGTCACAACAAATCGAGGCACAAATTAATCAATGATGGAAAGTGTGTTAATGTAGTTGCATGAAATTTAAGGAAGAAATTTGGGATTTTGAAAGTGATACATTTGAGACGCCTGATATAAACAAGAGCATGTGGAGCAGGAGTGAGATGACCCCCCGCCCGCCCCCGTCAGATTTTCCTTTTCCATATAAATATACCAAACACGCAAAAGAACTGCAGGAAAACTCCAACTGCAAAACTTCAACGGCCACATATAGGCATCAGAGAATTCTGAAATGACTACGTCCTCTATCTGGCACCAACCGGCTAAACGGATAAACACATGCTAAATTAGTAACCAAAACTCAACTCTACTACTACTGCCAATATTAAAATACTAAGCTTATCTATCTAACAGTTTAATGAATGTATATAGGGAATAGGGCTCAACAACACAGTAACAATATGATTAATAATAGTAGTGAAAAAGAATGGTCTCAAAAAACACAGTACCAATATGTCTTTTCCTCGTTAGTTTAGTTTCAAGAGTTTTACGTTAGGTTTATTTCATTGTACGCTGTTTGAAAAGCACTCTTTAGTTTCCATCATAAATAGGAGGGGACAGGAGTTGTTATTCCATTAATTGGAATTCCGTTGATTTACGAATACAAATGAAATTTGTCATCCTACAATTCAATTATTGGGACCATTATTACTATTAGCCAGTACATAGTACCAAATGGTAGCCATAAATATCAGATCTCATTCGGTGTGTTCTGCTGAATTTGTGAATCATTATTGTTCCCCTTTTGAACATCCTCGTAGGTTCAAGTAACTCAAGAGTGTCAAAACTAGGAAAAAGGGCGGGAAAAATAAAGAAGAATTGTTAATCAATTCAATTTCATGGCCTCCAACACCAAAGTAGTTCATGCTCTAGTTCTGCCTTATCCTTCTCAAGGCCACATAAACCCATTGCTCCAATTCTGCAAGCGTCTTGTTTCTAAAGGGGCGAAAGCCACATTTGTTAACTCTGTTTTTCTCTCCAAATCCATGCATGCGGACCCCAAAAGCTCCATCAATTTCGAAACCATTTCAGATGGGTACGATGAAGGGGGTTGGCTATCAGCAGAAAGCGCCGAGATTTACCTCGACAACTTGCGAACCGTGGGTTCCAAAACCTTGTCTGAGCTCATCAAGAAGCTCCAGGACAATGGCCAAGTTATTGATGTTGTGATTTATGATTCCTTCTTGACTTGGGCTCTTGATGTTGCGAAAGAATTCGGGATTGTGGCTGCTGCGTTCTTCACTCAAACTTGTGCTGTAAACAGCGTTTATTACCATGTCTACAACGGCCTTCTTCCGGTTCCTCTGTCGGGTTCCCCTGTTTCGCTCCCTGAGTTGCCGGTTCTTCAACCTGAGGAAACTCCGTCTTTCGTGTACCGGCCGGAAGATAATCCCGCTTTCCGCGACTTGCTTGTGAATCAATTCTGCAACGTTGATCAAACCGACTGGGTCTTTCTCAATATTTTCGACAAATTGGAGGAAAATGTAAGTAGTTTGAAATTTAATTGGATTTTTTTTTTCTCCCTTTTTGCTTTTCTCAGCACATCTTTTTACTATTTGGCTTATGAAATGGGAGGTGGACTAATTGGATGGAACATTTCTTCTAAGAAGTAAAAAACTGACTTTAATGGACTAGGAGCTTGGTACTATCATGCTTCGGGTTTGAGTTTTGTGAATAAAAAAAAACAATGTTGGAAGTCGGGAGACATTATTCGACTGGAATTAGTTTAAATGTATCATGCATCGCTTAATAATCTATTAAATAATTATAAGATAACCTGAATTTTACTTGGGAAATGAGTACTACTACATTGTGAATTTTCATCTACTTTTATTGATCGTCTGTGATTAATTTCACCAACAGTTGCTGAATTGGATGGGGAAACTCTGGCGGCGAGTTCGAACTGTCGGCCCGACAGTTCCGTCCATGTACTTGGATAAGCGATTAGCAGATGACACAGGTTACGGAATCCATCTCAGCAAGCCAGAATCCAGCTTATGTATGAACTGGTTAAACAGACAAGAAACTGGTTCGGTTGTTTATGTTTCCTTTGGTAGCTGGTCACAGATCAACGAGGTACAAATTGAAGAAATAGCTTCGGCATTGAAACAAAGCGGGTTCAAATTCTTATGGGTTGTGAGGGCATTTGAAAAGGAAAAGCTTCCTAAAACATTCACAGAGGAGACGTCGGATCAAGGCCTGGTTGTGACATGGAGTCCACAACTTGAGGTATTAGCCCATGAATCCTTGGGCTGTTTTGTGACTCACTGTGGGTTCAATTCGGTTCTGGAGGCACTGTGTTTAGGAGTTCCGATGGTGGCAGCGCCGGTGTGGACAGATCAGCCCACCAATGCGAAGTTGATTGAGGATGTTTGGGGAGTTGGAATAAGGACTAAGAAAGACGAGCAAGGGATAGTGAGGAAGGAAAGTCTGGTTTCATGCTTGGAGGAAATTATGGAGGAGGGATCAGAGAAAGGGAAACTGATCAAAGAAAATGCTGCCAAATGGAAGAATTTAGCTAAGGAAGCTATTGATGAAGGTGGGAGTTCAGACAAGAACATTGATGACTTTTTAGCCGACTTAGCTAGTTAGATTTGGTCAGAACTCAGATAGAATAAACTTCCAAGTCTGCAACGATGAAATTGATGGTTGCTAGCATGCCAAAGTAGTCATTAGTGGTCCGAATTTTCTCATCAGTCTTAAAGTGAGAGTCTAAAAAATCATGTACCACGGAATCAAAATGCATATTATTATTTAAATATTATTATTTAAGAATTACATGTCGTTGCAATTTGTTTGTTCCTTTGTTTTGAGAAATTTCGCATTTTCTTCTCAGTTTTCATCAACATTTTTTTTTTAAAAAAAAAACATTTTTGATAAAACAATTCCATAAATAAAAGCTTCCATATATAGAAGTGTTACAAGGTAATAGAAAGATTCTAATGGCAAATCATCTAACTAAACTTACTGTAACCCCCGCCGCAACGAAATATGAGTGAGTGAGGGTGACATTTACTTTAATTCCCTCCGCTTTTTATTATAAGATATTTTAATTTCTTTTAATTGAAAATAAAACATTGAAAATGTATTTTTCACATTTATTGTGTTCTTCCAATAATAAACAAGCATTTCCAAGGTTTCATTTCTATTAGAAAAACACTATAAAAAAAATTTTAGAAGAAATCAAAGGGTTTTATAATAAGGAGCAGAAGTAAGGAGTATATGATTTAAACTTAGGCCTCCAGCTTATGTACCAGAAACAAATCAACAATAAAAGCCAAACATATATTGTATCCCCGTGTAAGGCAAGAAGTTTCAATATCATTCTTCCGTGTCGTTTGTTCTTTACTGATTATTAAGTATCAAAATGTACGAAGGCATTCTGAATTCAATTCTCCTTTTCCATCTTTACAGTGACTGATAACAGTACGTGGGGACGAACTTGCTGCAATTAGACAGGTGAAGCAGCAGGGGACCGAAGAGGGTCCCCTGGTTGATGGCATATGGGCATCTTACCATCGCCAAATCACATATGATTACACCATTTAACTGAACCGATTCAGGAATGCATTTATTAGCATTAAGTAATCCTATGTCTTAATTAATCATAGTTTGCTAACTTTAAGCACTGTGCCCTCTTTAAAATCCTAGTAGAATCAAAAGGAGAAAAAAGCAAATGCATAGGTGCTGGCTTGGTCATCATGGCATTCAGTAATGTCAAAATGGTTCGTGCTCTCTATGGCTGCCATTTCCCGCCCAAGGCCACATAAAAACCCATGGCTTTAGTTCTGGAAGCGGCTAGCTTCAAAAGGGTGAAGGCCACATTTGTAAACATTGTTTTCGTCTCCATATTAATGCATGCAGATTCCAGAACTTCAATCAATTTCGAGGCCATTTTGGATGAAGGCAATGAAGGCGCATGGCTAGTTAACCGCGGGAATCCCTGAAGTTCATTTGGAAAGGTTTCTGGCTTGTTCGATCCTCAAGAAGCTTGATGACAATGGTCAACCTGTTGATGTGGTGATTTACGCTTCTTCATGACGTGGGCTCTTGATGTAGCCAAACATTTCGGGGATTGGCTATGCAAATACTACTTTCCGCAATTTAGGCGAATTGAATGAAGATGTGAGTTGTTTCAATGGAATATTTTGCACTCACTCATACTAATTTACCTCTGGGATGGGAGAGTGGTGGGGTGGACTAATGGGATGATAATGTGCGAACAGATTACAAAAACCTGCATCTTACAGTTTGACACTTGACATTTAGTATTACACAGAATCTTCTTCTGCTAATTTATCTTCTTGGTTGTGTTTACAACCAGTCATTGAAATGGATGGGTAATCTATGGCGAGTTCCAACTGTGGGTCCAACAGTTCCATCCATGTACTTGGATAGGACGACAGCTTACGGGATCAATCTCACTAAGCCAGAGTCCAGCGCGTGTACATTCTGGAGCTTGGCAGAAATTAACGAGCAACAAATGGAACAATATGGCTTTAGCTTGAAAGACACCAAGTTGAAGTTTCTCTGGGTAATGCGGATGAAAAAGAAAAGCTTCCAAAACACTTTCATTGATGAAACACAAACGTTGGATGAAGAAGGCCGGGTTGTATCTTGGTGTCCGCAACTTGTGGGTTCAGCCCATGAAACGATTGGTTGTTTTGTTACTCATTCTGGGTTGGGTTCAAGAGGTAGGAGTTCCCAAGGTCGGATCAGCCCACCACTGCCAAGTATATTCAGGATGCTTGTGGTGTTGGAGTAAGGACTCGTAAAGATGAGAAAGATTTCATGCTCGAAGGAAATCATGGAACACGGAGCAGAAAAGCCAAAGGGGAGATCAAAGAAAAGGCGTACAAATGAGAAATTTTAGCACATTAGAACATTGACGAATTCCTAATTAGCACATTAGACCCGGAGATACACTATACGAGAAGCAAAAATGAACTGCAGTCAATTGACAAAGCTGTCATCAATGTTTGTAATTACATTCAAAGAATTATGTGTTCTCCCTATCAGGATATCTGTTACTTACCCTCACGGATCACGAGGTCTTAGTCAGCAAGATGGAGTATAAGGTATCAAAAGATTTTATCTTCTGCCTGAATTTCGACAAAAACTAGACCTAAAGTGACTCCAAATGATGGTGAAAAACTAAGCATAGCTAATGGAAACACTCACATAGATATTGACAACCATTTTCAAATCAAAATCATCTGTTACTTACATATGCATTCATTACAAGGCTAATTATTCTATCCTACATACTCATACCTTTCCATACATTTCTATTCCTTCCTGGGCAACGATTACCTCGTAAAGGGGATTTGTATCTCCACTTTCTGAAGGCACCAAAATGTCATCATATGTAGTGAAGTTGTAACGCTCTCCAATAGCTCTGAGAAGCTGATAGACCTCAAACATTGTAGGCCTTTCTTTAGGAGCCGGCAGCACGCAGCTGCAAGCAACTTTTAGGAACTGGAAAAGTTCCGAATCATAGCCCTTTCCAATCAAAGATCCGTCAATTGCATCATTAAGTGTGGAGTTACTCGACAGGTTGGAAACCCATTCGACCAGATTTCCCCTAAAGTATTCAGGTGCTTTTGCCACATTTGTAGGCGTCTCACCAGTAACTAGCTCAAGAAGAACTACACCAAAACTGTAAACATCCCCCTTTGGAGTTGCCACTAGAGTTCTAGAATATTCGGGTGCTACATAACCCAAATCCCCAAATTCGCCATTCACAAAAGTACTCAAATGGGTGTCAATTGGATTCATGAGACGAGCAAGTCCAAAATCAGATATTTTGGGTTCAAAATCAGCATCTAACAAAATGCATTTGGAGCTTATATTTCGATGAAGAATTCGTGGATTGCAATTGTGATGGAGCCATGCAAATCCTTCAGCCGAGCCAATTCCAATTTTGAGTCTTGAAGGCCAATCCAGTGTTTTCTCACCTTCACCTGGGAAATGCAGCCTATCATGCAGAGTGCCATTTGGCATATACTTGTAGACTAGAAGCCTCTCTCTTTTAGTCACACAAAAGCCCAAAAGGGGAACCAGGTTACGGTTCCTTATGTTCCCCAAAGTAGCCATCTCAGAAGCAAACTGTTTCTCAGAATGTTGGGTATCTTGTAACCTTTTCACCATCAGTGAAGTTCCATCCTCGAGTAAAGCCTTGTACATAGTCCCCGTTCTCCCAGACCCAATAATATTGCTTTTGCTGAAATTGTTGGTAGCCTTCATAAGGTCACTCAATCTCATTTTTGAAGCTGATTTCTCAAACATTGAAAGCTGCAAAATATTGGTTCAATATAAGCACCATAACTTCAGATTAACAGAGGGCAGAAAAAAAGGTCATATACCACCTCATAAATAGTGCTACAATTACATATTGGTAATACAGGAATTGAGGACACTTGTATGGCAACGTGCAAAACTTCAGCATAATAACAGTTTCAATGACAATGAGCTGTCTTACTTTTCCAGGAAAAGAAAAAAGAAATCACGATAACAGGCATGATTAAACAGGGAAAAGAGGAATCAATTGATTGCACTCTATCAGTTATGTAAAAGCATACCTTTATCCCATTGGCACCCTTAATACTCCTTGCCCATTTATTCTCATCAGGATCCTCTTCCTTCTTCTTTCTATATGTCCTACGCATAAAGAATAACAATCCCAAAACCAGTAACACAGCAAACGTTACCCCACCCACAGCTGCCCCAATGATAATTCCTGTAACTGCTTTCTTTGCAGGAGCCTGACAAGGTTTGTTGGGAATCCCACATAGCCCGGGATTGTTTGAATAGTCTGTTGTAGTACCATTTCTAAACATAGGTACTTGTCCCATCAACTGGTTGTTCTTGACACTAAATTCCTTGATTCGGTCTAGAAGGCCGAACTCTGGAGGAATTGGCCCCGTCAATTGGTTGTTGCCAAGTTTGATAAAGTTCAGGAATGAGCAATTCACAAGATCCACGGGAATTTGTCCTGTGAGATGGTTAGAGGAAAGATCAAGATTCACCACATTCTTAATCAGTTTTGAGATATCAGATGGTATATTTCCATTGATGTTGTTGCTGGAAAGATCCAGAGTAGTCAAAGATGAGCACATGTTAAGACCACGTGGAAATTCTCCCTTGAGCCCCATGTCTGCCAGACGAATATTCAATACCTTATTCTCGCCTGGGTGCCAGCACTCAATTCCAGAGAAGTCACAGATAAAACCCTCAGTTGTGTTTTCAAATTTCCAGGAAGATGATAAAATATTGAGGGGATCTTCTAAGGAGGCTTTTAGAGATTTGAGGCAGTCGACATCAGCCTGAATCCCATTGCTGAACACAGTATTCACCAGCCACCATACAAAGAAACCAAAATGAGCAACGAGAGCTTGACGGTGAAGTGACATTCTAGTCCAGCAAAACACTTGCTGATCAAGGATAAATACTATGTAAAATGATGATTAGCACAGGCAATTGTCCTATATGCCAAACTGCAAGCTTCAATCTTCATAGACCTCCCTGAACCAAATCCTAGTTAAAAGAAACAAATTCAGCATTGGCATAACATCCAAATTGATTACGCTAGGAGGAAAGTCAGAAACTACACTAGGAATGTCAAAGTCAAATTGATAAGCCCGGCACTAGAACTTCTTAATAAAAAGGCTGCATCATCTGCTATCTCTCAAGTACAAAAACAGAACAGAAAATCCAGAGCACAATTTTGTTTGAAACATTGCGATAACATCAAGTTTTGTCGGTCCGGAACTAGCTCTAACAAGGAGAAGAACAATGCATTGGGTAAAATTAAAACAAAAATAGGAAGACAGAAGGTTTAAAATCCTTAAAACCCCTAATAACCAAAGAAAGTCAAAAAAGGATGCTCCCACCCTTACATGCAAGTCAAAACCATTTTCCTTGAAACCCATACCCCAATTTTAGTTAAAGAAAAGCTCCAGTTTCGTTTAATTCATCAAAATAAACTGACTTTCTGCACTGAAAAACTTCCAGCCGAACGACTCCTCAACCATCTACACAGAAACACTAAGCCTGGAACCTAGAAAATCACTAGGCACCAAAATTTAAGGAGCAAATCTTCTACTTCGTAGCCAGCACAGTTCACAAGTAAATGAAAATTGAAAAGAAAAAGAAATAACATCTGCAGACAAAATCGGATTACATACGATCAAGGAGCTAAGAAATTAGCAGATTTAAGGATCCATACAAAAAGGGCTCTTGAAATTAGCAACAAAAAAGCATCTCTGTTCAAACAAAACCTTGAAACCTCAAACTGATCATCACAACATGATTCCACACCAACCCAAAACAGCTACAGAAATACTCCAGTCAAACCAAGCAAACCCAAGAACAAGCAATAATCATTTCAAAATATAAATAGATAAATAAAACCCAAGCGACTGAACATGCTTACAGATTAGATCAAATTCCTTAATCCAGAGCAAAAAGGGTCTTCACAAATCAGGAGAACACATAGAATAAACTACAAAGATGAGGAATTAGAAGGAAAAAAAGGGGGAGTAAAGATGTGTACAGTTTGGTTTGAACTTTGATGGTTCTTCACTTCTTCCGGTCAAAGGAGCAATGCTTACGATACGTTAAAATTTTCTAACAAAAACCAAAAGCTCTATTATAGTAGAAGAGTCACCAGAGTGAGGTCCCAGCGACGACTGAGACTACTACTTGCAAGGAAAATCAAAGGGGAAGATTGATTAACAGAAAGGTGAATTTAGTGCTTGACTTTTTGCCGCTTCCAAGTGCGTGAAAATGGAAAAAAAAAAAAACAACAACAACAAAGAAGAAAAATTGGGGAAGAGTTTTTCGTGTAGGATGACCGGACTAATGGGGAATATGACGAATGGCTACATACATAATTCCTCTTTTCATACTATCCCCCAGCCCCCACCTTCCTTTGTTCATTTGTTAAGTTCATTCATTAGTGTCATTCGTTTCTTCTAGTCAACTAATGACGACAAAGGTAAAATGAATTGCAGTTACCTCCCCCAACGTTTGAGAAAAAGCCAGAAAACTCGCTCGATTTTTTTCCTCGACTAACCAGACACGTCCTCATAGTCTACTCTGGAAAACTAAAACGCTCTAACGGTATGCTCTGATAAACTTAAACGCTTCTATGAAATAGAAAACGTTCGCTTTTGCAGATGAATAGTATGATTATTCATTTAAAATCTTACCACATTTATGAATTTACTAGTATGATTTTTCCTATAAACTCTTTGAATTCTGTTTTATTTTTGTTCATCTGAAAGACAAAGAATTTATGTATTGTAATCTAGGAAAATTTTTTACCTTTGTGATAATATTTTAGCCATGATCTCATTCTCGGTCGTCCATGACCATGAGGGTTCAGTTGTTCATTAAATGAAGCCACTGCTAAGTGCTAACCTAAATAAATTTACTCCTCTATTCCTCATGTGGCATCTGCCAAGAAATCTGTTTGACTCATCTAGATTCGTGACTTTGACTGGGAATGGTTTAAAAATTACTCAAAATTAATGTTTCGATAACTCTTGCAGAAATATCTGTGTGGGAATATTGTTGCGGTAAGCGGTAACACAAAAATGGTTTAATTACGTCCATCTCAAAATGGACATTGCGTTCCAGAATAATTCATTAATAGGGAAGAATTCATTTCCTCTTGCGACGCTGGTACCAAATATGGACGTGTGTGTGAACTGTGAAGTGTGAACTGAAATCAGCTTATTAATTAATTCTGCTATGTGAAAAAAGCGGTTTGTATGTATTCATCATTTTGACTATGCCAGCAACCAATAATTGAAAGCCACGAAGACGTGACACGTGGAACTTCCATACGCCCAAAATTCGGACGCAAAATAGACGCCTAAACGGCTAAACCTTATTGTGGAAGACTTTGACTTTCAAGTCGTGATAACCTTCCACTTTTCTAGTTTTCTTGCCTTTAGGGGCTTTTGGTTTTGTTTCTGCAATTTATAATTATTTTAACTAGGTGTTAGACCCGTCCGATGGACAGGGAGCACATATAAATAGACATTACTACACATATAAATCAAAAAAATATTAATATTTGAATAAATTTTTGTATTTTTATAAAATATATAATGAATTTATTAAAAAATATAAAACACAAACATCGACAATACTTTACCAAACGAATACACTGGTAATTTATTTAACGCAAAAAAGATTGTTAAGAAATTAAAAAAATAAATAAACTTTGAATTAAATAATTATATATCTTGCAATATTTCTTGGTAGACTACATTGGTAGTCTGGGGTGGAAAGGTCGGCTAGGGTGATTAAGAAATTATGATAAGGAATTTTTTTTTTTGGAAAAGGTTTATGATAAGGAATGGTTACTACAGAAACAACAACTCTAACTTGTTGTAGAGGCCATCCAATTTTTTAAAGAAAAATTTAAAAAATTGAATATCAGGACCTTTATTCCTTGTTTCGGTGTGACTTTTGATTTCAATGTTTTTATTTTATTATTATTTTTTTAAAATATACTGCATTCTCACTTTCCTTCATTTTTTTTATTTTTTAGCCTCATTTGTTCGTTTGATTTAGTTATTTCTCATTACCTATCTAATAATTTATCTTTAATTAACTTATCCATTGACAAAAATATTTTATTTAAAATGTGAGGGTGAGACTGTTTTTTTACGCTTAAAGAATATCATTTACCTATTTTTTTCTTCATTAATATCTTTCTAGACACTTTCGCAAATGTCAAATCTATCCTGCTCATTTTTTTTTTTTGAATTAAAGTTAGATTTTTTAGTCCCGCTACATCAACCCATAACCATAGTATTTTAACTCAATTCCATATTTGAAACTAAATTATAGAAGTTTCAGGCTGGCCTAACTTTTTTAATTATTTTAATAAATTATTAATATAAAATTCATTTTCAGTTGCGTTTTTTTTTTAAGAGGAAGAGATCCGTCCATTGAATTTGCAGGGATTTGGAGAAATCAACATAGGGTTTGGATTTTTTTCAGTTTCGTTTTTTTTGGTTTTTATTGTTTCGTTTTGTGCATTTTTATATCTAGAAAATTAAGAAAATGCCACATAGGATAAAATCCTATGTGGCATGTGCTCCTTAACTTTAGATTTCTCTCTCTGATTTTTGCCTTAGTATAGTATATAGATATAGATATTCCCTTTGTTCTGAAAAAAAAATTGTCTACATTAAATATTCATATTCATATTATTTTTAATATAATTTTTCGAATTTATAGTAGATAATTTTTTTAGGACGGAAGTAGTATTATAAATTATTCTCACTAGCGGCTATTCACTAAAAATTCAAGTTTGTGTTTCATAAATTAGTAGATAGTAGGTACATTATTATGATTTTAATAAAAATTGGAAATTCTTGTCACGTGTAAATTGAAAATTGTGTAAGGAAACTTGAGGTTTGATGAGAAATTATCTCTACAACATCTAATTTCATAGATTGTTGAGTTGAACTACCTACGGGGTTGAGTAGAATGAGCATATTTTCTTTCAAAGGATCAAAGGAACTAATCTACTGTTAAGATGTTCTCCAACTGATGTTGTAATTTGTAAGAGATTATTAGGTCTTGACACCCATTTTGCCATTTTGTTTCATTTTACTTTTTAAAACACATCTCAAATACAAAAATCTAATATTATCCAAACAATTTTTTAATTTACTTTTTAAAATTTATGTCAAACATTATTTTTACATCACCACCGGATCACCTTCGCCGCCATCGTCTGCCGCCAAGCTACCAAATGCCTCCGGCCGGCGACCGGGCAGTGGTTGAGATGGTCCGATGGTGGTCAAAAATATTATTATTTTATTTAAAATATTACCCAAATAATTTTTTAAATTTTCTCTCAAAACACATTTTAAATCACATCTCAAAATCAAATAAAAAACTAAAACAAAAACAAAAAACAAAATGTTGGCCAAACAAGCCCTAAATGCCTTGTAGTTTAGGACCTTTAGGTGGATGTTTTTAGGACCTCTAGGTGGTTGTTTTTATTTATTTATTTTATTTATCCCCATCGTACTCTCACGAGCAAACAAAACCTAAGTTATAAAATCACACTCTCTCCGTCTTAAAATGATTATTTAGTTTGGATTTTCTGTTTCTTTATAATTTAAACTGAAAGTAAAAAAAATTAAATAATAATTTCGAGACAGAAAAAACATTGATGACTTGAGACAAATTTATTACTATCATCCTCCGTCCTCCTCAATTTTTTTTTTCTTTTTTTGAAATTTGTTCACAAAAGAACATCATGGTCTCTCTCCCTCTCTCTCTTTAAAAGCTTATTTTATTTTATTTTATATACGAAGGAAGCCTCGAGGGTTAATATTTACAAAAACATTCCAGTAGCTAAGGGATGACAAAGGCCTATGGTTCTCTAATTTTTTTTTTATGCTAGATGGAGGTGTTGACAAAATATGGTTTTTTCCGAGCAGGAGAAACCAAATTTTGCCAAAATATGGTTCTCTCTTTAAAAGCTAAATACCAAAAACTCAAGTTGAATAATATTTGTTTTGGGCCAATTTAAGATCTGGATTTTGATGTAAATTCAAATGATCTTTCCAAAGACACACTTTTAAAAGATTGGGCTTACGCGTTAGCTTACGGGCCTGAGGATACAAAATAAGGTCGCCACTGTACTGTTTCCAGAGAATGGTTTATTAGCTATCACCTGAGACTGAGTACTGTTCTTTTTCTTTTTTCAATCTTTTTTTTTTCTTTATTCTTTTTTTTTTCTTTACCCTTATTCAGAAAAATAAAAAATAAAAATTGTCAAGTAGTACATGTGGATTGTGATGTCTTTGTTAACCAACAAAAAAAAAGAGAAAGAAAATGATAATTGTGATGTCTTTCCTGATAAAATAAATAAGTGTTCTTAAATTAATGTAGCAACAAATATTGACACTCATGACTCATTCTCAACTCTGTTTGTTTCCTAGCTGTCCATAAGAGTCAATCAATATGTCAAACAACCTTTCTATTTCTGCAATCTGTATTCAAATTCAAAAGTTTAAAACTATTATATAGTACGTCTACTTCTTATCTCAAACACACTTTTCTTATCTGTATTCAAATTCATTGCTTATGAGAGTTTTGACTCTGAATCCCGAGCTGAGAGATTCCTATTCAAGTGCCTAGACGATCTGAATGGATCTCACTAAGCAGTTGTAATTTCATGAAGAAACGTTTGATGTTTTAAAATCGAACACCAGTTTTAAAAAATAAGAGCGAGACAAGCTATTTTTTATAACTGGTGAAATTCGAACTCGTGATTTCTTATAAAAATTATAAACGTATATCGTTAATTATCGAATCATTTCATTGTACAACAAAAAAAAATAGAAGTGCAACGTTTCGCATAAATGACAACACTAATTATTTATTATTTTTATTTTATTTATTTTTATGTTTTTTTAAAAAAGGAATACTGTAATTCGTAATAAAATAAATAAAAGTCCTGGGGTACTGGCAATAGCAAAAGGAAATGGTGTGCTCAGAAGAAAAAGAACAGAGGTGTGCGTGTCAGAGGAATTGTGGTGTGTGTCGGGTAAGGGCTGAAGTCATAAATACGACTGTACATTCCATTCTGCTACTTTCCTCTTTCCTCTTCTCTTTCTCTCTCTACGGCTGTGAAATTATTCTGATAGGTCGTCTCTTTCTCTCTTCTCTCTCTCTCTCTCTCTCCCTATCCAAAATTAAACCTAAAAACTAGGGATTCGCTCACTCAGTAGGAATTTTAACTGCAAAACACACAAACCAATCACACCTCCAAAGTCTCCTGTTTTCAAAATGGTCTGATCTTCTTCGTCTCCATTTTTCCTCCTCCCAATCACTTCTTTCCATTTGTCAGTCTCACGATCTGGTAAGCTCACTTCCATTTCTCTCTCCTTTTTTTGTCGTTTTTTATTTTCTCAGATCAAGGCGGCTCTAATTTTTGAATTTTCAAGCTGTGCTATTCTGTTCCGTTTTCTTCAAGATTTACTGCTGTAGACTGTCGTTCTTTTTTTCTTAGCTGAGCTTTGTGTCTTTTGGTTGGTTTATGGGATTAATCATGTTGTTATTTTTTTTTCTTTATTTTTTTTACCTGATCCAAGTGTCCGTCTCTGTTTTCTAGTAACCTTAGCGTATTTAGTTGCTGGTTTTGGTGATTTAAATCTGTCGGCTGAAAAATGGTGTTGGTTTCCAGTGGTTAAGTATTTGCAATTAAGTTGAGGGATTAATTAGCGTTAATTGCTGTTTAATTATACTTTGTTTAGTAATACTACGCGTTTGTCCTCTTAGGGTTAGTTAATGTGGGAAAATGGCTGATTATGTTCTAATTTATTCATTTCGTCATTAAGGAACACTGATGTGTCTTAACTTTACCAGAGCACAAAACTCACACAGGGTATTTCAGTAAGGAGATTTTGTTAATATGTTAATAATTGTTGGATCCATTTCTTTGACTGTGCCGTTAGTTTAATATCTGTGAAGAAATTTGTTGTTGAGCTGGTCTTTATATAGTAAGAAGCCTTTATGGTGATACTGAAATTATTTTCACCCTCTAGATTAATTATACTCTTACTGACTCTGTATGGTAGTTGAAGTTCATTTATTGGCTGTTCATGTTGGTGATGGTACAGTGAGATAAAGCTTGTTGTTGTTGTTGTTGTTATTTCAATGTTGGTGATGATGTAAGTCTCTCATAAAATTAAACCTATTAATGAATGTTATATTTGTTGCTATATGTATACTTGCTTATCATCTGGTTATGCAGACGTCTTTTCGTTAACGAGTGATGTAACTCTTTGGTGCATGTAGGCTTGCCTTCCATGGAAGATTCACAATCAGTTGCTTCACTGATGGACTCTACGAGCTCCAAGATTCAGCAACTGCAAAAAGCTTTTGCTGAGCTTGAAAGTCATCGTGCTATTACCCTCAACTGGAAGTGGAAACAACTTGAAGAACATTTCCATGGTCTTGAGAAGTCTTTGAAGCGGCGTTTCACTGAATTGGAGGACCAAGAAAGGGATTTTGAAACTAAAATTGTCAAATCTAAAGAGATGTTGGAGAGACGTGAGAAGGCCGTTGTGGCTAAGGAGCAAGCTTCTCTGGAGAGACTCCAAGAGAAGAGAGATGCTGCAGTTTCTGCTATTACTTATGCTTTGGGGAAGCATAGGAACTCGTTTCCTGATGAAGCTGTTGTTATTGATGGTGAGGACCATGGTGGAGTATCAGTTATGGAGGACAAACCACCTGATGCCATGGTTTCCGAGAAGGCTGTAAAGGAGTTGACAAAGCCTTCTAACGGCGAGAATGTGGTGGTGAAGTTGTATCCAGACCTTGTTACACTGTGTCAAAAGATGGATACTGAAGGTCTGCACAAGTTTATATCAGATAACCGTAAAAACCTTGCTGTCATGAGGGAGGAAATTCCAGTTGCTCTGAAGGCTGCAAATGACCCTGCTTCTCTGGTGTTGGATTCACTCAGTGGTTTCTACAACGGGGAAATGCCTACTTCAGATGCCAAGAAGGATGCAAACCTGCTGGGCCTTCGTCGAACCTGTATCATGTTGATGGAATGCCTCAGCATTTTACTAGCAAATTTGGATGAGGATCTCATTCCTGTTATAATCTCGGAAGATGTTAAGGAACGAGCAAGAGTTATTGCTGAAGAGTGGAAGCCGAAGTTGGATGAACTGGATGTTGATGCCAGCAGTGGGAACTCCTTGGAGGCTCATGCTTTCTTACAGCTTCTAGCTACTTTTGGTATCAATTCTGACTTTGACCAGGATAATCTGTCCAAACTGATTCCTATGGTTTCTCGCCGCCGTCAGACAGCGGATCTGTGCCGTTCACTTGGTTTATCAGATAAGATGCCAGGTTTGCTTGAACGGATCTTATTTGTTTACATGTAATTTTATATATATATATAATTATTTTATTTGGTATTTTGTTTATTTAGTTTTTCATATGTTTTGATCTTTCAGGTGTAATTGATGTTTTAGTCAGAAACGGAAGACATATTGATGCTGTTAATCTAGCGAGTGCATTTGAGCTGACTGAGCAGTTTTCACCCGTTGCATTGCTGAATTCATACTTGGCTGAGGCTAGCAAAGTGTCTTCACCTGCTAGACCTGGGAGCACATCTCCTGGGCAGGTTTGTTTTCTATGTCACATTCTACAGTAGCACATTGCTGTTGATGTTTATTTTTATAAAGATGTCGAACAAGCTGTATGGCTGTCATGAGTTTCTGATTGCTCTTTCTAGGGTATGGTAACTCATTGATAATATAGGCATGATTCATAAGTTATGCACGCATGCTGATGGCATTTTCGCTGAAGTATAGATTTGTGTTATATTTTCATCATTTGTCTGGTCTCAATCAGTTAGTTTAAGATCAAGTCACCCATGCCAGCAAAGCTAATGATTGCTGTAAACTATATTTTTTGCCTTCAGTATGATGTCAATGAAAAGGAGCTCACTGCCCTTAAGGCTGTGATTAAGTGCGTCGAGGAGCATAAGCTGGAGGAGCTCTACCCTCTAGATCCACTCCAGAAAAGGGTTCTGCTGCTGGAGAAGGTGAAGGCTGAGAAGAAAAGGGGGACAGAGGTTCCCAAACCTCAATCCAAGAGGCCTCGTGCTAACAGTGCAAGTTATGGACCAAGAGCTGCTAACGGTGCTGCCACTGACAAAAACTTCTATGCTAGAATGACTGATAGGTACCCACAGTACATCTATGATAGACCTTACTGTTTCCCTGCACCGACTGACAATCACATGCCGGCGATCTTGGGTACTCCTGCTTACGGCATTCCACATAGTCATGGCAACTTCTTCGGAACCGGTTACCAGTATCAGGCGACTCCCTACCTGCACTAATCAGTAGGAATGATGAAACTTGATTATGATCCTTTTAACTGTTAGGGTTAACCCTCCTGTTGTTGTATTGTACCATGTGAGCAAATTTAATATTTAAGAAAAAAAACTAAAAAATCCCTCCCCCAAAAAAAAATTATCCTTGTTAATTTTTAATCTGTTGTAAAATCTAATACTTTAATCCTCTAATATATGCACTTTTCCCTTAAGTTCGGTTTGTATGCCTGCGCTACTGTGATGCTTGTTTGTTGTCTTTTGCTCTTTTTCTGTTTTGTTTCTTTAATTTTCATCTTGTTGTATGCTTCCGCCTTCCAGAAGGGTCAACTGCCCAAGGTGGTTCTTTTCTTTCCTTAGTTTGAAGCTGATTGAATTCTTCTGTTTGATTCTATGTGGATTATTTTTCAGTTATTCTCCAAAGCATCTTTGACGGATCTATTCTATCACTTGGTAAAATCTAGTATCGTTCAAATGAGTGTGAGAATGGAATTCTCAAATACTATTTCTAAAGGAGGTGATCTTGTGTTAGTGATTAGTCTTCGAAGATGGTCATAACTATTCGAATTATAATGTCTTGCGACTATTCTTTCCATTCTAAAATTATTGTCCAGTTTGGATTTCAAATTTTAATATAAATTCAAATTAAAAGTGAAAATTCACACTAGATAATATTTTTTGGACGGAGGAAGTACAAATTTAAAGATTTTGAAAGAATGTTCTTCTCTTTACCTCTATATACCCAGTGATTTCACCTACCGCTCCCTACATTGCCACTATATACCTGGTGATTTTTTCTGGAACGTAAATTTTGGATCTACCACTTCAAATAAAAAATAAAAAGCTTTGGAGGCTTGATTACTAATTTTCCGATAAGAGTAGGGGCGGGCGCTGCAATAAGTCTTCTCGGAGGGAGGAGCTATAAAATATTCTTGGCAAATGAAAATTTCATTTTTCAAATTTCCAATTCCCTCCAAAATATTTCAGAAAATTGGCAACCGAAAATTCTCTCGCGAAAAATGAGAATCGCGGAGATCTCGTCGCCGCCGGAGCTTCGCTCAGGCCACAGTCAAGATGCCGAACCTCACTCTCACATACTTTCTCAATTCGAATCATCAATTAAACAGCTCGAACTCTTAACATCCACTGCCTTAATACCGGAATCTCTATCGTCCGACCTCCGATTAAACCTGTCTCAGCTGAGTCAACTCGCTCCGTTCCCCAACTCAGTAAATCTACACATCTGGAAACTCAGCTATCGTCTCTGGAATGCTTGTGTCGATCTCCACAACGCCTCCCTCACCGCCGGCAGGGAGACGTTGGAGGAGCTCCCGAAGCTCCGGCAGCTCTCGGCCGATCTCCTTTACGTTGCTGTTAACGTCGTCGGGATCCCCTCCCCTTCCTTCAAGTGCGCCTCCTTCTTCTACAAGACTGGTCTCGTTTGGCATGATATCAGAAAGTTCGATCTGGCGAACAATTGCTTTGAAAAGGCGGCTGATCTCATGTCGAAAGTTGAAATCGATTCAGAAAAAGCAGATAATGACGAGCGGAAGCTATTATTGAATCTCAATTTATCTCGTTCTCGAACTGCTTGGGAGATTCCTGACAGGACTTTGGCAATCACGTTACTCAATCGGTCAAAAAAGGCGTTATCTCGAAGTTCAGAAAATTACAAGGTACTGGCATCTCAGTATTTGATGTTTGGAAAAGATATTTTGGCAAAAAATGAAGTTTCTGGAGTGAATGAAGCGTTGAAATTGATGAATGAAGCATTCGAGTTGTCTGAAAAAGGATTAAGGATTGTCAAGAAAGCAGAGGAGACCTTAGCATTGAAGGAACTGAGAACCAAAACGCTAAGATTCATGGCGGCTGCGCATTTGCAGAGGGATGAATTTGAGAATGTGCTCAAGTGTGTGAGAATTTTGAGGGATGGTGGTGGGGATCAGCACCCTAGTTTAAGTGTTTTAGCAATGAAGGCATGGTTGGGGTTGGCAAGGTATGGTGAAGCTGAGAAAGAGTTAAAAGGCATGGTGGTGAATAAGGGAATTCCAGAGGTGGTTTGGGTATCTGCAGTCGAGTCATATTTTCAGGCGGCTGGGGTGGCTGGAGCTGAGACTGTTAAGGGACTATTTTTGGGGCTTTTAGAAAGGTGCCATGTCAGTGCTATCTCAGCTTTAAGAGTAGTAAATAGGCTGGTTGGGGATGGCGGAGGAAGTGGTGGGGAGGGCTCAAGGACAAGGGCTAAAGTGGTGGCTGAACTGGTGTCTGACGATAGGGTGGTTGCACTTTTTGCTGGAGAAGAAGCGTCTAAAGAGAGAACAACAATGCATTCTCTTCTCTGGAACTGGTAAAATTCCTTAACATGTTCATTTCCTAATTGATCACATTCTGAAATGGGCAAATTTTGTTTCTAAGATCTTACTGCTGCGAACACTTCAGAAGTTGTACGGGTTGCTTCTGAAATCAAATGAAGAACATGTAGCTATTCTTTTCATTGTTTCTTTGATAGGGATCCTCGCCTTGTCTTGTAATGTTGACATGAATGTCTTAAGTGGACACCTTTTACAATATGAATGACATGATTCTAGGAACAAATATGCATGTATGATTAGATATTTCACATTTCAGAGTATGAGGCTTGGTTGTATTGCACTTGCAACTTTGGAAAATACTTGATTGCTGCATTTATTTTATGTCTGTTTAAATTTTCATGGGTTTCTATTGCTCAAATTTTTTTCCCAGTGCTGCTGAACATTTTCGATCCAAGGATTTTCAGACTAGTAGTGTGTTGTTTGAAAAATCCATGCTCTACGTCCCTTACAACATAGAGAGTCGAGTACTGAGAGCGAAAGGATTCAAAGTATTGTGTCTCTGTCACCTAGGCCTCTCTCAACTAGACCAAGCTCAAGAATACATCAATGAAGCTGAAAAGGTCAAGATTGATCAACCCTGCTTATAAGTTACTGTATCAAATGTTTGCACGGTATTCATATCTGAATATCTTGCTGTTTATTTGATTATGCAGCTTGAACCGAGTATTGCTTGCGTTTTCCTAAAGGTGTGAGTCTTGTCTCCCTGAACTGCAACACTTGTACAATGATCTATTTTATATGGTGTTAATATCACTCAACACAATTTCTCTGGTCTCAACTCTGCAGTTTAAAATCTACCTGCAAAAAAATGACCATACCAGTGCAATAAGTCAGGTGGAGGCCATGTCAAGGTGCCTTGACTTTACTCCTGATTTCCTCTCTCTTGCGGCACATGAAGCCATTGCTAGCCAGTCTCTTCCTGTCGCAGTTGCTTCTTTATCTAATCTGTTAAACTTCTACTCCTCTGGGAAAACTCTGCCAACCAATGAAGTTGTAGTTTTCAGAACTCTAGTGACATTACTTACTCAAGGCCCTGGCGATGCTTCAGAAATCCTAAAGTACATCAACCGCGCTCTTGAGAGGGTATCTATGATTGGATCTGACTTCTTTTTTGGGAAAGGCGAGGTAGGGAGACGAGAAATGAACTGGTTTGCTATGAATTCATGGAATCTTGGGCTGCACATGGCGAAGGCAAAGCGTTTTGGGCTATCTGCTCAATTTTTTAGATCAGCATCAGACTTTTATGCAACTAGTATTGATGGTGAGGAAGGAGAACACAGTGTAATGGTTTGCAAATCCTTGATATTGAGTGTGTCTGCCACTCTTGCTGATGAGACGCAAACAAACAAACCGCTGCTAGAAAATGAAGTTAAACAAGCCGTTGAACTGTCAGAAAGAGCCGGAAAGGTAAGGGCCACGTAATAGCTTCGTACAAGGACACATTCATATGCTTAGTCACTGAAATATGATTCTTGAGATATTACAGTCTACATTTAGCAATTACTACTACTATAATAGCCTAGATATTATAACCGGATGTCTAGAATTTCCAGTAGTTGTAAGCTACATTTTAGGTAATTATATCTTAGGGAAAAGCATTTTTGCCCTGCTGAATTGTTTGAACTGCTTTGTCGTAAAATTGCTGATTGCAGATCTTACAATCAACCCCGGCTGCTTTATGGAAAGATGACAGTGGTGATGCCAGCATAGACAACTTCATTTTTATGTACACCTGGAGTTCATACGATCTCTACGCAAGGCTAGGTGACATGGGACAGAAGCAGCTCGTCCTGATAAAAAGCTTTGCGAGTTCTAAATCTTGCAATCCACTGCATCTCCTTCAAATTGGTCTTGATGCTGCACAAGGACCAAGATCCAACCCTGAAGTGGCTACTTTCACTCTGAATACTTGCCTCTCTGCTCTTCTCGCATCACCGAGTCCTGATTACCAAACTGTGGCCCAAATTCTGAGGCATTTAATCATGGTAAGTACTATTTTTAAGGGTGATGCAGATGGTGAAGCAGTTCTTGGCATTTACAAACAAGCATTCAGGATAATGGTGGGTTTGAAAGAAGGGGAATATCCCTCTGAGGAAGCCAAATGGCTCTCCACAACTGCCTGGAATCGAGCATCAATTCCTCTGAGGTTGGGGAACATTGAAGTGGCAAAGAAGTGGATGAATATGGGATTGGAGTTGGCAAAGAAGGTTACAAGTATGCAGGCATATAGGTCATGCATGGAGGGTTTTGTTGCTAGCTGCGAAGACAAATCTCATGGATGCGAAAATAATGAAAGCAGGCTAGTGGAAGTCACTTAGATTCTATTGAGGCAGGAATCTTCTCTATTGTACAAAAGCTAGAAACACCACGTATATCCATCAGTAAAGAATGTCTAGGTTTTCTCTACTTTATAAATTTCCCCCGGCTAAATGTGTTTTCGAACTGGAAGTACGATTTCGGCAAGTGAATACCATTTGATCCTTTATGTTTTTATTGTTTTCGATTTAAGCATCTTCTTCTCTGTTATAATTACAGGTCAAATACAGGAGACAAAGACAGTTTTCATTTATTTGCTCATTTGGTACTACAGGATATAATTTTTGTCATAGCTGCACGATGTTTGCTTTATACAAAATACAATTGGTTAGATACTGTTATTGTGAGTTTTTTTTTTGGGTTGAAAAAATTCGAACATATTCTTCTTCGACTTGGAGGATCATCCTATTGGGATAAAAGCACAGATGCCTTAATTCTATGAGTAGTTCTATGTAGAAACTAAGCAATAAACAAAAGTTATTACAACCATCGGTTTATCAACCCAAATCTGAACATCATTGTGGGTTCGATGGAGTTGGAGATGACAGTGGTTTTCAGGTGAGGATACTGCACTCATAATGTTCATTTTATAGAACAGTTGCAATAATCGGCAAGGGATCACAGAAGTTCTGTTTAAGTACCATGACAGCCAAAAAAAAAAAAACTAGGCAAGAATATCATGGATCCTTTTCAATTGGAAAGATGAATAGCAGCATACAATTTGCATACGGTGATGATGATCTAAGGGCACATTGTCTGCCCCTCTTGGTTCGGAGTATAAAACAAATACTTCTAAGCTACACCCAACAAGAATTTTTTCCTTTTTTGGTGGTTGTATATTTTTAGGTTGATGATTATGCCCCAAGGAACAAGAGGAAGGAATTGGCCTACCAGAGAAGCTCGCGCGTCGCGTATATTTCTGTGTTACTCTGGTCGCTTTGAATTTCACTCCTTTTTCGCAATTCTAACAATTAGGGCAAAAAGAATCTGTCGGCATTCCATTTTTATTTCCCCTTTTTTATTTTGCCGATCCATCATTTGATTTAGTTTATCTTCCTTGGATTTGAAGCTGATAGAATCATGACAACTGAATCTGATCAATTGTCCTCTGGTCCCTACGCCGCTCTACGCCCCGAGGAAGAGCAGGAAACTACAACTCCAGCTGAAGGTTCGTGCACCCGGTTGAAGGTATTCCATCTGCTCCTTTCTTTTCCATTTTTTTTGGTTGATCATTTGATTTTGTTTATCTTGCCCGGATTGAAGCTTTCATTTATTATTTGATCGTTTGATTTTGTTTATCTTGCCTCGATTGAAGCTGAAAATAATGTTAGCAATCGGTCATGATAAATAACGGTTCCTTTTTTTTTTTTTAATAATTTAATAATAATTGATAAGGTTTAACTTTCCTAAGAAGTATTTTCTTTTTCCTTGTTTGGTTTGATTTTTTTGTTCCCCTTTGTTGTGGTATTTTTAGTTTTCGGAAGAGGATGATCGCCCAAAGAGAGCAAAGGGGACGACAACTCTTGCTTTTGTCTGCAAGAAAGGTGTTATGGTAGCTACTGATCATTTAGATGCCGGCAAGGATGGTGAGTTTGATTTACTTTGGTATATCTTACTCTGTACATACTGTATATTCCGCAATGTATATCATATAAACAAGAAAGTTGTTAACACTCTCGTTTTGAATTTTAGGTTCGGAATACTTTGTGGAGAACGTTATTGATCTTGATTCTCATGTGCTTGTCACTGTTTCTGGAGTTGGGGATTCTAGATCTTTTCTCAGAAATATGAGAGAGCAGGTGTGTGTTGTCCTTCCTTTTTGATACTGTAATATGAATAGAGGAGTTATATCCACCTAAAAAATAGCCTAGATTGGTTTGTAGTTCTAGATTGATGACAATGTATCATATCATAATCAATCTTTGGTGCAAAAAGCCTTGCAAGGGCATGGGGACAAACCCTTATCCTTGCTTTTCGCAGAGGCAGCTTATCCTTGTTTTAAATTGAGGAAACAGGGAGATTAATTGTATAGATAACATAAATTTCTCTGAACCGAGGTTAATATGGAGACAAATTGTGTGTATAACAGAAATCTCTGATGTGTATATTTTTGATTCTCGATTCTTAGAAGAATAGAAAAATTAACTATGTCATTGTTTGGGTTCTTGTATGCTTACTTGGTTGTTGTTGGGTAGATTGATGATAAGTTTCATTGAATGATACCAGTACCAACGCGAACATGAAGCCTTTAAGGGGAGAAAATGTGTTTTGGAGGTGTCAGAGTGGCTGGGCAAGCATCTGTCTTCGCATTGTGATAAGGATCCGTCAGCAAAAATGCTGATTGCTGTGTGGGACTACCAAAGGATCCGTCAGCAAAAATGCTGATTGCTGTGTGGGACTACGAAAGAGATGTTAGTTGCTTCCTTATGCATTGATTTTACTCGTCAGTAGTTTGCTTCTCTCTCTCTCTCACACACACACATGCATGAATTTTTTGTTTTCGTCTTTGTGCAGATACCTAGATTGTTTATCGTGGATGCTAATGGTCAAAGGTCCACAAGAAAAAAGGGTGCCACTGGATGTGGTGCACTAATCGTTTCTGATCTTTATGATATCGGGTGAGCTTCTTTTGCCATTTGAATACTTAGTGGTTTTTGTCTATTTTAGTCATCCTGAGTTGTTGGTCTTTTTATGTAATAGTCTCGACAGAAAGGGCTGTGATGAAGCTGTGGTGTATGCTAGATGGGTAATTAATGGTGCTGTATCTGTACTTGCATTCTTGAAGAGAACGGGAGACTCTAGCATTGAAACTTGTGGTTACATAAGTGGTATGTTTGTCTTCTGCCCGCCCCGTTTCTTTATTTTATTTTATTTTATTTTTTTTCTTTCCCTGATGAGTGCCTTTCTCTTGTTTTTAGGGTACTACGTAGGAGCTTCACAATGAACCTTTTACTCCAGAATTATAGGGAAGCAATATCTTGCATGACATGCCTGATGCCTCATGCAGTATCTTCTTAAGGATGTCCTCGTGTCTTTTTAATTCGTGTTTGTGACTTTGTAATTTGATGATGCATATACTTCTGTCGTGTCGGGAGATGTTTGTTTGATAGTGGACAGCATTTGCGAATGTAGTTTTTGGCTGCAAATCTCGTTTGGGTACCTGTTACTTCGACAGGCTTCTAGACCATATTAAGTACTGCAGATTGTATTTAGATGATGCATATATTTAGTGTTCCTCCATGTTGTTCTGCTGTCATTATTTTGTGGTTATTGATTACTCCCTCTGTCCCAAAATTATTGTCCAGTTTGATATTTCACTTTAGTACAATTTGAACTAAAAATGAAAACCCAAACTGGACAATAATTATGGGACGGAGGGAGTATTTTTTTCCCCATAAACCAAATTTATGTCTGGAAGTTAGTTCGAAAAATTTGCCTTTAAGTGGCTCATTATTTCGGTAATTAACCTATAATAGTGGACTTGTGTAACATGCTCTGCTTGATGCTTGAGCTACCAACGTGAAAGGGGAGAAAAACTCTGTTTTTGAGGTATCAGAGTGGGGGGCCAAGCATCTGTCTTTGCATTATAGTAAGGATTCGTCAGCAGAAGTGCTAATTGCAGCGTTGGACGACAAAAGAAAAGTTAGTTGCTTCCATATAGGTGATTTTAGTTTCTTCTCTTGTGGCTTTGAGAAGCATAGGAACTTGTTTTCTGATGAAGCTGCTGTTATTGTTGGTGAGGACCATGGTGGAGTACCAGTTATGGAGGACAAACCACCTGATGCCATGGTTTCTGAGAATGCTGTAAAAGAGTTGACAAAGCCTTCTGGCAGTAAGACATAAGGTGGTCAAGTTGTATCCAGAGCTTGTCACATTGAGTCAAAAGATGGAGACGCAGGGTCTGCACAAGTTTATATCAGATAACCGTAAAACCTTGCTGTCATGAGGGAGGAAATTCCAGTTGCTCTGAAGGCTGCAACTTGCCTTGCTTCTCTGGTTTCTAACTCACTCAATGGGTTCTACTATGGAGAAGTGGCTACTTCAGATGCCAAGAAGGATTCAAACCTGCTGGGCCTTTGGCGAACCTCTATCATCATGTTGATGGAATGCCTCAACATTTCATTAGCAAAATTGTATGAGGATCTCATTCCTGTTACAATATTGGAAGACGTTAAGGAACGAGCAATAGTTGTTGCTGACGAGTGGGAACATGATGTTGTAGTGGGACCTCCTTCGAGGCTCATGCTTTCTTACAGCTTCTAGCTACTTTTGGTATCTATTCTGACTTTGACCCAGAGAATCTATCCAAACTGATTCCTCTCGCCTCCGTCAGACAGCGGATCTATGCAGACAAGATGCCCGGTTTCGTTGGAGGGGCCTTATTAGTTAACACATGAATATTTTCTGACCTATGGTTAGGTATTGAAGCTGTTTTTATTTATTTATTTATTTTTTAGTTTTTGTATTTCGTTTATTTAGTTTGCCATGGGGATCTTTCAGGTGTAGTTGATGTTTTAGTCAGAAATGAAGACATGTCGATGCTTTCTATCCAGCATGTGCATTTTAGCTGACAGAGCTAGTTTCACCTGTCGCATTGCTGAAATCCTACTAGGCAGAGGCAAGCAAAGTGTCTTCGCCTACTAAACCTTGGAGTACATCTCCTATACAGGTTTGCTTTCCTCCTCTGTATTCTACAGCAGCACATTGCTGGTGATGTTTATTTATGTATCCTACAGCAGCATGAGTTTCTGGTTGCTCTTTCTGGGTTATTGTAACTTTCAGTAGGAACGTAGACATGAGTCCTAAGTTCTGCACGCATGCTCACAGCATTTTCACTGAAGCATATATATTAGTGTCTAATGTTATGTTTTCATTGATTGTCTCATCTCAATCAGTTAGTTTAAGATTAAGCCACCCACGTCAAGTAAAGCTAATGATTGCTGTAAACTATTTCTTTTGGCTTCAGTATGATGTCAATGAAAAGGAGCTCGCTGCCCTTTTAAGGCTGCGATTAAGTGCATTGAGGAGCATAACTGCAGCTCAAGAAGGTGAAGGCTGAGAAGAAAAGGGGGACAGAAGTTCCCAAACTTCAATCCAAGAGAGCTCGTGCTAATGGTGCAAGTTATGGACCAAGAGTTAGCAACACTCCTGCAACTGACAAAAACATCTATGCTAGAGTGAGTGATAGGTACCAACAGTACATTGATGATAGACCTTAATGTTTCCCTGCTCCGACTGACAATCATATCCCGGAGATCTCGGGTACACCTGCCTACGGCATTCCACATAGTCATGGCAACTTTTTTCGGAACTGGTTACCAGTACCAGTCGACTCCCTACCCTGCACTGATCAGGGAATGAGGAAACTTGATTGTGATCCTTTTCACTGTTAGGGTTCATCCTACTGTTGTTGTATTAAAATTTAGGAAACCCCACCCCCCCCTTCCCCCAAAAAAAAAAGAAGGAAATTATCCTTGTTTAATCTGTTGTAAAATGTAGTAATACTTTATTCTTCTACGCACTCTTTTCTTACTTTCAGTTCATATTTCCTTTTCAAAAAGAAAAAAAAAGTTCAAATTTCTGCATTACTCTTAAGCTTGTGTGATGTTTTCTTGCTCTTTGATGTTGTTTCTTTCCTTTTCATTTTGTTGTATTCTTCCAAAAGGATCAACTGCAAAAGGTGGTTGTATCCTCTCTCCTTAATTTGAAGCTGATTGTTTGAATAATTTTTTTTCTTCAAAAGTCTATGTGAAAAATCTTTTTTTTTTTTTTATCTCACGATATAAGGTCTAGTGACTTTACAAATATTCGATACTTGTGTTATGGTTTGCGAGAATATCTCAAATCTTTCAAGATGATTTTATATTAATGATCAACCCCTCCGATGATGATCATAACTATTTGAGTTACAATTCGTCCTTGTGTACCCTACAACTGATTAGATTTCGATGATTGAATTTCTTTGGCTCTTTTTACGACCTAAAAAAAATTGTACAATTAGTTACGTGAGTGAAATTTTTTTACTAACATTCTTTAATTTTTGGGGACATAAATTACTAATTGTCAAAATATTGTCTTTTGCTAGTACAATTCACAAATTAAAAACATGGATTATATTTGTAGAACGTGATGTTTTCTGGAACATTCTTTAATTTTTGGGTGGTAAATAAATTTTATGAAGTACTGGGTGATCACTGCATAATGTCTCCACCGACTCCGAGGGAAAATTTGTAAAATACTTATTCTTAACATGCAAAGGGGGGGTTGCATATTTGCAGTTTTACATTTTTCATTTCCCTCCAAAATGTTTTAGGGAATTTCGGACGAAAATTCCTCTCGCGAAACATGAGAATCGTAGAGAACTCGTCGCCGGAGCTCCGGTCAGGCCATACTCAAGAATCCGAACATTATTCTCACGCAATTTCTCGACTTGAATTTTCAATTACAAAGCTCGAACTCTTAACCGCTGCAAGCTTATTGCCGGAAACTCTATCGTCCGACGTCCGATTAAACCTATCTGAGCTGACTCAACTCGCTCCGTTTCCCAACTCGGTAAGCGTTCAAATTTGGGAACTGAGCTATCGTCTGTGGAATGCCTGTGTCGATCTCCACAACGCCTCCCTCTCCGGCGGTGGTGAGACGTCGGAGGAACTCGCGAAGCTCCGGCAGGTTTCAACCGATCTCCTCTACATTGCGGTTAACGTCGTTGGAATCCCGACGCCTTCCTTAAAGTGCGCTTCCTTCTTCTACAAGACTGGTCTCATTTGGCATGATATCAGAAAGTTCGATCTGGCGAACAATTGCTTTGAAAAGGCGGCTGATCTCATGTCGAAAGTTGAAATCGATTCAGAAAAAGCAGATAATGATGAGCAGAAGCTATTCCTGAATCTCAATTTAGCTCGCTCTCGAACTGCTTGGGAAATTCCTGACAGGAGTTTGGCAATCACGTTACTCAATCGGTCCAAAAAGGCACTATGTGGAAATTCAGAACATTACAAGGTATTGGCATCTCAGTATTTGATGTTTGGAAAAGATATTTTGTCAAAAAATGAAGTTTCTGGACTGAATGAAGCATTGAAATTGATGAATGAAGCACTTGAGTTGTCTGAGAAAGGATTAAGGATTGTCAAGAAAGCAGAGGAGACCTTAGCATTGAAGGAACTGAGAACCAAAACTCTGAGATTCATGGCGGCGGTGCATTTGCAGAGGGATGAATTTGAGAATGTGCTCAAGTGTGTGAGAATTTTGAGGGATGGTGGTGGGGATCAGCACCCTAGTTTAAGTGTTTTAGCAATGAAGGCATGGTTGGGGTTGGCAAGGTATGGACAAGCAGAGAAAGAGTTAAAAGGTATGGTTGTGAATAAGGGAATTCCAGAGGTGGTTTGGGTATCTGCAGTCGAGTCGTATTTTCAGGCGGCTGGGGTGGCTGGAGCTGAGACTGTTAAGGGACTGTTTTTGGGGCTTTTAGAAAGATGCCATGTCAGTGCTATCTCAGCTTTAAGGGTTGTAAATAGGCTGGTTGGGGATGGTGGAGGAGGTGGTGGGGAGGGCTCAAGGGCAAGGGCTAAAGTGGTGGCTGAACTGGTGTCTGACGATAGGGTGGTTGCGCTTTTTGCTGGAGAAGAGGTGTCTAAAGAGAGAACAACAATGCATTCTCTTCTCTGGAACTGGTAAAATTCCTTAACATGTTCATTTCCTAATTGATCACATTCTGAAATGGTCAAATTTTGTTTCTAAGATCTTACTACTGAGAACACTTCAGAATTTGTATGGGCTGCTTCAAATCAAATGACGAACATGTACCTATTTTGATAGGGATGCTCACATTACTTGTCTTGTTATGCTGACATGAATGTCTTAAGTGGATACGGTTTACAATATGAATTACATGATTCTAGGAACAAATATGCGTGTATGATCAGATGTTTCACATTTCAGAGTATGGGGCTTGGTTGTATTGCACTTGCAACTATGGAAAATACTTGATTGCTGCATTTATTTTATGTCAGTTTAAATTTTCATGGGTTTCTGTTGCTCAAATTTTTTCCCAGTGCTGCTGAACATTTCCAATCCAAGGATTTTCAGACTAGTAGTTTGTTGTTTGAAAAATGCATGCTCTACGTCCCTTACAACATAGAGAGTCGAGTACTGAGAGCGAAAGGATTCAAAGTATTGTGTCTCTGTCACCTAGGCCTCTCTCAACTAGATCAAGCTCAAGAATACATCAATGAAGCCGAAAAGGTCAAGATTGATCAACCCTACTTATAAGTTACTTTCTCAAATGTTTGCACGGTATTTATATCTGAATATCTTGCTGTTTATTTGATTGCGCAGCTTGAACCGAGTATTGCTAGCGTTTTCCTAAAGGTGTGGGTCTTGTCTCCCTGAAACGCAACACTTGTACATTGATCTATTTTATATGGTGTTAATATCACTCAACACAATTTCTCTGATCTCAATTCTGCAGTTTAAAATCTACCTGCCAAAAAATGACCATATAAGAGCAATAAGTCAGGTGGAGGCCATGTCAAGCTGCCTTGACTTCACTCCTGATTTCCTCTCTCTTGCGGCACATGAAGCCATTGCTAGCCAGTCTCTTCCCGTCGCAGTTGCTTCTTTATCTAATCTGTTAAACTTCTATTCCTCTGGGAAAACCCTTCCAACCAATGAAGTTGTAGTTTTCAGAACTCTAGTGACATTACTTACTCAAGCTCCTGGCGATGCTTCAGAAATCCTAAAGTACATGAACCGCGTTCTTGAGAGGGTATCTGCGATTGGATCTGACTGCTGTTTCGGGAAAGGTGAGGTTGGGAGACAAGAAATGAATTGGTTTGCTATGAATTCATGGAATCATGGGTTGCACATGGCAAAGGCAAAACGTTTTGGGCTATCTGCTCAATTTTTTAGATCAGCATCAGACTTTTATGCCATCAGCATTGATGGCGAGGAAGGAGAACATAGTGTAATGGTTTGTAAATGCTTGATTTTGAGTGTGTCCGCAACTCTTGCTGATGAGGAGGAAACAAACATACCGCTGCAGGAAAGTGAAGTTAAACAAGCCATTGAACTGTCAGAAAGAGCTGGAAAGGTAAGGGGACATATAGCCTGTACAAGGACTAATTCATCTGCATTGTCCCTGGAATATGATTATTGAGATATTATAATCTTCATTTAGCAATTGCTACAACTATAATAGTATTAGTCTAGATGTTATAGCAGGAAGTCTAGCATTTCCAGCAAGTTGTAAGCTACATTGTAGGTAATGGTTTCCTAGTGCAAAGCAATTTTGCCCTGATAAATTGTTTGATGTTTTCTGTCATACATTGTTGATTGCAGATATTACTATCAACGTCAGCTATTTCATGGAAAGATGACAGTGGTGATGCCATTATAGACAACTTCGTTTTTATGCATTGTTGGAGTTTATCCGCTCTCTATGCAAGGCTAGTTGACAGGGGACAGAAGCAGCTCGCCCTGATAAAAAGCTTAGCTAGTTCTAAATCTTGCAATCCACTGCATCTCCTTCAAATTGGTCTTGATGCTTCACATGGACCACAATCCAACCCTGAAGTGGCTACTTTTGCTCTGAATACTTGCCTCTCTGCTCTTCTCGGATCCCCCAGTCCTGATTACCATACTGTGGCCCAAATTCTCAGGCATTTAATCATGGTAAGTACTGTTTCTAAGGGTGATGCAGATGATGAAGCAGTTCTTGGCATTTACAAACAAGCATTCCGGATAATGGTGGATTTGAGAGAAGGGGAATATCCTTCAAAGGAAGCAAAATGGCTGTCCATGACTGCTTGGAATCGAGCAGCAATTCCTCTGAGGTTGGGGAACATTGAAGTGGCAAAGAAGTGGATGAATATGGGATTGGAGTTGGCCAAGAAGGTTACAAGTATGCAAGCGTATAGGTCATGCATGGAGGGTTTTGTTGCTAGCTGCGAGGACAAATCTCATGGATGCGAAAATCATCAAAGCAAGTAAGTAGAAGCGTCTCTTTTTGGGGTTGTAGATTTGTAGTCATGTATTGATTATGTTTGGATGCAATTAATTTTTTCAGGATGGATCGGGATTCAACAAGTTTCAAGTGAACGACTATCCTTGGATTCACTTTTCGGGGTGGTCTTGTTATTGCTTCAGACACGATGTCTAGAGATGTTGATGGAACTGGTATGTTTGTGTGTTCTTTCGTTTTTTACACTGCAACATTTATTTTTTGAGTGAACCTCAAAACAAGTCATCAACCTTTAATATATTTTCACTCTAGGTCATGAATTAAATTTATTTGTAACACAGGTTACCTTACTAAAGATTTAATCCATTTCAGATTATTCTGTTAATTTTGGCCGTTAAATAGTGATGGAAATCCATTTTTCACATGCTTTTGGGTCCAGGGGTATTTTCGTCATTTTATTATTATTTTTTTATTTTTTAATCTTTAATTTTTTTTTTTTACAATTCTTCTTTTTATACTTCCTAACTTGTATACACTGGTAGTATAATTCTAAATTTTAAAAATTTATTTTCCATTTATATTTTAACTTCTAGCTTATAAAATGTTTTTAAAAAAATTTAAGAAATGAAGAAGAAAACATCGAGTTAAAGTAAACATAAAAATTAATAATTTATCATTTTAAACCAAAAAAAAAAACTAAAATAATTAGCTAAGCAAGTTGTTTCTTCTAGGTTATTTAATTTTTTTCAACTCGATTGAATTATTTAATTATTGATTTTCACGTTTCTTATTCTTTTTTTTTTATAATCTAGAAGTTAAGATACAAATGACAAAAAAATTCCTTTTTGAAAATTAATTTGTCATTTGTATTTTAACTTGTAGATTATTAAAAAAAAAAGAATAAGAAACGTGAAAATTAATAATTAAATAATTCAATTGAGTTGAAAAAAATTAAATAACCTAGAAGAAACAACTTGTCTTAACTAATTATTTTAATTTTTATTTTTTTAAATGGTAAATTATATATTTTCATGTTTACTTTAACTCGAATTTTTCTTCTTCATTTCTGATTTTTTTTAAAAAAATTTTATACTCTAGAAGTTAAAATACAAAAAGAAAATAAATTTTTAAAATTTAAAATTATACTACCAGTATATACAAGTTAGAAAGTATAAGAAGAAGAATTGTAAAAAAAAAAAATTAAAAAATTAAAAAAAATGACAAAATGACAAAAATACCCCTGAACCCAAAAGCATGTGAAAAATGGATTTCCGTCACTATTTAACGGCCAAAATTAACAGAATAATTTGAAATGGATTAAAACTTTAGTAAGGTAACCTGTGTTACAAATAAATTTAATTGATGACCTAGATTGAAAATATATTAAAGATTGAAGACTTGTTTTGAGGTTCACTCTTATTTTTTTTGGCCATTAATGTGTAAATTTATATTATTTCCTTTTTTGTTGGAAAAAAAAATTATGTACAATTTAGCGGGAGACTACCCAAAAGTGGTAAAGGTGGGCACTGCAATTTTTGCTGGGGGATCGGGAACGATCGGTCCAACCAAAAAGAAGTTAGATGATCTGGACACAGCGGTATCTCCATGCACTTCTTATGCAATTTTCATTTTTACGGAGCAAAAATTAATAATTATGTAATAATTATTATTATACATATGTATATGTAGTGCGTGATTTCAAAATATCCCATAGCTGGTGGAAGACCTATGACGGTCGAGGATGCAGCAGCGTGGCTGCAAAACAAAATGATGGATCCGAAGACCATATCAGAGGAAGAGCCACACCGCATACTACTCGGGGGCCTTCTTGAAGGAGAGCCAATTCTCTACTGCTTTCAGCCGGGTGAGGACATGCTGAAGGGAGAAAGTTTTGCTATTGGTAGTGGTTGTGATCTCGGGTCTGGTTTCTTGAGGGGCGAGGATGACATCAAGTAAGTAGTTTTTTTTCACATTCATAATCTTGTTTGCTTAATATCAACTGAATTTCGTTAATTGATTACTCCCTCTGTCCTATAATTATTGTTCACTTTACCCAAAAAATTTTGTCCCAAAATTATTGTCTAATTTGACTTTTTATGGATCAAGTTACACATTTGTCCTTAATAAAAAATATTATCCATATAAAATCTTTGTGGTTAAACAATTACTTATGTAGGGGTATATCCAGTTGTTCAAGGTAAAATATAGTTAAATTTGATTAAAAATAAAATCTTTCATTTTAGTAAAACTGGACAATAATTATGGGACGGAGGAAATACATAGTATTCGCTCCCTCCTACCATAATATCTCATGCTTGTGTTTGTTTTTTTAGGGATATTCACAACATTACCTCACCAGCCGAAGCAGCAATAATTGCAAAGCGAGGGATCATTTATGCCACATTGAGAGATGGGGGGAAAACGGGGGGAAGAGTATTCGGTAATTGTTTTCATAATTAGCTACATCCATTTGTACATGCATGTTATCTTAATATTCTGACTACTAAATACATTTGTTTTTTTTTCCCTTTTTTGTCAGTTCATTTTCTTAATAAACATGATGGCACGTGTGAAGAACTTGTGAAAGGAGAGATCATTGAAGAATGTGCAGAGTACAGAGCAATGGAATGGGATTACCAGACCGAGCAAATGACAGAAGATTTTGATTGGGACTAATAAATCCGAAAAGTGAGAGAGGAGAGCGCACCCCTAATATTTCTATATGTGCTTGTTCTGAAACCAATATTTGGGGTAAACATTTTGTATTTAGTTGGGGTCTTTGTGCATAGTCAGATGCTCTGGCTTTATCACATTTTTACAAAAGGTATGGTATTTTAAATACGTGCATTGAACTTTGCCTTACGTGAGCTTTCAAGCAATAATGATTAAAAAAAACTCGATTATACCTTTTCACATGTGCCAATTTAGTATTTCTCCACCCTAATTATATACAAATTAACTCTAATATTAATTTAATTGTATGATTTATAAGACTAGAGAGAATATTTAGTACACCTCAAAGACTCAAAAATAGTGTAGTTCTGAAACACATACCCAAGACAAACATCATGGTTAGGCGTTCAATGAAGTTATCGAATTCAATATAACTTAGTGATTAGGATGTTATATTCTTTATATTAAACCTGTGTTTAATTTTTATCAAGGGATTTGTAAGTTGGATTTTACGTATATTTAAATTAGGTGTTAGACCCGTCTAATGGACGGGGAGCACATATACATAGACATTACTACACAAACAAATCAAAAAAATGTTAATATTTGTATAGATTTTTGTATTTTTATAAAATATATAATGAATTCATTGAAAAATATAAAACACAAACATCGACAACACTTTACCAACCGAATACACTGGTAATTTATTTAACGCAAAAAAGATTGTTAAGAAATTAAAAAAAATGAACTTTGAATTAATTAATTATATATCTTACAATATTTCTTGGTAAACTATATTGGTAGCCTGAGGTGGAAAGGTTAGCTACGGTGGTTAAGAAATTATGATAATGATTTTTTTTTTCTTGAAAAGGTTTATGATAAGGAATGGTTACTACAGAAACAACAACCCTAACCTGTTGTAGAGGCCATCCAATTTTTTAATAAGAAAATTTTTTTAAAAAAAAGGTTGGATATCAGGACCTTTATTCCTTGTCTCGGAGTGATTGTTGTTTTCAGTGTTTTTATTTTATTATTTTCTTTTTTAAATATGATGCATTATCACTTTCCTTTATTTTTTATTTTTTAGCCTCATTTGTTCGTTTGATTTAGTTATTTCTCATTACCTATTTAATAATTTATCTTTAATTAACTTGTCCGTTGTCAGAAATATTTTATTTAAAATGTGAGGGTGGGACTATTTTTTTACCCTTAAAGAATATCATTTACCCATTTTTTTCTTCATTAATATCTTTCTAGACATTTTCGCAAATGTCAAATCCATTATACTCATTTTAGATTTTTTAAGAAAATAATTTTAAAATTTGGTTCAGAAAATCATAAATTTGCCACATAAAATTTAATATATGTGGCATGATACGATACCTTAGATTTTCTCATGTTGATTTTCTTTCCAAAACTAACAATTTGTAACAACCTTCTTAGTTCTTATAAGGATAACGATTCGTATCACTTTGTATATTATATTTACCGTATTCTATCTATATAATTTTTATCTACACATGCAAATTATTATGGTTCAATTAAGGATTATAAAAAGAATGCCATGAAAAATCTCATTTTATTTTGTTGTAGTTTTGGACGAGAGGAATTTCTTGCTGGCCTTTTTTTTTTTTAACGTAGTGGTATATATTTTGGAAATTAAATAAGTCATTTCCAAATGGAATCATAAAAAGCTCCCATAGGATAAAATCTCATTTTATTTTGTGTATTTTTTAGCTTCAAATGGAAATTAAATAAGTCATTTCCAAATGGAATCATAAAAATATCATTTTATTTGTGTATTTTTATATCTAAAAAATTAAAAAAATGCCACATAGGATTGGCATGTGCTTAACTTTAGATTCCTTTCTCTGGTTTTCGTCTTAGTATAATATATAAATGGGATTTACACGAGTGTTCTTTTTTTTTAAAAAAAAAAGTCATCATTTTTTCTCAAGTATGAGAGGAGAAAAAAATTCAATAATCAACATGACCTTATGAAACTTGAATACACATTGACGTATATAATATGTAGAGTGGTAGGCGCACATTCTCATCGGAAGCAAATATGACATTAGAACATGTAATTATTTTGTTAGATTTTTCTAACATCATCTTACTGTCACGAATTTGTACATACTTCATGTATGAGTTTTTATTAAAAAAAAAAAAATGGTTCTGTAGAAGGAGTGAATAGAAGGGGTGGATAGTAATATCAGTATCGGATTTTGCAAATACGAGTTAATAAAAAAATTAGATTTTCAGAATCCGACACACACTAAATAAAAAAAAATTAAGTCTACTAATAAGGATTAATGGGACATTCGGATTTCGCAAGTCGGAGTCTAAGAAATGGCAATTTATTGGGTGCACTTTGGAATCATGGTACACTCCCTCCTATTTTTTACACAAGTGGTCCTTATTTCAATTTTTTTCAATATTATTATATTTTACAAGTTTAGTCAATATCATTTTTTTTCTCTCCTCCCAAAACCATCTCTAATCTTTAAAAGAGCATATCTCCGGATCCGTGAAGAATTAGAAAATGTGTACACATGAAATTTATAGTACTCGTCGAGATTTATGCAACAAGATCCATATGGAATATTTTTCACGAGCTTAAAAATGATCAAATTTTGATGGGTAGAATTAAGATAGATATCTAGTTTAAAAGAATTGATAACCAACTTATTTTAGATTGATAATCTTGTATTGCATATATCTCATGATCCGTGAATAATTTGTAAACGAATTATACATGAAATTTATAGTACTCGATTAGGTCTATCCAACAAGATTGATATCGAATATTGTTTTCGAACGTTAAACGCATTTAAATTCTATGGGCAGAAATGAATGAATATTCTTTTTTTTTCTTAAAATGATTATTCATTGTGTTCATATTGATTATCCGACATGTTTGAACTGATTATCTACTTCGTTTGTACTGTTTATCGAATCAGTTTTCTAGGAAAAACCATTGTTCAATATGTTAATACCGGTTATCCTTTTTGTTTATACCGTTTATCCAACCATTTTTTTTTTCTTTGAAAAGCAGTTGTCTAATGTGGGAATAAATGACAGTCTAGTGGTTAGATTGCTGTCCGTCCTGGTAATATACCAGTGTTCGATTCCCACCAGGGGTTGTAAGGGGAGTTTTTACCCACATTTAAGTAGAGTCCACTGGAAATTTTTTAATGAAAAAAAAACAGTTGTCCAATGTGTTTATAGTGATTATCCAATCGTTTTGTATTGTTTATCCAATCATTTTTACTGCTTGTCCAAATAAGTTTGTATTGATTGTGTAATCATTTTTTTTTCTCTTGAGAAAATGCTTCTTGTCTAGTTTTTTGTCTAACTATCCGACCATTTTATGTTGGTTATCCAATCAAATTCGCCGCTTATCCAAACATAATTTCTTTTCTTATCTTTTTCTTTTGAGAAAATGTTTGTCCAATTTCTTGGTGATGGATATCCTACCTTTTTTTCTTGCTTTTTTAACGAAAATAATTATTCAATTTTTTTATACTGATTACCCAACCAGTTTGTACTGCTTATCTAATTATTTTTACTGATTATTCAAATGATTTGTAATGCTTATCTAAAGAGAGTTTAAATCCGGACGCCTACCCATTTTTTTTTTGTACTTATTCAGCGTCTTTCCACTGATTAACCATTATATTTGAACTGCTTATCTAATGGTTTATTTTGTAAAAAGTGGCCGTTCAATGTGTGAATAGTGGTTATCTAACCGAATGGTATCGCTTATCCAACTATTTTTACTTTTCTCCAGTCGTTCTTTTCATTTTACTTTTTACGAAAATTCTTGTCTCGCTTGTTTGTAATGGCTATCTAACCATTTTGTATTGGTTATCCAATTATTTTCGCTACTTATCCAAATAAGGTTTGTACTGCTTGTGCGATCATTTTTTTTTTTTTGAGAAAATTGTCTGTCCAATATATACCTTCTTGAGCTGCAGTTATGCTCCTCAATAGGAACAAGCAATGGGGAGGAAAGAATGTGCGAAATTAGGTTGGAGCTTTTCGTTATGAAGGAGTCAAAACGACGTCGTTTGTGTTCAAGTTATTATTTTATGAAGCGTTTTTATGTCGTTTTCGGCCTTTATTACGCGAAAAAATTTGTAAAAAAATAATGTTTTTGTAATAACGATTATAACCTTTTTAAAAAAGGCTGATGTCATCGTAAGTTATGGGACAATTAATATATTAGAATATAATTAGAGGTGGTTGTTTTATAAGTATAGAGATAACAAAAGGTATTATTCTTTTTTTCTGATTGTTTATTTTTGTCATTTATTAATTTTAAAACGCAGGCGCCTAGGTATTCGTCGAGGCAAATTATGATTATATTCATACCTTTTATTACAAATATAAAATTAAAGAGATCGCACGGGCATCCGCCCGGACTAAACATCTAATTGTGTTTAGAAACTAAAATAACAAAAGGGAAATGAGAAGGAGAAGAACCAGGCATTGCTATTTGACCAATCCTATAATCCGATCATTAAGTAAAAAAAATGTCAAAATAATAAATGGAGTATGATCTCAAACAGTAAGTATATATATATATACTAGTATATATATATATATATATATATATATATATATATATATACTAGTGATGTCTGGTCGCGCAATGCGCGACTCTGGCCCAATATATCTGTACACCTTAGAAATGTTTGTATCTGGAAAAAAATATTTTGTATTTGACCCGATATATTTTAGAAATGTTTGAAAAATTTAAAAATATTTTATAAGTGTGATCATAGAAATGTTTGTATTTGGCATAAAAAGAAATTGTATTTGACCCGATACGTTTTAGAAATGTTTAAAGATTTTAAAAATGTTTTATAAGTGTTACTTCTTAAATATAAATAAACTTGATCAAATATACATCTTGAATTAAATGTTAGATAAAATATAAAAACATCCTAATAAGTTTAAATATTAGTAAGATAATTTATTGATGTTTTCCGGTTGTGCCAAATTAATACTTAGTTTTGGAGATTTATAATAACTTTGTAGTAAGCTTCCTCCCAAGGGTACGCTTAATTGTTGAAACTATTTCTTCCAAAAGTTTATAAGTAGTAAAATATCAAAAATATGATTATGAAACTGGTTAATTGATGAAATTGGTTGATCACAATATGAGAATGAAAATAATGTAAATTTGCATAGGTTTCAAGTTATACCAAAAAAGAACTCACCTCTCCATGGCAAATAGAAAAGAAAGAAAGTAAAAGATAGCCCATTTAAAATTGAGAAATTTATTTTTTTTCTGTAGGTAAAAATGTTGTATAAAAATACAAATAAACGTAGAAACATCATTCTTCCCCTCTCCGCCTCAAATTCATAAAAGGCTTCTTCAGAAATTAGTTAGAAGAAGCGACCTGAACTATTTAGATGATGAGAAACTAAAAAATGTCCAAAAACCAAAATTCAAAAAGTATATTCTTGAAAGCCCGAACACAAAAAAAACGCGCTTTATTTGCAAATAAAATAAAATAATAATAATAATAATAATAATTGGTCAACTGGGAGTATGAAACAAATAAAAAATAATTAAACAAAGAAAAAACATACTTCGTAACTGACCATATACGAAAAAAAAACTGAGACTCTATAATTAAAAAAAAAGAAAACCACTCTAATTGAATGAAACATTAAAAAGAAATTTAAAAAACCACACTTTGTAACAAAAACTCAATTAATCAATTCAATCCAAACAGAACTAAAATCATACAAAACTTCTAGGCTAACTAACTATATAAGAAATCACATCATATTACTTGACAACGGCTACGGTAGTTGTAAAGGATGGACACATAAAAATAATAGTAATAACACTATTCTTGAACGGGAAAAACAAAAAATAATAAAAGCCAAACAAATGATCTGTGGAAATAAAATCATTTAAATTTTAATACCTGTAATTGCACCACCACAACGGCCGAAGCAAGATCAATGAGAATTTTTTTTTTCCTTTGTGTTTACATAGAAAGGTAAAGAGAATATTTTTTGAAGTCGAAATTTTATCTGATCAGGATGTAGTTGATCATCACTAATGAAAAGATTAAACATGCTAATAGAAAATGAATATATTTCACCACATATTCTCAATTGATGATTGATGAGGAATTTATTTATTTATTTTTATTGTGGAGAAAAGATTGATTAGGGAGTCGATTGTCGTGGAGATGAGGATGAGGATTTGGGTTTTTTATGAACCCGTTTTTTTTTTTTTGGCAAAAATAGGAGGTGGAGGTGGATTTGGACTACATTTGCCTTTTAAGTCTAGGAAATGTGAAAATAAAGATTTATTTTAAAAATATGATGTGGAAATGACACATGGCAAATGGTGGTGCTTTCTCTTAAGTGTGGTTTTTGTTTCTAATATAGTAAGATATATATATATATATATATATATTTTATAGAGGGAGGTAACTTCTTTATAAAAAATAACAAGATAAATTTTTTTTCTTTGAATTAATAGTACCACTTTTCTTATACAATAAATAAATAAATAAATGAAAGTCTAAATCCATCTTAGAGAATATCACTTTTTTCAACAGAATTGACAAATTAATAAAATCTTATCCGTGCCAGAATAGTCGTAAGAAGTAATGGACATTTCACTTTGAATGCTTGATTAACCCAATACTTTCCTAACTGCTCCACCATCTCAAATAATTGGAAAACATATAATACTTCTTAAATATTTTATGATTTTGAAAGGATAACAAAAGAAATAAAAAAGAATAATTATTTTATGATTTTTGACAGATAAATTATCACACTCAATAAAAAGTAGTAGTACTCCCTCCGTCCCATAATTATTGTCCAGTTTTACTAAAATGAAAGATTTTATTTTTGGTCAAACTTAACTATATTTTACCTTAAACAACCGGATATACCCCTACATAAGTAATTGTTTAACCACTAAGATTTTATGGATAATATTTTTTACTAAGGACAAGTGAGTAACTTGATCCATAAAAAGTCAAATTGGACAATAATTTTGGGACAAAATCTTTTGGGCAAAGTGGACAATAATTATGGGACGGAGGGAGTATATTTTAAGGTCAGTTTTTTTTTTTTTTTTAATAATGATTTGGCATGTTGTGCTGCCTCGACTCGAGCCAAAATTTCTCATCTATTTAAACCCACCCCAGTTCTTGAATTTATCAGAATGAGCGAAAACAGCATTGCGCGGCTCTGAAATCGGCAAAGAATTAGGGCGAGAATCCTATATAAAATTACTCCCAATCCACAATTGGCCTTTGCTTCTCCCCCAATTTTGCTGAATACATTTGATTTCTTGCTTTGTCTGAAGCAAGGAGAATCATGACGACTGAATCTGATCAATTGCCCACGGCTCCCTCCGCCGCCCTACGCCCCAATGAAGAGAAGGAAACTACAACTGGGGCTGTAGCTTCGTCCCCCTCCCGCGGGTTGATGGTATTCCTATCTGGCATCTGGTCTTTTTTTATAAACTTTTTTTTTGATCGTTTGATTTTGTTAATCTTACCTGGATTGAACCTGAAAATCATGACACCTAACTGATGATGATAAATACCCAAGGTTTTTTTTTTAAAAAAAATAAAAAATAAAAAATTAATAATTGAAAAGCTTTTGCTCTCCTGAGAAGTAATATCGTCTTTATCCTCTTGTGGTTTGATTTGTTGTTAATTTGTATGGTATTTTTTTTAGTTTCCGGAAGAGTATGATCCTCCCCCAAAGAGACCAAAGGGAACCACAACTCTTGCTTTTACTTTCAAGGATGGTGTATTTGTAGCTACTGATCATTCAGATGCTAGCAAGGATGGTGAGATCTTAGTCTCTCTGTACATATTTATGTTCTTTGTAGGTAGTACATCATCTAAAGTCTAATCAGAGAAAGACAATGACTCTCTTGTTTTGGAATTCAGCTTCAGAAGAATATTTTGTCGAGAACGTTATTAATCTTGATTCTCATGTGCTCGTCACTGTTTCTGGAGTTGGGGACACTAGATCTTTTCTCAGAAATATGAAAGAGCAGGTATGTTTTTTCCTTTCATTTCTGATACTGTAATATGTGAATAGAAGAGGAGTTATCTCCTTTTAGAACATGTACTAGATTGGTTATGTAGTTTTCAATGGAGGGTAAGCTGCCTCTGGGGTAAGCAAGGATAATGGAGGTGGCTATTTGTTTCCGTTGTTTTAAATTGAGGGAAACAAGGATCTCAATTATATGGATAACGTGAATTTCTCTGATCATGTTTTGTATATCTTTTTAAGAAGAGAAAAATTAATCATGTCATTGCTTGTGTTCTTATACGCTTGTGTGGCAGTTGTTGGGAAGATTGATGATAAATTTCATCGTGTGATGCCAGTACAAACATGATCATGAAGCTGAGGAGAGATTTTCTGCTTTGGAGGTATCAGAGTGGGCGGGCAAGTATCTGTCTTCGCATAATGATAAGGATCCATCTGCAAAAGTGCTAATTGCAGTGTGGGACGATGAAAAAATGGTTAGTTGTTTCCTTATAGGTTGATTTTAAGTTGTCAGGAGTTAATTCCTCCCCTCCTCCCGATGAATTTTGGTTTTTGCCTTCGTGTAGAGAGCTGGAGTGTTTATCATGGATGCTAATGGTCAAAGGTCCATAAAAAAATGGGGTGCCACTGGATCTGGTTCACGAGTTGTTCCTTGTTTTTTTAAAATCGGGCAAGCTCCTTTTCCATTTGATTACTTAGTGGTTTTTGTCAATTTTTTTAGTCATCCTGATTTGTTGGTGCTTCTATGTAATAGTTTTGACAAGAAGGGCTATGATGAAGCTGCGGTGTATGTTAAATGGGTAATTGATGCTACTGTATCTGTACTTGCTTTCTTGAAGAGAACGGGAAGCTCTGACATTGAAACTTGTGGTTACATAAGTGGTATTTTTGTCCTCTTGGTGCTCTTTTTTTTTTTTGTTTTTTTGCCCCCTTTTTTGTTCTCTGTCATTTTTTTTTCCCAATGACTGCCTCTCTCTTGTTTCAAGGGTACTACGTAGGAGCTAATGATTTGAAGAGGGTCTTTCACAATGAGCCTTTTACTCCAGCACGGGTCTTTGACAATAAGCCTTCTACTCCAGCACTTTAGAGAAGCAGTATCTTGCAAGATATATGCCTCATGTAGTATCTTCATAAGGATGGCCTTGTGTCTTTTAATATGTGCTTGTGACTTTGGGAGATGTTTGTTTGAGGGTGGACAGCAGTTGTGTACGTAGTTTTCGGTTGCAAATCTCTTTCGGGTTCCTATTACTTTGATAGGCTTCTGGGCCATACTAACTTCTAAGTACACAAATTGTTCGTTTAGATGATGCATATACTGTTCCTGCGTATTGTTCTTCTGTTTTTATTTTGTGCTTTTTTTGGTGCATATAACCGTGGTTGTTTTGACTCATTTTTATCCCCCCAAATACCAAATTAGAGACCTACTATCATAATCACAATATACCTCGTCAAATTCTAACAAAGGTTGAATATTTGCAAATAATCATGGAGAGCTACTGACAAGTGCAATTGAAAATACTCAAATGAAAATCATCTTTCCAACTGTTAATAGTTTGTTGCAAATAAACGTTGAACACAGTTTTCATTTATTTGCTCACTTGTTACAGGATTTTAGTTGTCCTCAAACGATGATTATATACATAATGCAAATGGTTAGCTGTCTGTTACTGTTAAAATTTTGGGTTCACAATGACACATCTGCTCCTTCGACTGGGACCGATTGTTGAGGAAGCATGAAAGCATTGATGCCTTTCTTCTATCAGCACTTCTTTATAGAGCGTTTGATACTTTGGTCATCTTTGTGTGCTCTCAAAGCACTGAGCTGGTCACTCTAACTCAAATCCCGCATCATCATTGCGGCTTCGATGGAGTTGGGGATGATGGCGGTTTCAGATCTGGATACTGCATTACTCATACTGTTTGTTATTCACTTTATATACATAAATTTTTCGAAAAAAGAGTCACTTTATATAAGATAAAAATCTTGCAACAGAAGTGTGTGAGACAGACAGTTAATCAGAGAAGGGGCAACTGAAGAAGACGGCATAGTAACAAATAGGAACAACAGACTGAATAGAAAGCATCCCAAAGGTTTCTATTTGGTACAATGGAACCTTCTCCTTCAGTCGGAAAGATGAATGGAGAGGAACGACCACTACATTCATACTCTCACTTCTTATACTTCTGGAGTCAAGTATTAACCCTACTTCACCAGTCTTAAATGGAAACTGAGAACAAAAGTATAAAAAGAGGAAGTTCTCCTGAACACACAGATATAAACCTCCCATCTTGCCTTTCCACAAAATAGGTGAACCAGAAACTAACCCCCAAGTTGGTGGATAAGCCAAAAAACTTCAAATGAACAGACCTATTCTACAACACCTTAGTTCCCTAGGTTAAGCATCATAAGATAATCATCTTCTACAATCTTTCCCCAGAATGATTATCGTATCCTACATTTACGCTAATATGCTGTAATCCTCAAATTATCACCCTCTCCTGGGAACACAAGAAACAAACCCACCATATTGAAAAGAAATGGAAAGAGAAGTGATACAAACTCACTTATTGACTCTGTTTTTTATATTGGCATATCTACAGCCACCAGATTATCAGATGGATAAACAGAGATGCGTGAAGACAAGAACACAATGATTGCGTCTGAAAGAGATCTTACATTGGGATACGGAGATGATGATCTAGGGACACACTTTGTTCCTGACTTCACTTCGCTCAAATTCTTTATAGAGCCATTGTTTGTCTCTTCACTTCGGCTGTCAGGAATATTGGTTTCAGCTGACAGAGGATCACTACTGGCTTTCGGTTTGTCTGTCCCTCTTGGTTCTTTTGACTCTCTAACCTTCTTCTTTGGGTAGATGTGTGTGGATGGAGGAAGCAGTGTTTCTTGTATCTCCTACAAGAATTAAAATTTAAACCAGTCTGTTAAAGTCGCTGGCTTCAAATGAGATATCAGGAAATCATGCTCTCTTAGGAAATAAATATGTTTTGTTCAATTACAATCTTTAAATCCCATATGCCTTTATGGAACTACTATATATATGATACACTAAGCTATTCCCGATTAAGCTTAGTGCAAGAGGTAAATAAGACTACATGTCCTACGCATCAACAATGCAGAACTGCATTTGCATTTTATTACTTCGGTTTATAGTCTGGAGTAAGTGGTATACCTGCCATCCTTTCTTGCCCCTAATTCCACCTTTGATTGCATAGGCCTCCTTGAACCCTTTTTCGACTAACAACTCTGCCACTCTCAAGGAGTTTCCATCAAAACTACAGTCCAAGCAAAACAGAGTAAATATTTGCCATATTTTCAAATAAGAACAATGCTTTAAAATCACATTGCTACAAGTTTTAACAGATTGTATGAGCAACTAATTAGATATACATATACCGAAACTAACTACAACAGGTGGAATATCTCGGGCTGCTATCAGGCCCAGAAGGTCATTTTTTCAAAGACAAAGCCACAGACAAATGAGTTCATGGAAGAGCAGCCTACTACAAGATTTTTCGGTGCTTTCCATAATATTCCCTTCTGCTTTGATACACCAAAAAATTAATAGTAACAGGATCAGTAGAGATCGTTTCTGATGTGGTGATACAAGTGAATTTTAAGAACGCTGAAATACACACACAAAATGGATCAAGACTCCGTTTGATAATCACTTAAATTTGCCAAATCAATATTTCATCATTACGAGACAGAAAATAATCTCTGAAGATCAGAAGAAAATCTAAAAATGCACTACAACTAGGAAAGCAGTTTCAAGACTAATTATAACATCCACGACACAAGTCAAGCTCCTCTAATAATCTTCATACCATGGTACATCAACATTGGTAGTAGGCTTAAAAAACACAAGTACACTTAAATGGCTTGATCATTTGCACTATACAGCATAAAAATTTTAACATACAAGTCAAGCAATCTCATCAGAATCCAGACAAAGCATTCAGAAGAATTATAAGGCAATAAAAGACATCCCTACATTACAGAATACAGATAATTATCTAGGTGAAAAGTTGCCAAACTCACTTGTCTAAAATGCACAAACTCGTGCTTCCTGGCTCCTTAAAGGATCCCATAACTTGCTTTGCAAAGCTTTCCTCATCGCCTTCACGAAATTCCACCTGTAGGGCGTTCTTATCCAAAATCTTCAAATTAGGCGAATTTAGGAAATCTAAGCTCTTCTTATCTCTAATATCTAACAACTGACAAGTGGGATCATCCCGGAGTTTCCTAAAAGCATCAATGGCAGAGATGAACTTATACTTCCGGAGGTACCCTTTTACTAATGGAATTACAAAAAGCCAAATGAAGGTCACTCCCGCTACAAAGAATGGATATTTATTGAAGAAATCATCAATGGAAACCACAATAGCTTCCAAGTTTATCTTGTTAGACACTTCTTCTGTTGGTAAACTGCTACCTTCCAAAGCAAAACAAGGAAGTGGAAAAAAGAATCCCATAGAGAAAAAAGAAACATGGGATGCCACAAAAATCTCATTCAAATGCAAAAACGAATGACCACCGTCTAAATTGCTTGATTGACAAACAGGAATTTCACTTTGGGGCGTTTCATGTAGCTGCCTGGGGGTAGAAGAAATACTATTACTATGCAGAAAATGGCTGGCCTCACAAGTAGAGGATGAATTGGGAATGCAGAAAATGGATTTGAAAGATGAATTTCGAGTTCTGGGATACTTTTGCTTTCGCCATGGTGGAGAAGCTGCTGAGATTCCTAGTCCTCCAATGGATAAAGACTCCATGGGAAAGAAGTAAAAGCAAGCAGCCAAGAAGTTGATATGGCTCAAAGTTGCTTTTAATGGGTCAATAAAAGGAAAAAACGGCGTCGTTGGGATCAATTACCTTAAATTCTGCAAATAAGAGCCTTCAGTAAATTAACGAAATTGCAGCGCTGCAAATTTATTCACTGAATCGGCTGCTCTTCCTTCCCTTCTTCTCATCAGTGAAATCTTTGTTGCTATTTGGGAATTGGGTTTAGTATGAATATGACGAATCCATCAAATCATGGTAGAATAGATACAAAATCTAGTTGGGATGGCACCCTTTCTTGGGATGAATTTTGCATAGCTGCAAGAGCTTTCATGGAACAATGGAACAGATTTAATGCTGATCTTCCTCCGTTTTCATGGGTTCCGCGTCCAAACCCACCTTGGATTCCGCCCTCTTCTCAGGTCGCTCTCTTCACTCAGCCCTTCTGTTTGTTCTCAACAGAGCAATAATCTTTCCTTTTGATTAGCTTACTCTAGCTTTATGGTGGGTTGCTGAAATTGTGTAATTTTTTTTCGTTCAGTCTGAAGGATATTTATCGGTGGACAATGTGCTTATTTTCGGCAGAACTGAGGTACTGTTGTATTCACATTGGCTTTATGAAATTTTGATGTGCTTGTGAAAATATATTATCCCGTGCAATCTGTATCTTCTTATGTCTTTATTTTGTTTTGGCGATCAGGAAACTTGTAAAAAAGGAGATGACAAGGAGGAGGAAGAGGAAGAAGAGTTTAGTTGCTGTGACAATGATAACGTAGTTGATCCTGCAATGCTTGTATGTATCCAGTCTTCTAGTTTAACCAATTATCCATTCTTTCAGCTCAGGACTTAATTTGATTCTTTTCTAGTAGTAAATCTTTAAAGCTCTTCTCTTTTTTTTGTGAGTCTATCCAAGATGAGTGGTTATATTAGGCGAATCATATGGTCCCTGTTGCTTATGTTTTCTGGTTTTTGACTCAGTTCTCCTCTTGAATTTTCCAGCTTCTTTGAGAAGTATGAAGAATGGCATCATCCAGTTGATGTCCACTTTGATAGTTCTGGTCAATGCAATATATTTGTAGTGTTTCCAAGAGTGTTCTAATGTTTTTTATACGTATGATGATTCAATGAATATTTTGGAGCTCCAATTAGATTTCCTAATCAACAACCATTTCACAGAACCTTTGATTCTACTATCACTGGAGGGGATAGAAACTCCCTTTTTTTAATTACCATTATTAAGAAGAGGGATTAAAACTCTAATTCTACTAGTTTCATTATCCGTTCTCTTCTGATGACTTACGGAATTCATTGAGTTTGAAGCTTGAATTCTGTCCTTGTGTTTTCAATTAGCTTGAGGTTTTTTGGCTTTCTGAATATGGTCAGATTTTTTACTTGTTTACTCCCTTACTTTGCTTTGTCCCCTCTCAGGCCCAAACTGATGAAGTTTCAAGCCACCACTATGACTTCAACATTATTTACAATGTTTCCTATAGAGTTCCAGTACTATATTTCCGTGCATACTTGAGTGGTTAGTCAGTCCACTTTATCTACCAGCTATATGAAATGAGTTGTTTAAGATTACAAACTTCTTTTCCAGCAACTCAAGATAAAGTTATTGATATCACCAGTTTTAGTCGCTCACAAGTTCCATTGGTAGTGTAGATGGACAAGTTTTGGGTTTGGATGATATCATAAAGAGCATCCCTTCCAGCACCAAAAGGCTTCTGATGGAATCAAAATGGACGTTTATAACTCAGGAGGTAAGTGTCGCTTCTCCATTATTCTTTAAAGATGACTGTTCAATCGGAGACATCATTGTAGCTTCCAAGTATCTTGCATTACGTTCTGATGCCCGCGTATAACATACCATGTTTCATAATCTTTTTTCTACAAAGAAACTGTTGTTAAGGGAAATACTTGTGAAAGACAAACTTGTGCTTCCTGTTTTGGAGTCACAAATAGGTCTCATTTTGCATGTGTTGGAGCAGGCATGAAGATTTCATATCGCGAGCACAGTAACTGACTAAGAAGAATGACACTTGATTGCAGGATCACCCGTATTTGAATAGACCATGGTTTACATTACATCCTTGTGGTACTAGTGAGTGGCTGAAGATGCTCTTTAACAGCGATCCGGCCAGGGCTCAAGGTGGACTCTCGGTTGCCCAGTATCTGGTGGCATGGTTCTCTGTTGTTGGCCAACTGTTTGATCTGAAAATTCCCTTTGAAATGATGGGCTACGTTGACGAATCAGGGAGACAACACAAGAACACCATTACAGACAGTAGTTAGACTAGAAAACCAAGCACTTGTAGATGCATTGATTAACAGTGTTTGAACAATACGTTTATTATCTGTACAGATGGGGAAATAGATAGCTAATGAATCTTATGGTGATGCCAGAGGATTTATAAGGTATTCCAAAGTGGTAATTATGTCTATGCAAATTTCGCGTAATTATTTTTTAGCCCAAAAACTATCTCAATAATATATTAACATCACTCTCTTTCTCGAACTAGAAAAAATTTATAAGACTTAAACCACAACTCCATCAATATAAGTTGGTAATATAATGTAAAACTAAAACATACAACATCACAAAAAAGTGCCAATGTGCTATAACCACATTGCTTATTTGTTGTTATCCTTGGGTACTTCCGGGTAAACTGCAGCTGAAACCTCTGATTCTGAGCTTGCCTTCATTTGGTCATCTCTATGATCATCATCGTCAGCAGTTCCGTTTTTACTACTACTTTGCCCTGAATTTTCACCTTATCACCATCATTCTCATGAGATCTTCCTGAAGACAGATGTCGATGGCGCCAGCGACGCAGACCCATCATCAATATCATGCTCTAGGTCACTCAGATGAAAATACTCATGAGGGCTAACGGAAGCCGTAGTAGCCTGTGATGATGGTGCCTCATCCACATTCCTTTGGTGAACTACTTGTCTTTCTCGTCTGTTATCTTCTTCCCTCCTCATGTCTCCTGCAGGAAGCGTAACGAAGGCGAAATTCAGCTGCCCTTTAATCCTAAATGACCATAATTGCACCTTTTGGCCGACAAGAAGCGGACCATTGTTGGTTACAACATGTTTCCAATTCCCATTCAGAATGTAAGATGGGGTAGTCCTGCCAACCAACCACATGCTCAAGGTCACAGTTTCCACTTGGCCCGACGGCTCTATGATAGGAACCCGGTAGAAGAAGTCACGTTCTGAGAGGCGCCTTTTTTCTGTGTCCTCAAGAAATTCATTTTGCAACTGATTGATTGAAACACTGAAGCGATTTTGTTGCCTGTCAATATCACTCTTCTTCAGATCCTTTTGTATCAAGAACTTGAGTTTCAGGTCATCATCATTATCAACTCCTTTAGCTCGTGCTTTTCTGCGAATTCTATCCATGACTTCTTCCGGCAATATTGCTTCTTGAACGTCGTCATTCTTCACATCAGTTTTCTGCTTCTTTTTCCTCTGTTTCGCTTCTTCTTCTGCATCCCCTGCAACAGCTTTACTTTCATTCAAGAATTTCTTCCTTCCAAACCTTATTTGACGACCATCAGCATCAAAATCATCCGAATTCAAGATTCGTTGGAAATTCCGTTTCTTGAGTCTCTTCCGACCATCCACAGAGTTGTCTTCCAAAGGCCTCTTTCCCGAATTCGTGTTGATTTGTTTTCTCTGACTCTGATTATCATTTGGTCTCTCAAGAACACCACCTTCTCTAATCACTATTCCAGTATTCCGGGGTCGAATCTCAGGACCATCTTTCGGAAAGTTAGGATTTTGAACTTCGTTCTTGACTCTTTTCTCCAAAGGCCTCTTCAACAATCTTTCTTTCCGTAAAACTTCCTGGTAATCATTCCTATCATTGAACTTCTCCATTACCGGCGTCCCGTCCTCTGTCGATCTTTTCCGGCCTAAAGTTTCTCTTGTAGTCCTTGAGCGCCGACGTGCTTCAGGGGAAAAATCAGGACGGCTCATCTCCGATGTGGGCACCTGTGGCGGCGGTGGCGGCGGCGGTGGCGGCGGCGGCGGAGGCAGCTCATTGCCTGTTTCGTCTTCTTCATGATCATCATCCCAACCATCCCTCCTCCTCCCCATTGAATTCTTTTCCAAATCTAGTTTCCTTTTTTCTTCCGCGGCAATAAAAGCTAAAATTTTAAGAAGTGATGGAGCCATTGTTTCTTTCGACTTCAGAAAAATTAACTAAGAAAGAAGAAGCAGATCAATTCTCCGGCAAAGCTTACCCACGGTCCTGTATATAGACGCACATTGTTAACGATTAATCCAAATCGAATACGGTTTACCAGCGATGATTTTATTATTAGTATTGTTTCAGGAGAAGAATTAGTAGATTCCTATATTGAAATGGATTTGGCTCTTTATTATTGAAAACTTATTATTATAGTTGTGATGGGAGGAAATTTAAGTTAGTAAAACAGAGTAATTTGGAGTAACCTTTTTCTTCACAACGTTCCAGAAAGGCGAGTTGTAACAATGAGTTGAATTTCATTTTTTTTTTTTGGCAAAAATTATCTTGTATTGCTCTTTCTCGAATTAGAAAAACCTTATTACAAGACAAAAATACTCAAACTCTTTGATAAGTTTTTTTTTTATTTAAAAAAAAAAAAAAACTCTTTGATAAGTTGTTAATGTAGTATAATATACTCCCTCCGTCCGAAAATTATTGTCCAGTTTAAGGTTTCACTTTTAGTACAATTTAAACTAAAAATGAAAATCTAAATTGGACAATAATTATGGACCGGAGGGAGTATATAATAAGGTCATGTCATAGTAGGCCAAGAGACAGAACAAATTCAACACCAACATTGCTTATTTGTTAGCCTCAGGTACTTCCGGGTAAACTGAAGCTCAATCATCCGATTCTGAGCCCTTCATGTCTTGGTGATCTCCATGATCATCATCACCAATCCCGTTTTCGCTACTGCTCGTGTCTCGAAATTTCACGTTATTAGTACCATCGTTCTCATGAGATCTAACAGAAGATGATGTTGATGGTGCCACCGACATGGACCCTTCATCAGCATCATCATGTTGTGGATCATCACTCTGAGGGCTAACAGAAGCGGCTGTAGCAGCTCGAGAAGTTGATGCCTCATCATCCACATTCCTCCGGCGAGCAGATCTTTCCCGTTGGTTATCTCCGTCCCTTCTTATCTCTTCATCAGGAAGTACAATTAAGGCAAAATTCAAGATCCCCTGAATCCTGAACGACCATAGCTGAACCTTTAGGCCCTCTCGAAGCTTATTCTTGTCTACCACATGTTTCCAATCCCCATTCAGGATGTATGTTGGCTTTGCGCCGACCATCCAGTTTCTCAACGTTATGTTCGCTACTTTGCCCGAAGGCTCAATGATAGGAACGGTGAGATAGTTTTTTTCTGAGAGGTAAGTTTTTTCTACTTCTGTTAGAAACTCTTTCCCTTCTACCCGTGATTTTGGAACCAGAAGGCGGTTTTGTTGCCTTTCAATATCACTCATTGTGAGAGCCTTTTGTATTAACGGCGTAAGTTTCAGATCATCATCATTATCAACTCCTTGGTCTCGCGCTTTTCTACGAATTTTGGCCATGAATTCTTCCGACATTGGTTCCGTTACCTCACCATAATGCCCACCTTTCGAGTTAAACGTTCTAGGGCCCAACTTTTTATCTTCCTTGTTCATCATCAAACCACGATGGCCATTCTTCGCTGCAATTCTTTTCTGCTGCTTCATTTTCCTCTGTCTCGCTTCTTCTTCTGCTTCCACTGCAACAGCTTCATTCTCATTCAACAATTTCTTCCTCCCAAAACTTATTTGCCGACCCTCACCAATAAAATCTTCCGCATTCAAAATGCGTTTGAATTTGTGTTTTTTCAGTTTCTGATCATCCATACAGCTGTCTTCCAAAGGCCTCTTTCCCAAATTGGTGTTGAATTGTTTTCTCTGACTCTGATTATTTGGTCCCTCAGGAACACCACCTTCTCTAATCACTATTCCAGTATTCCGGTATTCCAGTTTTCTCCGACTCTGATCATTTGGTCCCTCGTGAACACTTTCTTCTCTAATCACTATTCCACTATTCCGAGATCGAATCTCGTGACCATCTTTCAGAAAGTTACGAAATTGAACTTTGTTCTGGACTCTTTCTGCTTCATCTCTTCTGCATTCCATAGGCGCTCTTTTGAACAATCTTTCTCTTCGGAAAACTTCCTCCTGATCCTCATTAGTATCATTGAACATCTCAATCACAGACCTTCCATCCTCTGTCAATCTTTTCCAGCCTACAGTGTCTGTTTTGGTCCTGGGACGTCGATGCACTTCACGCAGAAAATCAGGCCGGCTCATCTCCGAAGCCGGCGGCAGCTCATTATCTGAATCTTCTTCATGATCTTCCCAACCAGCCATCCTTCTCCCATTTGAATTTTTTTCCAAATCTCGTTTCCTTTTCTCTTCCGCGGCAACAGAAGCTAAAATTTTAAGAAGTGATGGAGCCATTGTTGACTCGAAAGAAATTAACAAAAGACAAAAAGTTGTTCTATTCTCCTGCAAAGCCTATATATAGCCGATGTTAATCCTATTCCTCATCAAATTCGGTTTACCAACAGTTCTTTATTATTGTTGTTTTAGGAAAACAATTAGTAGTTTCCAATTTTGAAATGGATTCGGCCCTTAAAACTGATTAGCATATGTCCCCGGAAAACTCTTCTTATCTTCCTCTTCAAGTTTGGAATGAATTGAAAAATTGCTGATGGTTTTAAAAGCTGATGTTCAATCTAGAGTTCAGCAAAGTCAGTCAAATAATACAAAGCATAAGACTCGACAACTTTGTATGTTGAGTTGATGCTGTTTGATCAATTCGTAGGAAAATTGCTTGGTTGATTATCCGCTTCGGTGGATTCAGATTTGTTCAGAGCTGTTCTGCAAAAGCATGCCAGGAATTCTTTATTCCCTTCAGCGCCTTTCAGTGGAGACTCAATCCAACCCTTGCAAGTGAATCCAAATTTCTCCACACCATTTATAATCCTGTCAAGAACCTGGTGGAACACCATGCAAACATTCAGAGACTAATCCCCATGATAAAAACATATCAAAGGCACAGAGAGTGTACGTCACGATTTCAGCATAACTCAAAGAAAATGAAATAAAGAAAACTATGGAGAAGTTTGACATAATAGATTTGTTTATTTGGATTGATCTAGTTTTACCTCTTGATGAACGGCAGGATCCCTCACAATTCCACCACCCCCAACCTGAACGACACAATTCATGATATTAAAATCATTATCTATAGTTATTCTCGATAAAAATATAACAAAAATCAAGTTATAAATAGATGACCAAATGACATAGTTGGGGATAAACAAAAAGATAAACAAGAGAATTAACAAGTTAAGGATGACAAGACATCAAGCTTGTAAGGTTCCAAGACTTGGATAAATTGCAAATCATGTGATAATATTCAAGCATAGAAGCTAATATGGATTTATTATGGACTGCATAAGTAAATCTCTTTATTCTAATTCTAAGATTACGGCAAAAGGTGCACTGAAAGAACTCTGGCTATGCCGAACCGAGTTCATCAACACTCCTGAAAAGCACATATAATGATGCAAGAAGAATAAAAAGAAAATCAAGTTGTCATACTTGAGATCTGCGAGCTTCAAATTGAGGTTTGATGAGAGTCAACAAAGTAGCTTCTTCCTTCATTAAATTGACCACAGCAGGCATCACCTAAGATGGAAGATATAATGCAATTTCAGTAGAAAGTCACAAAAATTAGGAGTTCCACAAGTTTTATTCACTGAGAGTGCAGAGTTTCGAAGCAGTAAGTATAATTAACCCCAAAATGAGATGCCACAATTATAGTTTAAGGGGGGGAAAAAATAACAAATAGATAGAAGCTTACCAGGAGTATGGAAATAAAGGATAGGTCCAGAGTTACTATATCAACCTTCTGCGGGAGTTCCGTTAAATATCTCAAGTTAGTTCGTTCTATGATACTAACGCGTTCATCCCGGCGAATTTTCTCTGCTACCTAACAAAACCAGAACTTAATCAATTAAACTATAAAATAACATTTTAGTGGAATGGACTAGCTAGCTTAAAAGAATCCACAGTAAGTCAGAGCAATTATGTTTGTACTGCCTTAGGTGCATTTCAAGCATAAGCCAGAGCAAAATGCACAAGAAGCATGTAAATTCATTATTGAAACTTTTTCAATATGTGTGTTTATGAAAAATTTGAAACCAGACCTGTCCATAACCGACATCAACTCCGTAAACAAATGAAGCACCATACTGTAGTAAGCAATCTGTAAACCCTCCAGTAGACAATCCTGAATCTAGAGCAACCCTTCCAACTACATCAACCCCAAACTCTTCAATGGCAGCCTCTAACTTGTGTCCAGCTCTAAAAAAATGATCCAAAGAAGTTTATGTGACAAATTTGCTCAATAAGTGAAAAAAGGTCATGGAAACTAAATAGATATATTTTGAAGAGTAATCACCTACATACATATTTAGGAACTTCAGCTTTGATCTCTACTAAAGCTTTGTCAGGGATACGAGTTCCAGCTTTGTACACTACTTTGCCATCAACAAAAACTTTGCCTGGCAACGAGGAAAAAATTGATAAAAAATCAGAAAATTTTGGCTTGCTAGAAGCTAAAATAAACCAGATGCAACCATCACTTGTCAGTACATATGCAAACAATGACACAGAACAAGAAGATCATTTCTTGGCACCCACAAAGCACTTGAACCAAGGAAATATACGTGATGGACATGCTTTACCTTGAAGAATCCAGGACTGTATATATGTCCGACTATATTCTTGAAATCTTTCAAGACACAATTCATCCAATCTCTTCTTCCTGAAAAAAGTATAATAGAGTTTCAGGATGCATAGGGGAAAAAACAAAAGAGGATTTTAATGCCACCCCCAATGTCAGGTATACATGTGCTTTCTTAAAACGGTTAAACCTCTAAAACCCATGAACAGTACCTATTCAGTTCTAATTTGTTTGAACCGGAGCATTCTGGAGTTACCTAATGGCATAGGGCTTTTCACAATCAAATTGAGCCCATGCAGTATATGAAAATTCTAAACCTCAACGAATCAGAGCCGGAAAGGGAATGAAAAATTTTTCTGGTGAAAGAAAAAAATACCCCTTCCAGGAATTATCAGACATTCTACGGAAACCCTTCCACTGTACTTTTTGACAAAAACCTAGTTCTGATCCAAGATGTTTTATCTGCTTAACATAAAATGTTTTTGGAGGCATCTGGTCTGATAGTGACAATAGCCAGAAATATCTGATAATCAAATTATCCACAGGAGATGCAAAGCTAAAATATCTGATAATCAAATTATCCACAGGAGATGCAAAGGGAAAACGCCATACTGCAAACAGAGAGAGAGGGTATGGGATCATACATTTTCTGGGGTTGAGCCTTTGCTGCTTTCACCGCCGCAAAGCATCGTAGACAAAACTTCGTCTGGGCGACAGGCCATATTACTGAAAAATTATCATAGAAGTAAATAAACAGAGCAAATTAAAGTCAGTAAGACATAATTAGGAGTAATCTTTTCCTTCACAACTACACATATAGGCATTTAATTCAAGTGATTAAAGTACAATACGCAGAATTGAACCAAATTGATCACATAACTTCCACTTCTTAAATTAAGAAGGCCAAATTCCAAAATTTTACCCCCCAAAAAAAAAGCCAAAAAAAGCTAATGAAGGACGCTAACTTGGGATCGAGATAATTCTATCCGAAGAAAATTATACAATAATATCAAAGCAAGCAGAAAATTAGTTTAATCAAGATTATATATGTACTGAAGTGGGGTAACAGAGCAAGTAAGTGACTACAGAAAGAAGCATGAACGGGACGGAGCAGAGAAATGAATACCAGAGCCATGAGGAGAAAGGGCTTGTTTGGACGAAAACAAGAGGGTACATGTTGAGCTAAAAGTAGCGGATGAATAACGTGATAAGGGCAGCTTCAGAATCTGCTGAGCCATCATATTTTTGTTCTCCGGAATCGAAATTTGCAGAAGGTCAGTGGAAGGAAAAGGGGCGCATCATGGTGGCGGTATGAGGCGAGAGGAAGCCGTCGACGGCGAACAAATGGCGGGGGCGACGGGGGTGGGGATAATTGCGTTTGTGTAGCCGTTCGTTTCAGTTCAGTTCAGAACTGGACAAGTACAGTTGGGCTTGTGAGTGAGGGAATGGGTCAAAGTGATACACTGGTTTGGGTGTTTAGTAAATTGAATGGGTTACATCCTTGATTGGGTCTGTTACCTTTTTCTTTATCCAAATGAAAAGAAATAAACGAAAATGAGAAATCTGTTACGATAAACTAGTGAATGAGATTTCAAAAAAAAAAAAAAACAAAACAAAAAAAAACAAACAAAATCTTGTGATCGTGAATGGCCGATTTTCTATGTCAAATGTTATGGGGGAAAAAAAGAACCATAACACTACTAATCCTTTAGATTTTGTTTATTAACAATATGAATGGCTTATGTTGTGCAATTAAATACAATATCACACTTTTTTCACTTACATAGTCAATCTTATGTTGGCAGCAGGAAGGTTTTGGCAGAAGTTGATAATCAAAGTGTCATCACTTTAGTTATGGAGAGAGATGATGTTTTTGGCTTGAATGCATGAATTGTACATGGGAATCGAGATTTGTTAACTCGTGATTGGGAGGTTGAACTGAAACGTAAGTTCTGGAAAATTAACTTTGTAATTGATTATTTAGCATCATTATAGTTCAGTGTCCGGGGGGTTTATATCAATTAGAAGTTCCACTGCTCCACTGCTGAGGGTTCAACTATGACTAGATCATAATATTATAGGGGTTTTCTATCCCCGTCAAATGCCTATCTAGTCATTCTGCCTTTGTCTCATTTGTTGTACAAGAAAAAAAGAAAAATAGATTTCTCACTTCGTGAGATATGAGATGGGCAACATTTGTTTGTAACCTTATTTTTTTTTTCTTGCAAAGAACTATTATGTGGAACTTGTCTTTCATTAATTTTATGGTATTGATCTCAATTTCACAAAGTTTTAAAGTTGATGACAGACTTAGTGCGACCTTTTTTTTAACAAAAAAAAAAAAAAAGATCAATAGTGATTCTCCACTTATCATCGGTGTAACTTGAACCCGTGACAGGTGAAGCGACCTTTTACAATAGTGGAATGTTACTCTAATATTAATATTTAAATGTTACTGTTCCCAATTCCAGTTCTCATCACTAATGATTATTCTTTCTGTTTTAAATTATTGTACGGTTTGGATTTTGATTTTTAGTACAATTTGTACTAGAAATGAAATCTCAAATTAGACAATCATTTCTAAACAGAGGAAATATTTGTTTTCTCTAAAAGTGTAAACCTTAAACCTGTTTTTGTCAAAGGGAATTGCTAGAAATTTGTTTGTTTGATTTTTTTTAATGATTTTTTCAGTTTATTTTATTAATAACTGTCCCATTCCATCATATATTTTTGCATTTTCAACACACCTTTTTATATTTCTAATACAAAAAACACCTAAAAACACGTACTGAAAAAATGAAACAAACGTACCCTTCATATTGCGACTAAAAAATGGAGTACATAGAAAATGTGACAGCTTCACGAAAAAAGAGACTATTGCACTGCATCAGCCCAAAAAGGCAAAAACAGAACAAAATAGTGAAACACCCAAACCAGCTAGCTAGCTGATCCATCCACACTCCCGCAGTTGAGAGAATGTGGATAAGGGATAAGATTTGCCCAATGAAAACAGGACAAGTAATACTTCTCCTTCACTTAGAACCATGCATTTGTGAGCAAAAGATACTCCCTCCCAGACATTTTCATATTCAGACAATATACATCATCTTACATACATTATTCCCATTTCCTCCTTCATTTTTGCCTGGATCTCTCTTCACTGTTAATCTATCTAACCCAAAAAAATGGCTGCTGCTGCATCCACCATGGCCAGCCAACTCCAGACCAGCCTTGCTTCTTCCTTGACCACTAAACTCGCCACCCCAAAGGGCATCTCCGGTGCTCCCTTCAGAGTCTTGCCGTCTACTAGAAAGTCCTCCTTCACCATCAAGGCCATCCAATCCGAAAAGGTGACTTGAAAATTTCAATTCTAAAGTTTATGTTACGAAGAATTGTCATTAGTTATGAAAAATGGTGTCTTGAATTTTAATCGAATGTTATTATTATTGCAGCCCACTTACCAAGTCATTCAGCCGTTGAACGGAGACCCCTTCATCGGAAGTCTTGAGACTCCGATTACATCCAGCCCACTCATCGCGTGGTACCTTTCCAACCTTCCGGCCTACCGGACGGCGGTGAGCCCTCTCCTGAGGGGAATTGAGGTCGGATTAGCCCACGGGTACCTCTTGGTTGGGCCGTTCGTGATGACTGGCCCACTCAGGAACACCGACATTAAAGGGCCGGCGGGTTCGCTTGCCGCTGCTGGGCTGGTGGTGATCTTGAGCCTCTGCTTGACCATCTATGGAGTTTCGTCGTTCAAGGAAGGTGAGCCTTCAATTGCTCCGTCGTTGACTTTGACCGGACGGAAGAAGCAGCCCGACCCGTTGCAGACCGCTGAAGGGTGGGCCAAGTTCACCGGCGGGTTCTTTTTCGGTGGCATCTCCGGTGTCATCTGGGCTTACTTCCTTCTTTATGTACTTGACCTTCCTTACTACTTCAAGTAAATTTGGCTCTCTTTTTTTGTTCTTAATGTCAGTGGGAAAATGAAGATTGTATATGAAACAGATTGATCATTTCAACGTGTCACAAACATATTTTGCGCCATTCGATTCCCTCATGTTTAACTACGTTTACGGTGCTGTTGCAATTTTACTTTTTTTCCAAGTATCCAGGGCAATATAGACAAGTTGCCATTAATCATCAGGAAAACAGAGAGATCCATTTCAATCAAACAAAGATGGAAAATGTAAAATTCAATAAAATGGACCATTTTCACCAACTTCAGGATGGTTTAGCCTGGTTGAGATCATTGGAAATCTCTAAAATATGCATCTCAATCCAAAAAAATCTTTGAGAATGATCAAAAACAAAGAAACCATAGCAAAACAACCCAATCACAGAAGTTCAGTGAAATCTCCATTTATAATGCATTTAAACTATGAATCAATTGCTCTCTAAATATACAAGATTGTACAAGTAATCGAGCCAAGACACAAAACAAAACCAAGATATCAGTCTTGGAAATGTATCTTCCACTTTCCCCAAACTTTCACGTTTTATGGTCTACAATCTACATATGCAGACACCTCAACTCACATCAACTAATTACAGACCACTATTTATATACAACTGCACCTATCATTTATTTTGCTTTAACATCTTTCAACTTACAACGGTGAGTGTGTTTGAATCGGTAGGGGCAATCTTGTTGAGCATGTATGTCAATAATAATATAGCTCCTCCATCTTGAAGAACCCTAATGATGTTTCTCAAGTATTCCAAGTTGTTTAGGAGGATGGAACCGAGGCGTATGAGGAGGACTAAACCACAACACGAACTGCAAATGAGGAACAATCCGCCAAAATTACGTAGGTTCAATATAGTTGGTGGTGTAGCAGCATTTCCGGCATCGGGCATTATGATGGAAGATCTCTGATTTATCCATCTGTCCTCCATTTCTGCAAGTTTTCTTCTTCCCTCAGTTTTATGATTGCTTGCGACATATCAGAAACCAGCTGAGAATGCTTCTTACTAAATGCCTATTCGTCATTTAACAATGTATAAGCGTTACTGCGAAATCTGAACTCCTGAAGCAAATTTCAATATATCAAAAACAGAAAAAGGTTGAAGACACTCACAAATCCAAATCCATTTGTGATAGATTGGGTTGCAACCATGGCATATTCATCCCCATATTTTGCCAAAAAGATTTTGAGGTAGGGGATCTCATCAGTGATGGCGTCAACACCACCTCTCTTACTTCCCCTGGATAATGCATCAGCATATTTCTGTGGGGAGTTGTATAGTTGAAGCCGGTTATCTTTTTACCACTACTATATTCATGCCTGTCCAATTTCTCAGCCAGTGCCCAAATCGTGTCGTATGCCCAAATGCCTAGGACATTTAGTTCACCGAATTCAACAGAAGCGTTCTTACTGTAGAATCCCTTTTTCCATTTCAGGCTGAAGTCTTGCAGCTTACTTGAGGACGGAATATATGCCTTCAATCCCACCACTCCCTGCATTGACCGGATCACATCTCCATTTCCATACTGAAGTTGGTTCATAGTCCTGTCAGTTACAATCCAGGCATACCCTTCTTTCATCATTCCAAGTCTCTTTGCCATTGAAAACAGACGATACGTTGTGGACGCTGATAAATGCACCACAAAAATCGACTGCTGCAGAATTGAGAGCTTATGAAGCTCATCCAGGATTTGATCATCATTTGAGAAAGGAGAAACGGCTGTTCTGTGACTGACACGAATTCCCCTCTCTTGGAAGGATCCAACCAGGGACAGAATGGAGTATCTTCCATCATCAGTATCATCATAGATCACTGAAACAGTTTTCCATTGGTGCGAAATTAATATGCTTGCAATGGCCTTAAACTGTAACTTTTCATCTTGGTTTATTTGAATGAAGAAAGGATATTCATCAGCTGGGGATGACAGGGATGTTGAAGAAAAGGAAAAGATGGGAACTTTGGCCTTGTTTCCTAGTGGTTTCCAGGACTGTTTCTGGCCCAACGATCAATGCCTGCACCTTGATGTTTTCCAGAAGAGCAGCAGCTGAGAATTAAGTACTAACATAGTTTAGAAGTACTGCAAAAATTCCATCTTCTGATGAAATTGAACCAACCAACATGTAATCAACTTTGGAAAACAATCAGAAAGAGTAATGACAAGTCTAACGAACAAGATCCACATACAAATTGCGCAAGTGAAAACTGACCTGAAGAAATAGCATGCTTGGGATCTCCCCTGGAGTCCCTGGTGTGAAGAAGAAACCGCGTTTCGTTGCAGTGAAGTTTCAAAGCACAAAAATCAGAGATTGCCATTTCAATACAGCTGTGGATGCTCTTACCAATCCAAGATCCCATGTCAATAACAACGCCTACATTAACATTCTCGGTCTGCTGTGGAGTCATCATGCTGCTGTTATCGGAATGATCAGACAGAGCAAAATCGGCGTCAATGGAACTTAGCTCGTGGGCTGGTAGAAGAAGGCTGATAATGAAAAACAGTAGGGGTAGTTTCAGGAAAGGAATCCTGGGCCGACTCCTCATTCTTTCCATAGTGATTGATTATTCCAATGAGATTCTTATAGCAGCTTTCTGCGGATCCAGGGGGCTTCAAGAATTTGCTACATGTTATATACACCTAGGTTGACTTGGAACCAAGGTCTTCTCCAAATGTGAAAAGAACAAAAAAGAGCAAAAGTCTCTCTACTGAAATAGACTGACTGATTAATATCGGCCAGCGGAATTGCAGAATTTTCCACAAATTTACTGATGAGGTCTAGCAACTCGGTTAGTCAGACGCCAGCCAGCCGTCCTAAATAGTCCCCGGGAGCCCGGATGGAGTCATATATTTTGATTATTCTCATAAGGTAATCAATTTGGTGAAATGTGTATATTCGTTCGAAACAATGAAAATCAGTAACTTGAAAGCAGCTGGCTTGGTAGTGAAACTGAGTTTTTCACCACAGAATGCAAAATGAAACAAATGAATGTCTTAATTAAGCGTGTAGTACCACTACATGATTGAGTCTCAAACCATGTTGGCAATGACATGATTATCAAATGAGAGGTCTTTATATCTCAATTTTATAATGTACTAACCGTCGTTGTCTCATCAAACTCAAGGAGAATACATATGAATGAAATAATATCATTTCATAAATAAGAAGAAGATTATGGAAAAAACACAAATGAAAAGGAGACATTTAAGCTCAGGTTTTCCTAAATAAAAATAAACAGCTCTGAACAAATTTATGCAAGTAAATTTCTACGAGAAGTCACCTTCCCAGTGCCAATGTTGTTTTCCTCTGTTTTCACTTCAGATCTTCCTGATCAAAGAGTTACCAAGTCATTCAGCCGTTGAACGGAGACCCCTTCATCGGAAGTCTTGAGACTCCGATTACATCCAGCCCACTGATCGCGTGGTACCTTTCCAACCTTCCGGTCTACCGGACGGCGGTGAGCCCTCTCCTGAGGGGAATTGAGGTCGGAGTAGCCCACGGGTACCTCTTGGTTGGGCCGTTCGTGATGACTGGCCCACTCAGGAACACCGACATTAAAGGGCCGGCGGGTTCGCTTGCTGCTGCTGGCTGGTGGTGATCTTGAGCCTCTGCTTGACCATCTATGGAGTTTCGTCGTTCAAGGAAGGTGAGCCTTCAATTGCTCCGTCGTTGACTTTGACCGGACGGAAGAAGCAGCCCGACCCATTGCAGAGCGCTGAATGGTGGGCCAAGTTCACCGGCGGGTTCTTTTTCGGTGGCATCTGGGCTTACTTCCTTCTTTATGTACTTGACCTTCCTTACTACTTCAAGTGAAGTGGGCTCTTGTTTTGATTCTTAATGTCAGTGGATAAATGCAGATTGTATATTAAAAGATGATCATTTCTAGTTTTCTACAATGAACTTTTTCTGATTCTAGTATTGATTTACATGTGAATATTTGATATTAAGAACTGATGCGAATGCAATACCCCTGATCAGACAACTACATATGCTGAAAGTTTTTAGGTACAATGTCAAATGATACAAAGAAATGGATTGGCCTGACTGAAGGGACAATTCTGTTGATCATGTATGCCAATATTCCTCCATCTCGAACCACCATACCGAGGTTTCTCAAGTAATCCAACTTGTTTTGGAGAATTGAAATTAGGTGTATGAGGAGGACGAAAACACAACACGCAAAACTAATGAGGAACAATCCACCAAAACTACGTAGGTTCAATATATCTGGTTGGGTAGCAGTACTTTCGGGCATGAAGGATGAACCGCTGTTCAGCCATAAGTTCTCAATCGCTGCGAGTTTTCCTTCCTCTCTTAGTTTTATAATTGCATCTGACATATCTGAAACCAGCTGAGCATACTTTCTGTTAAATGCCTATTCGCCAAAAATACCAAAATGTAAGCACAATGGGGAAATCTGGGCGCACAAAGAAAATATGTATGTGTATATTAAAAACACATTAGGAAACAGAAAAAGTTGAAACTGGCTCACAAATCCAAATCCATTGGTGGTGGATTGGGTTGCAACCATGGCATATTCATCCTCATACTTCGCCAAAAAGACTTTAAGGTATGGGATCTCGTCAATGATGGCGTCAACTCCACCTTTCTTACTTCCCCTGGATAATGCATCAGCATATTCCTCAGGCGTCTCGTACATTTTTAAACGATTGTCTTTAAAATTGAGGTTGTACGCGATAGTTTGTCCAATAATTGAATCATGGGTTCCTATGTACGCTTCTGATCCGAGTTGAATCTTTTGCAACGTCACATAGAGCTCAGTGTCACTGTAGAGGTCGCAGTTAGTATAAGCACAGCAAAGAGCCAAACAATCACAACCAACCTTGACAAGTTACTTGTCAAACGTTCTCCTGCAATGATCAATACGAATACACTGTACTTAGATAATTCCACATTTTAGATCACGTCATTTCATTTATTGGTGTTTAAATAGGACCATGATTAAGTGAGCTTACTATGAGCATAGAAAAGGGTTGAAAAGCCAAACCATAAGATTGTTCCAATTTGATGAACCGCAGGACCCTGGAATTCTGGATTAGAAGAATGTTCAACGATCCAAACCACCGATCCAGTCAAGAGTAAGAAGGAAAATATGGCAATCCACAAATCAGGCTGAAGGGGCCTCGAGAAAATCCAAATATCATTGCTTTCTCGTTTTACTATGGTTCCAATGCCGATATCTGTATAAGTTACCGTGAAATCCACATATGAGCTTCTATTGCTGTGATTGTAACATCTCCCAAGACACCATCAAACTCCTAATGTTCAAATAACATAATGTTAGATGACTTGATATAGGGCTAATACTCGGCAGAATTTAACCTTAGCACCCTAAAGTAACTTCTAAGAGAGGATAGAATTTCATGAAGAAATGGACAAGGTTGATGCCAATTTAGCCTTCCTCGAGGAAGAAAATCAGGGGAAGAAGATAAGAAGAAAGGTAGAAGATTACCCCAAGATGCACTTGGTATACAAGATTATTATAACTGCCCTGGTTGTCGCCATTTGAATTCAGCCATGGAATGAACTCATAATCTACCTGATAAGGCAATGAGTCCAGTACAGCGCTAAAGACATCAACGCAGAAGCCCATGAATCTCTTGTGCTTCAACATTATAAATTGCTCAAATCCCTCATTGATAGGAACTCCGATTCTTAGGATGGTACGGTTTGCTGGCATAAGCATGCCTCGTGGAGCAGTTGTAGTGATTCCTGGCCACACAATGGCTTCATCAAGACAACCCTTTCCGAAGCACTAGAACTAGGTAGACTCCTCCCGTTAAGCATGCCATGTTTTGAAGTCCAAAACCCAACCCTCCTTTGCCCTTTGCCTATTACATTCACCACTTCGAATTGATTCGGAATGTAGTCTGCCGTCCATGATTTGAAATTCTCCACTCAACCCTGTTCTTGCAATATCACCTGGAAGCTTGACTTTGTTTCCCAGAGTGCCCAAATAGAAAGGATATTCATCAGCAGGGGATGAGAGGATCGATGGAAAAAGAAAATATTGGAACCTTGGCTTTGTTTCCCAGAGTGCCCAGATATTTTGTTTTCGGGACAGTTTCTGGCCCCATGATCAATGCTTGCACCTTGACCTTGCCCAGAAGATCAACAGCTGCCAATTAAGTGCCCTAATCAGTCATCTTGCTTTATGATTCTTGCTGCCACTGACTCAATTAACTTGTCTTTGGAACGCATGTTTTCTCTTCCACAATTTACATAAATTACCATCAACATTTATTGATTAAACGAAACAATAAGATGTTGACCTCTTAACTTAAAATAGCAAACGGACCCAATGTAAAAACTATGACAAATTCAGCCTTTCTTTCATATTTGGCGCGAATGCAACAACCAATCATAATTAGCAAAACAAGCCCAACAGAGTGTAAGTCTGTCACCTTTGAGGTTTTGACTGATGAAGCAATATTTGTAAGTTGTAAATAAGAAAGCATGTAATAAGAGAATGTTCACAAATGTTATGAGTCAAGTAAGAAGCGGAAGCTGACCTGAAGAAATAGAATGGTTTAGATCTCCCCTGGAATCCCTGGTGTGAAGAACTAGCCGTGTTTTACGTTGATGTTTTGAAGCATAAAAATCAGAGATTGCCATTTTCATACAGCTGTGGATGCTCTTACCAATCCAAGATCCCATATCAATAACAACTCCAACGTTAACAGTTTCGTTATGCTGCATCATGCTGTTGTCACCGGAAGAATCAGACAGAGTAAGATCTTCAACATTTAGTTGGTGAGCTGGTATGACAAGGCTGATGATAAGAAACAGTAGGGTTGGTTTCAGAAATGGAGTTCCAGGTCTCCCCATTCTTTCCATTTTGCCGATTCCAGTTGATGTTTTTCAAGTATTTGCAAGCTGGTAATTTTCTGGTTGAATTCTTCAGCCAAGTACTCCCTCCGTTCCACAAAAATAGTCCACATTGAGTTTTGAGTTTTGTACTGTTTTTAGTACAAATTTGAAAACTCAGAGTGGACTATTTTTTTTGGGGGACGGATGTAGTACTTAGGTTGCCTAGTTGACTTACTTGGGTGCCAGGTCTTCCCAAATTTGAAAGCGAAATAATCACATGTGGACAATTGATAGTCTGCAGAAGTTAGAAGTTTGAAGTTTCCAAGAAATCAACCAGAGGGCTGCAGCAATTTCCAAGAAACTAAATTGAATGGATCATCCTTCTGATCAATTCGTATGCAGTGATGATGTCTTATTTAAACCTTTTCCCTTTGAAACTCCTTTAAATCAACACAAAGCTTTTTTTAAGCACAAGGATCAAACAAAGTCACCTCCTCATCTGGGCTTACAATTCCTTCTTTATACACTCGGCTTTCCTTACTACTTCAAGTAAATTTGGCTTCTTTTTTCTTTTGTTGTTCTTAATGTCAGTGGGAAAATGAAAATTGTATATTAAACAGATTGATCATTTCAACATGCCACAAAAAATATTTTGCGCCAATTCGATTCCCTGGTGTTTGAGCAGTGAGTACGTTTACAGCACCGTTGCAATTTTATTTTATTTTTCCGAGTACCCAAGAGAATTGAGACAAGTTGCCATTACTTAATCAGGAAAACAGAGAAATCAATTTCAATCAAACAAAGATGGAAAATGAGAAATTCAATTAAATGGACCATTTTCTCCAACTTCAGGATGTTTAGGCCGGGAAAACGGATATCTAAAAAAATTCTTTGAGAATGATCAAAAACAAAGAAAGCATAGCAAACAACCTAATCAGAGAAGTTTGGTGAAACCTCGGCTTATACTGCATTTATAATACTACATGAATCATTGCTCTGAAAATATACAAGATTATATAAGAAATCGAACCATGACATAAAACAAAACCAAGATATTAGTCTTGGAAATGTATCTTCCTCTTTCCCCAACATTTCACGTTTTATCATTTATGGTCTACAATCTGCATTTGTAGACACCCCAACACACATAAACTAATTACATATATATATATATACACAACTGCACCTATCATTTACTTTGGTTTATATCTTACAACTTACAGGAGTCAATGTGTTTGGATCGGCCTGTGTGTAGGGGCAATCTTGTTGAGCATGTATGTCAATATAGCTCCTCCATCTCGAAGAACCCTAATCATATTTCTCAAGTATTCCAACTTGTTTAGGAGGACGGAACCGAGGCGTATGAGGAGGACTAAAGCACAACACGAACTGCATATCAGGAACAATCCACCAAAATTACGTAGGTTCAATATAGTTGGTTGTGTAGCAGCATTTTCGGCATTAGGCACGAGGGAAGATCTCTGATTTATCCATCTGTCCTCCATTTCTGCAAGTTTTCCTTCTTCCCTCAGTTTTATGATTGCTTGTGACATGTCAGAAACCAGCTGAGAATGCTTCTTACTAAATGCCTATTCGTCATTTAACGACGTATAATCGTTACTGCGAAATCTGAACTCCTGAAGCAAATTTCAATATATCAAAAACAGAAAAAGGTTGAAGACACTCACAAATCCAAATCCATTTGTGATAGATTGGGTTGCAACCATGGCATATTCATCCCCATATTTTGCCAAAAAGATTTTGAGGTAGGGGATCTCATCAGCGATGGCGTCAACACCACCTCTCTTACTCCCCTTGGATAATGCATCTGCATATTTCTGTGGGGAAATGTACAGTTGAAGCCGGTTATCTTTAAAATTAAGGTTGTTGGCAATAGTTCCTCCGATAAAAGAATTTTGCTGGGATCCTATGAGTAACCCTGCCGATCCGAGTTGAATCTTTTGCAACGTCAACGTAGAGCTCAATGTCGCTGTGTAGGTCGCAGTTAGTATAAGGACAGCAAAGAGCCAAACGATCACCACCAACCTTGACAAGTTACTTGTCAAACGTTCCCCTGCAATGATCAATAATATGAATATGCTGTATTTAGATAATCCACATTTTAGACCACATCATTTCATTATTGGTGTTTAAATAGGACCATGAGTAAGTGAGCTTACTATGAGCATAAAAAAGGGTTGAAAAGCCAAACCATATTATGGTTCCAATTTGATGAATCACAGGACCCTGAAATTCTGGATTAGAAGAATGTTCAATGAGCCAAACCACCGATCCAGTTAGGACTAAGAACGCAACGATGACCACCCATAAATCAGGCTGAAGGGGCTTCGAGAAAAACCAAATATCATCATTGTTTCCTCGTTTTATTATGGTTCCAATGCCTATATCGGTGTATGTAACTGTGAAATCCGCGTACAGGCTTCTATTACCTGTTATTGTGACGTCCCCTAAGAGACCATCAATCCTCTAACATTCAGATGGAATGGTGTTAGATGACTTGATATAGAGGTACTACTGAGTAAAATTTGAACCTTTGCTCTGTAAAGTGAATTCTTAGGTAGGATAAAAAATGTCATCGAACAAATAGACAAGACTAATGCCATTTCAGCCATTGGAAGAAAAGCAGGGAAGTAGCCAAGAAGAAAGTAGAAAAATTACCTCAAGATATAATTGGTACACAAGATCATTATAACTGCCGTTGTTGACTTGTATATCCTTCCATGGAATGAACTCGAAAGCTACCTGATAAGGTAGTGAATCCATTACAGCGAGAAACACATCTATGCATAAGCCCGTGTAGCCACTTCTGTTCGTAACACTATTCTGCTTCAGGCTTACAAATTGTTCAAATCCCTCATTGATAATAACTGCTATTCTTAGTTTTCTACCATTTGCTAGCATGAGCAGGCCTCTTGGAGCAGCTGTTGTGATTCCAGGCCACACAATGGGTCCATCAAGACCAACTATTGGTGAAGTACTAGAACTCGATAGACCGCTCCTATCAACCATGTCATGCTTTAAACTCCAAAACCCAACACTCCTTTCTCCTTTCCCTATTACATTCACAACTTCATATGATTCAGAATGTAGTCTTCCATCCATGATTTCAAATTCGCCACTCAACCTGGAAAATCTTGTTCGTGCAAAATCATCTAGAAGCCTTTTACCACTACTATATTCATGCCTGTCGAATTTCTCAGCCAGTGCCCAAATCGTGTCGTATGCCCAAACGCCTAGGACATTTAGTTCCCCGAACTCAACAGAAGGGTTCTTACTGTAGAATTCCTTTTTCCATTTCAGGCTGAAGTCTAGCAGCTTACTTGAGGACGGAATATATGCCTTCAATCCCACCACTCCCTGCATTGACGGGATCACTTCTCCATTTCCATACTGAAGTTGGTTCATAGTCCTGTCAGTTACAATCCAGGCATACCCTTCTTTCATCATTCCAAGTCTTTTCGCCATTGGAAACAGACGATATGTACTGGAAGCTGACAAGTGCACGACGAAAATTGTTTGTTGCAGAATTGAGAGCTTATGAAGCTTATCCAGGATTTGATCATCATTTGAGAAAGGAGAAACGGCTGTTCTGTGACTAACACGAATTCCCCTCTCTTGGAAGGATCCAACCAGGGATGGAATGGAGTATCTTCCATCCTCAGTATCATCGTAGATCACTGAGACAGTTTTCCATTGGTGCGAAATTAATATGCTTGCAATGGCCTTAAACTGTAACTTTTCATCTTGGTTTATTTGGATGAAGAAAGGATATTCATCAGCAGGGGATGACAGGGGTGTTGAAGAAAAAGAAAAGATGGGAACTTTGGCCTTGTTTCCTAGTGCCCCCAAATATTTGGTTTCCAGGACTGTTTCTGGCCCAACGATCAATGCCTGCACCTTGATGTTTTCCAGAAGAGCAATAGCTGAGAATTAAGTACTAGCATAGTTTAGAAATACTACAAAATTTCCATCTTCTGATAAAATTCAACCAACCAACATGTAATCAACTTGGGAAAACAATCAGATAGAGTAAATGGCATGTCTAACGAACAAGATCCACATACAAAATTGCGCAACAGAAAACTGACCTGAAGAAATAGCATGTTTGGGATCTCCCCTGGAGTCCCTTGTGTGAAGAACTAACCGAGTTTTGTTGCAGTGAAGTTTCGAAGCACAGAAATCAGAGATGGCTAATTCAATACAGCTGTGGATGCTCTTACCAATCCAAGATCCCATGTCAATAACAACTCCAACGTTAACATTCTCGTTTTGCAGCGGTGTCATCATGCTGCTGTTATTATCGGAATGATCAGACGGAGCAAAATCGCCATCGACCAAACTTAGCTCGTGGGCTGGTGGAAGAAGGCTGATAATGAAAAACAATACCCGTAGTTTCAGGAACGGAATTCGGGCCCGACTCCCCATTCCTTCCATAGTCAATATTCCAATGAGATTCTTGAAGTAGTGGCTCTTTATACTACTAAAGTACGAACCTTGGTTGACTTGGGACCAAAGTCTTCTCAAAATGTGAAGAGAAGAAAAAGAGCAAACGTCACTCTACTAGAATAGACTGACAAATTAAAAAACGCCAGCTAAATTGCAGAATTTTCCACGAATTTACTGATGAGGTCTCGTTTAGTCAGACGCCAGCCAGCCGTTCTAAATAGGCCCCAGGAGCCCGCATGGCGCTGGACATTCAAGGATTGATTACTCTCATAAGGTAATCAATTCGGTAAACTGTGTACAAATTATTCGTACGAAACAATGAAAATCAGTAACTCGAAAGCAGCTAGCTTGGTAGTGAAACTGCTGAGTTTTCATCCAAAAAGTGCAAAATGAAACAAATTTATGTCTTAATTTAAGCATGCAGTACACGACTACATGATTGAGTCCCGAACCATGTTGGCAATGACATGGTGATCAAACGAGGGGTCTTTATATCTCAATTTTATAATGTACTAACCGTCATTGTCTCATCAACTTAAGGAGAGTACAATATGTATGAATGAAACAATATCATTTCATAAAGAAGAAGAAGATTATGGAAAAATACAAATGAAAAGGAGGCATTTAAGCTCAGGTTTTTCTAAAAAAAAAATAAATTAAACAGCTCTGAACAAATTTATGCAAGTAAATTTCTACGAGAAGTCACCTTCCCAATACCAATGTTGTTTTCCTCTGTTTTCACTTTAAATCTTCCTGATCAAAGAGTTCCAGCCTCTCATGGAGATAAATTTAGAAATGATTATCCTGGTTATGGCACTGGCAACTGTCACTTCCTATAGTCACGATGTTGGGCAATCTCATTCCTGCAAATCTCTGAGGCTAAGTTGTCTAAATTGGGCTTCCCGCAAAATAAGCTGAATCCTCCTGATTAAGTTTGTCAATATGACTTCATCTCGAGGCACCCTATTCATACCTTCCAAGTAACCTAATCTCTTTAGGATGATGAAGACAAGGCGCATGAATATTACGAAACCAGAACACGCTGAAGTAATGATAAATAAGCCACGAAAACTTTGATAATTCAAAGTACTAGGTCTTGTAGCAGCATTTCCCGCCTCAGTCATGAAAGATGATGCACTCTTTATCCATGTATTCTCCATTTTTGCTAGTTGTCCTTCCTCTCTTAGCTTTATAATTGCTTGTGACAAATCAGAAACCAGCTGTGCATATTTTTTTCTGGAATGCCTGTTTATCATTCAAATAACAGTTAAAAAAACTAGAAAAAAAAAACACACTAAGAAGTAACAGTATTTGATCCAATTATACGGGCAGCAGGAGTATTATGAATGACAGTAAGAGGAAAACAGAAAGCACTCACAGTTACTTTCCAACTTTTCTTTTGCAATGACAAATTAAGTCGTACTTAAGAAAACCATCAATCTTAAACTTCCGTATTGTTCATACTAACCAAATTTAGGAAAATGATTGAGAGAGCTTACTTTGAGCATTAAATAGGAGCGAAAATCCAAACCAGAGCATTGTTCCAAATCGATAAGGCGTTGAACCCTTTTTGAATGCTTTATTCTCAGAAGAATGTTCGTTAAACCAGATTATCAATCCGGTCAGGAATGAGAAGGTTACAATGACAAGACACAAAATAGGATGGAATGGCCTCAAGAAAAGCCAGTCACTACTTTCTCGTTTCACTATGGTTCCAATGCGTAATTCCCAGTAAGGAACAGTGAAATCTACGCACAGGCTTCTATTTCCTGTGATTGGTGACGTCTGCCAGCATTCCATCAAAGTTCTACATGCAAAAAGTATTTATTCTAGTTAGAATATCTAAATTTAGAACTGTTGGTCTTGGGAATTTGAGGAGAAACCCAACAAATCCTCCCTCGACTCAAAATCCCAAGTGCAGCAACAACTTCTTTCAATCCCCAACAAGAACTACTCTGAAATATTACAAAAGTGCATTTGCAAGAGAAAAGTATGGTAAACAAACAGAAAATGCTACAATTCCAAGTCAGCTTTACTGAACAAAAAAAAAATGAAAAAAAAAGACAACAGGGGAGTTAGAAACCGAGAAAAGAATCATTACCTGAAGATACAATTCGTAGACGAGATCACTATAGCTACCCAGATTTTCCCCTTGTTGGTCCAGGTAAGGAATGAACTCAAAATCCACTTGATAATATAAATAAATCAACTGCGGCACGAAACACATCTGCGCACCAGCCTGTGATGCTAGTTGTATTGGTATCATTGTATCGTTGCACATGTAAGATTTCTTTGAATCCTGCGCAGTTGGGCCCTGCAATTCTTAGCTTTCTACGGCCTGTTAAGATGGGAACGCCTCTTGGAACCATTTTTGTCATCCCTGGCCATACAATATCTTCATCATCAAGGCCAATCCTTTGTGAAGAGCTAGAACTAGACAGATTCCACCCTCTAACAATGCCTTGCTTTAAACTCCAAAACCCAACTGTTCTTTCCCCTTTACCTATTACATTCACTATTTCAAACGCATCAGAATGAAGTCTCCCATCCACGATTAGAAATTCGCCGCTCAACCCGGAAAATCTCGTTCTTCCTAGGTCATCTAGGAGTTCTTTACCTGTGTAAAATTTACCTGTTCCCGTGTGGCTCCTTTTGTTCCAGTGTCTCAGCTAATGCCCAAATAGTATCATAAGCCCAAATGCCTAGAACATCAATTTCCCCAAATTCAACAAAAGGGTTATGCTGTAGATTTCCTTTTTCCACCTAAAGCTGAATTCTTGCAACTTTCTTGAGGACGGAATATAAGCCCTCAATCCCACAACACCCTGGATTGATTCAATCGCTTCCCCAGTAGCAGATCGAATCTGATTCATAGTCTTATCGGTAACACTCCAGGCATACCCTTCTTTCCTCATCCCAAGTCTCTTTGCCATTGAAAACAGTCGATAAGCATTGGATGCTGACAAATGTACGATGAAGATTTTTTGTTGCTGAATTGCGAGCTTATGAAGCTCATCCAAGATTTGTTCTTCAGTTGCGAAGGGAGAAATGGGTGCCCTGTGACTGACCCTAATGCTCCTTTCTTGCATTGCAGGGAACCCACCAAATACGGTATGGAATCGGTTCCATCACCGGTATCATTGTAAATAACTGAGGCGGTTTTCCAGTCATGTGAACTTAGGATGCTTGCAATGGCCTTGAATTGTGAGGTTTCGTCCTGGTTTATTTGAACGAGGAAAGGATATTCGGCCGGCCGGATTGAGGGGTTTGACGATGATAAAGAAAATATCGGGATTTTGACTTTGTTTCCCAGAGCGCCCAAATATTTGGTTTCCAGGGCTATTTCTGGCCCTACGATCAATGCTTGCACCTTGACTTTCTCCAGTAGATCAACAGCTGCCAAATAAACTCGTGTCAATTTTTAGTAAACTCTTGTAAATATTTGAGTAAAAATTTGAGCGATATCTGGTCGACGTAAGAGTTCCAATATACATAGTACTTTACAACACTCGCAATGCACTTTTTTTTTTAATATATACTAACTCCGTCCCCAAAAAAAAAAAGTCCGCTTTGAGTTTTGTACTATTTTTAGTACAAATTTGAAAACTCAATATGGAAGTGAACTTTTTTTTTGGACGGATAGAGTATATATATATATATATATATATATTTTTTTTTTTCTCCACTGAAAAACTTCCAAACAAAAATTCTCTTCCCGGCAATCTAAAGTCTATTCATTAATCATACAATAATTTTTTTTTGGTATATTACATATACAATATTCAAAATTATTGTTTCAACTAATTTGAATTCGAGGTGGACAGATGTCTTGCGAAAAGCAAAACTCTCCCAATAAACTCTCCCTTTCAGGTATATATATCTTTCTTTCTTCGAGCCTCTGTGCTCGAACTTTTCATACTACTTTCTAGTGTACATTATCAAAGTCATGTGTTCAATAGTTACCACTTTTTTTGAATTCGTTTAACAAATGAACAATACTAGTTTCCTTTTTTATTAACAAATGTATGACACTATTTTATTTTATTTTTTTTGGCCTAAGTCAAATGCATGACACTAATTAAACTTTCAATGTCTTCGGTTTATTTTTACAATACATGCATATACCACTTTCCTGAGTCGACCTCCACAGTCCACACAAAAGAAACTACTTCTTCCTTTACATAGAGACATGTAGTGAATAAGAAAACATTAAAAAACATGCACTCGCGTTTCCATGCAATCAATCAAAATATGCTTTCAAAAAGAAATAAAAATGAACATATTACATATGCCTTCTTCTGTCCCAAATAATAGTCCCGTTGATGGTTAGTAATTTAACATCTCATATGTCATTGCAAATAATATTCATACATCACTAATTAATCAAGATGTAGTTCAGTTTAAATTGTGATAAAGAAAAGGATTATAACCTAGTTATAAAAGCTCTTAAAACATATGAAAGGTATCTCACTCAGCATCCCGTAACACTCAGTTTTTAAGCCATGAATACTATTTTCTCTGTCTTAAAAAATAGCCTACGTTGAATTTTGTGATTTTGCACTCAATGTGAATTGTTTTTTTTTTTCTTCTTGGAACGTATGGAGAATTTAATTTCTCACTACATACTATTTATTGGAGTGTACTTCATCATGATTTCCATGATTGCATCAAATAGGGCAAATAATATTAAGATCCTAGGTACACCTTGCAAGGTGTACCTAGGCAGTGCGTGAACCACATATGGGGGAAGAGAAATTGGAATAATTGAGTCCGAAAAAAAAGAGTCCACATGCGCATTTATTATGCTAATCATCAGTTTAATTACGTGATCAAATGTTATCCTTTTTTTTTTCTCCAAATTTTAACTACGTAAATTAATTCTTCCAAATTTTATCCCTTTTTTTAGCACATGTTTAATTTCAAATGTCATCTTTTTTAATACTTATCATGTTAGCTTTTATATTATTTTATTTTATGAGATTATTTTTTTAAAACTAGGTTTCTTCTTGTCGCGCGTTGCGTAAGGTAATGCGTAATGTATGGTTATTGATGAACAGGGTGTTCATTGTTGTTTTTTGACTGATGGTGTATTATATTATTACAATTTTACGATGAATATCTTATGTTAACTAATGAATAACGAGTTGTTATTGATGAATAATAGAAGTTTTGCTAATTGGACGATGTTTCAACTATGAGGAAGAGGCTTTTGTTGCTTATAATTCTTACACAAACCGCATTGGTTTTTTCAATAAACAAGTTCAAAGATTAGAAAATGTCCAAATCTGGTGTTGTATATTGGAAACAATTTGCATGTAGCAAACAAGGAGTAAAAAATTCAAGAGATAGGTGCGATACAACAATGAATAATTATACCAAACTGATGAATACGACAATTTCAACAATGAATAATTATACCAAACTGATGAATAACCCTCTATATCAATATCTACACTTATTGTGGTTTGATTTTATGCAGATTCAGATATCCTGCTTCTTTTGGCTTCTGAATGTTGTTCTTCGCTCATGCTTCTTTCAGATTGTGTCTGATATTCATCGCTCATGCTACAATATATTTACAAATTCCATGAATAACTTGTCAGATGTGATGAATCCGGCAATTTCAACAATGAATAATTATACCAAACTAATGAATAATATAAATATCTAATAATTTACCAAAAAAAAAATAATACTACATAATGATGGTAAACGATGAATCTGACAATTTCAACAATGAATAATTATACCAAACTGATGAATAATACAAAGATCTAATAATTTATCAAAAAACAATACTACATAATTATGGTAAACGATGAATCTGACAATTTCAACAATGAATAATTATACCAAAACTGATGAATAATACAAAGATCTACTACTTTATCAAAAAAAAAAAACAATACTACATAGTTACGGTAAACAATGAATCTTACAATTTTAACAATGAATAATTATACCAATCTGATGAATAATACGCAAATCTACCAATTTACCAGAAAAACAACATCCAATAGAAGAACAAAACTCTAAAATTGATGAATATGATAATTTCAATAGTTATGAAAATGATGAATCTGATAATTGCAACAATGACTAATTATACCAAACTGATGAATAATTCTCAGATCTTCTAATTTACCAAAAAAAAAAAAAGCAAATCGAAGAACATATCTCTAAAATTAATGAACAAACATCGTTAATTGAGTGAACATACCTTAGATATACATAACCCAAATAAA